TCCTGGATGGCAGGAAGCTTGGCCCCAGTGATGTACTAGGTCGTACGCACTACCCTCTGTAGCGCCTTGCGGTCGGAGGCCGAGCAGTTGCCATACCAGACAGTGATGCAACCAGTCAGGATGGTGCAGCTGTGTAACTTTTTGAGGATCTGAGGACCCATGCCAAATCTTTTTAGTCTACTGAGGGGGAATGGGCATTGTCGTGCCCTCTTCACGACTGTCTTGGTGTGTTTGGACTATGATAGTTTGTTGGTGATGTGGACACCAAGGAACTTGAAGCTCTCAACCTGCTCCACTACAGCCCCGTCAATGAGAATGGGGGCGTGCTCGGCCCTCCTTTTCCTGTAGTCCACAATCATCTCCTTTGTCTTGATCACGTTGAGGGAGAGGTTGTTGTCCTGGCACCACACTTCCAGGTCTCTGACCTCCTCCCTATAGGCGGTCTCATCGTTGTCGGTGATCAGGCCTACCACCGTTGTGTCGTCTGCAAACTTAATGATGGTGTTGGAGTCGTGCTTGCCCACGCAGTCATGGGTGAACAGGGAGTATAGGAGGGGACTAAGTACGCTCCCCTGAGGGGCCCCTGTGTTGAGGATCAGCGTGGCAGATGTGTTGTTGCCTACCCTTACCACCTGGGGGCGGCCCGTCAGGAAGTCCAGGATCCAGTCAGTTGCAGAGGGAGGTGTTTAGTCCCAGGGTCCTTAGCTTAGTGATGAGCTTTGAGGGCACTATGGTGTTGAACGCTGAGCTGTAGTCAATTAACAACATTCTCACGTAGGTGTTCCTTTTGTCCAGGTGGGAAAGGGCGGTGTTGAGTGCAATAGAGATTGCATAATCTGTGGATCTGTTGGGGCGGTATGCAAAATGGAGAGGGTCTAGGGTTTCTAGGATGATGGTGTTGATGTGAGCCATGACCAGCCTTTCAAAGCACTTCATGGCTACAGATGTGAGTGCTACGGGTCGGTAGTCATTTAGGAAGGTTACCTTGGTGTTCTTGGGCACAGGGACTATGGTGGTCTGCTTGAAACATGTAGGTATTACAGACTCGGCCAGGGACAGGTTGAAAAATGTCAGTGAAGACACTTGCCAGTTGGTCAGAGCATGCTCGGAGTACACGTCCTGGTAATCCGTCTGGCCCTGCAGCCTTGTGAATGTTGACCTGTTTAAAGATCTTACTCACATCGGCTATGGTGAGCGTGATCACACAGTCGTCCGGAACAGCTGGTGCTCTCATGCATGCTTCAGTGTTGCTTGCCTCGAAGCGCGTATAGAAGTCGTTTAGCTCGTCTGGTAGGATTGTGTCACTGGGCAGCTCCCAGCAGGGCTTCCCTTTGTAGTACGTAATAGTTTGCAAACCCTGCCACATCCGACGAGCATCAGAGCTGGTGTAGTACGATTCAATCTTAGTCCTGTATTTACGCTTTGCCTGTTTGATGGTTCGTCTGAGGGCATAGCGGGATTTCTTGTAAGCGTCCGGGTTAGAGTCCCGCTCCTTGAAAGCGGCAGCTCTACCCTTTTAGCTCAGTGCGGATGTTGCTTGTATTCCATGGCTTCTGGTTGGGGTATGTACGTACGGTCACTGTGGGGACAACGTACTGATGTGGTATACTCCTCAATGCCATCGGATGAGTCCTGGAACATATTCCAGTCTGTGCTAGCAAAACAGTCCTGTAGCTTAGCATCTGCGTCATCTGACCACTTCCGTATTGAGCGTGTCATTGGTACTTCCTGCTTTAGTGTTTGCTTGTAAGCAGGAATCAGGAGGATATAATTATGGTCAGATTTGCCAAATGGAGGGCGAGAGAGAGCTTTGTACGCGTCTCTGTGTGTGGAGTAATGGTGGTCTAGAGTTTATTTTTATTTTTTATGTTTGCACATGTAACATGCTGGTAGAAATTCAGTAAAACGGATTTAAGTTTCCTTGCATTCAAGTCCCCGGCCACTAGGAGCGCCGCCTCTATTCTAAAAGTGACTGGTAGCCAGAGAAGCTGACATGGTTACATTTTCTGGTGCCTGTTAAAAGCCGAGCGAGCAGCAGCATTTTGAACTAACTGTAGACAATGGAGTGATTGATTGACTAAGAGTGTATACAAAGAGTTACAGTAATCTAGGCGTTAGGAAACAAAAGCATGTATAATTTTCTCCAGATCAGTGACTTGAAATAAGACTTGACTTTAGCTATATTTCTTAGATGATAAAAGCATGATTACGTTGTGATTAAGTTGTGATTACATTTATATCTTTTCATGACAATTATGATAATTCCAATCTGTGTTCCACTTTGTTTGAGAATTTAAATAAACCAAGAAGCTAATGTATCAGAGAGAATAGTCTGCTCTCATCTACTTGAAAGACTGAAACCTGGTGTGTGTGTGTGTGTGTGTGTGTGTGTGTGTGTGAGACATTAAAATATGGTAAAATATACATTTGAAGTCTGTCTCTCTCTGCCCTGGGGGCTGGCTCATTAACATGGTGGGACAGGAATACTATTTTATCTCTTTCTTTCCCCCCATCTTTCTCGCTTTCTTGCTTCCTTTCTTTCTTTTTTCTCTTTCTATTGTTCTTTCTTTTGTTAAAAATAATTGTATCTCACACAAACACACACAAACACACACACACACACACACACACAAAATGATGAGTGAACAGTCGTGTAGGCTCGATCTGTATAGTCATTAGCTCCACCAGGAGGGGGTCTCTGTTTCCTGAACTTCCCAGGGATGGTGAGGTCTTCTGGGCTTGGTGTATAGAGGCCTCCCCTCCCCTGCAGGCTTTGGAGGTTTAGCTAATTCGGATGATCAGCAGGGAGGAACACCAACAGGCTAACCCACTGTAGCTCTCTGTCAGACAACAAAACAATGCGTGTGTGTTTTGTACTTTCTAAAATTAGTCACAAAATAACATAATTTGTCAGACGGGGGTGAGGGGTGAGACAGGGTTGTAATCTGAATCCAACCTTGTTTGATATCTATAGCGTCAGCTCAGTCAGGGGAAAGCACCAGAGATGCATCTCAAGTGGCACCCTATTCCCTACATAGTGTACTACTTTTGACTGGAGCTCTATGGGCCCTGGTCAAAAGTTGTGCACTCTAAAGGGAATAGGGTGCCATTTGGGTCGTAGCTCAGGTTGTACCTTTTATTAGTCAATTTCCCAGAGCTCTTCTGCTCAATGTGTGTGTTGTGGTGTGTGTTAGTAGGGTGATGTGTGATGACAGGGTTGTGTGTGTAAACTGACAGTGGAGTCTGAAATGTGAGACCTCCCTTGTGTCTGCTCGACAGAGGAGGAATTGGGTGGGAGTGGGGGGGGGGGGGGAGGATGTGTTTGATGTCTGTCTGAAGGAGGGAGGGAGGATGGAAAGAAGGGAGGAGGTGATGAAGGTGCTCTAGAATTCCAGAACCCTATGAAGTGTGTGTGTGATCCCACCTTGTGGCCAGCTGCTCTCTTCGTCACCAGAGCTATGTATGTGAAGAGGTGTGTGTGATTGTATAGTGTTTGTGTGACAAATATACTGTAGTTTCACACTTCCATGACATGTGTGTGAGCCACAAACCCCACCTCCTACCCCATGACTCGTTCTGACATCACAGGCTGTGACCTCATTATGACTAAAAAGGCAGCAGAGCAGAACTCAAGTCCAAACACTTCGGCACGGAACCTCACACACACATACTCACATTCTTTCACACACACAAACTCTCTCCCCCACACACTGCATGGTATTTGGACTTGGACTAGCTGTTGCAGTTAGAGGAACACTGAGGAGACAGAAGCAGAATCCAAGATCAGAGTTCCAGCCTGACAGACAGACAGATCGAGGTAAGGCCAGACAGAACCTAGCCACTGCTAATGTAACACAGGCGTCACTGTGCCTGCTTAGAAGTATACTGTAGCTTCCTTCATTGTCCCAGTCCTCTTACTGGGCTCCAACAAGTGGTTCGCAAACGAGAGACCGCCCGCCTGATAACGGCTTAGCCAGCTACACCAACGAAAAGCTAGCAAATCAGCGGCACGAAGGGAGACATTTCAAGCTGTTGAGTTACGGTATACGATCTTAACTCTGTTACACTAACCCTGAGGTATGATGAGGTCAGTGTACCAGATGTAAATGTCACATTACTTACCGTGTGGACTGTATGATTCATTCCTGCATTGAGACGACATGAACTCTGTTCTTCTCCTGTAGAATGGATTAAAGTGAGCAAAAATAAGTAAATCTGAGTTTTTTTTGTTTAGTTCACCAACTTTCTACCTTGAATTAGTCCTTTTGGATGTTTTTCCTGGTAAGCTATATATATATATATATATATATATATATATATATATATATATATATATATATACACACACACACACAGTCAGTCAGTCAGTCAGTCAGTCAGTCAGTCAGTCAGTCTGTCTTCCCTCCCTTTGGTAGAGTGTGTCCACCAGCGCATTCACTATAGCAGGTTAGCTATGTCAATGACTTCATGTGTGTGCCATTTTTGTGCTACAACCAGTCATTAGCTTCTTCCTTTCTCTCCTCAGTTCAATGCCTCTTATAATGAGTGTGTGAGCAGAGGCAGCAGGGTAGTGTGTGTCTTTCTCTTCCTGGATTGTGACTCAGTGTTTGCAGCGTGCACACACACACTCTGTTTCTGGGAAACTGGCCTGTAAATCATGTGTGTGTTTGCAGATCAAACAGAATGCCAGCTAGTGAACTATGGACTGGTAGCTCTCCTACCTGTGTCCTGTTAGCTGATAGGCTAGTCGACTAATGCTCTCTCAGCTGATGGGCTAGTGGAATAATGTTCTGTCAGCTAATTGGCTAGAGTACTAATGTTCTGTCAGCTGACAGGCTAGTGGACTGGTGTTGTCCTGTCAGCTGATAGGCTAAATGTTTTGTCAGTTGATTGGCTAGTGGACAAATGTCATGTTAGTTGATAGGCTGGTAGACTGGTAATGTTCTGTGACCTAATGTTGATTGGTTGTTCCAGCAGCAGCCGGTGTGTGATTGGTGAAGATGTCTGATAATGGGGACATTGAGGACAAGCCCCCAGCCCCACCCATGAGGAACACCAGCACTCTGATTGGCTCCTGCATCAAAGATCCCGCCCCCCATGGCTCCAAGCCCCTCCCCCCCAACCCAGAGGACAGGAAGAAGAAAGATCGTTCCATCAGGTCCATCCTGACAGGAGGAGGAGACAAGAGTGAGTCCTGTATGTGTGCAACTGTGCAAGACTGTGCGTGTGTGCAACGAAGGGAGGTAACAAGGGGGAATATGACAGACATCCAAATCCCCCAGGATACCTTGCGGTAGCTTGCATGGTTAGCCTTCCCATGAGCCTCGGGGGGGGTGTCTCTCGAGACTCTGCTGCTGCCTCTAACAATATGCTCCCTCTTTCTCTCCTCTCTCCATTTCTCTCCTAATTTTATCTCTTTCTCTCACTCTCACTCTCTCTCTCTCTCTCTCTCTCTCTCTCTCTCCCTCTCTCTCTTTATCTCTCTCTCCCCCTTCTCTCTCTCAGCCAACAAGAAGAAGGAGCGTCCGGAGATCTCTCTGCCTTCTGATTTTGAACACACCATCCACGTGGGCTTCGATGCAGTCACTGGAGAGTTCACAGTGAGTCTATGTGCTCTACATCTATGCTCTACTAGGGTCTGTCTATGTGCTCTAGATCTAGGGTCTGTATCTGGAAGTGCTCTAGATCTAGGGTCTGTATCTAGTAGGGTGTTTAACTATGATTCAGCTGATCAACTATGGCCTGTGTAGGACAGTGGAGGCTCCTCATTGGAGGGAATTTCATTAATAAATATATATATTTTTTAGATAAAACTATACTAAATATAATCATGTCACCAAATAATTGATTAAAACACACTATTTTGCAAAGAAGGTCTACAGTAGCCTCAACAGCACTCTGTAGGGTAGCACCATGGTGTAGCCGGAGGACAGCTAGCTTCCGTCCTCCTCTGAGTACATTGACTTCAATACAAAACCGAGGAGGCTCATAGTTCTCACCCCCTTCCATAGATTTACACAGTAATTATGACAACTTCCAGAGGACGTCCTCCAACCAATCAGAGCTGTTGCAGCATGGACTGCCATGTTGTCCATCCAATCAAAGGATCAGAGAATTAATCTAGTACTGAAAGCATAAGCTACAGCTAGCTAGCACTGCAGTGCATAAAATGTGGCGAGTAGTTGACTCAAAGAGAGAGAAAGAAAATAGTTGAACAGTTTTAAACAAAACATTTTTTTTCAGTTTCACTTACTTAGCTAGCAAATGCAGCTAGCTATTTTAGCCTACTGAAACACCCTGCTCAAACAAAGGGATGCTATGTTAGCTAGCTGGCTATGACTATCCAACACAACACTGGAACTCTTCCAAGTCAAGGTAAGCTTTTGGTTTAACTAATTTATTGCCACCGGGGCCCGCCAGTGTACCTGCTTACTGACTATATACACTGTAATGTTACTGCATGATTGTAGCGTGTTTACTAACGTGTTAGTTCTATTAGCTATGTTGACTAGGACGTAACTTTAGCTAATATGGTGACAACGATGTAGGCTGTGTGTAGCGGTTTGGCTTGGAGAAAAAGAAAACAAATTGTCCTCCCTTATCTGAAACGGAGCAGACCGCCACTGGTGTAGGAGTATCTGTTCTCGGGTACTATAACTGAGTTAGAGCAGGAATGACTTTAGCCTGTTTTCTTCACTCTAAAGCTAACTAGTTACAGCACAATACTTCCACTTACTCCTAATCTCTCTCTGCTGCATCCCAAATGGCACCCTAATACCTATATAGTGCACTACTTTTGACTAGAGTCCTATGGGCCCTTGTCAAAATGTGTGCACTGTATAGGGAATATGGAACCATTTCAGACGCATCCTCTCTATTTCACTATTACCCACCGTCATTGCCTCTTTCTCCCTCTCTGTCTGTCTGTAATAGGGGGAGATCTTAGGCGAATGGAGTGAGTGAGTAGAGGGAGAGAGATGCAGAGGAGAATGAAAGGTAGAGGAATGAGAGAGGCAGAGAGGGGGAGATACTGTAGGATGGAGATATGACCCAGTTCTCTGACCACTGCAGACACGACATCTCTGTCTTGTTACTAACCGTGTGTGTGTAGGGCATGCCGGAGCAATGGGCTCGGTTGCTCCAGACCTCTAACATCACTAAGCTGGAACAGAAGAAGAATCCTCAGGCTGTCCTTGACGTTCTCAAATTCTACGACTCCAAGGAGACCAACAACAGCCAGAAATACATGAGCTTTACAGGTACACACACACACACACACACACACACACACACACAAATGCTCGCACACACTAGCATGTATACGCACACACAAAAACACAAACACACACATTCACATGTAAACACACACACTATTTGTCAGAACTTGATCTCTTCATCCTGTTTTCCTTCTCCTCTACAGACAAGAGTTCAGACAACTACAGCTGTTCCAACACTGCCGTAAGTCTCCTGACACATCTCTGCTTTAGTCCCAAATGGCATCCTATTCCATATATAGTGCACAACTTTTGATCAGGGCCCATCACCACAATTCTGCCCTATGAGCCATGGTCAAAAGTAGTGTACTATATAGGGTGCATTTTGATACGAACATATCTGTTTGTTTACTAAGCTATCAATGTGTGTTTAGGGCATCTGCATTTAGATGAAGAATGGCAAATATGATTGGAGGGATAGAGAGAAACAGGGGATAAACAGAGAGAATGAGAGGATAAGAGATGGTTGAAGAGAGAGCAGAGGAAGACATGGAGAGGTGTGCCGGTCAACAGTCTGTGAGACGCACTCTTCCCTGGCTCTACTTCTCTCTCCCTCTTTCTGCACTGTCTGTGAATCAGGATATTTCCCCCATTTCATTCACGCTCACTATCTGCCTGGCTGTCCTGCAGTCATAGTCAGTCAGGGGGAGAGAGAGGGGGAGAGAGGGGGAGGAAGGTAGGGAGAAGAAAGGGGGAGAAGGAGAGGGAGGGAGGGAAAGGGAGTATTAACAACAGGAAAAGGAAGTGAGCTAACTGGAAGTGATGTCACATCCTCCTCAGAGCTCCAAGGCTGTGTCAGAGACGCCCGCCATAGCAACCGTATCGGAAGACGAGGATGAAGATGAGGCCACGCCCCCTCCTGTTGTCGCTCCCCGACCAGAACACACCAAATCAGTAAGACACACACACACACACATACATACACACACACATACACTCAGCCCCCTGGCTCCAGACAGGGTAAATAAAGTAACACTCTCCTCGTGCTGCTCCTCACTAACAGACTCAGCATTGTGTGTGTGTGTGTGTGTGACGATCATGGGCGGCAGCAGGAGGCTGAATTGAGATACTAAACTCACACTGTCTCTCTGTTCACTCTGTTGTCACAGAAAACACACACACATACACACATACACACACCAGAGAAATCCCGTAGAGAAGTCTGTTCTCTGATTGGCTGTGAGGGTTTTTTTTTTCGGTCCGAACTGAAGTGGCGTCTGAGACAGGGCTACTGCCATGGCGCCACTGTTGCCACAGTGATTTAGCAGCTCAGCGCACCTGACTGGGACACACAGACACCGTAACATAAGGAACAGGAACTGAGCTATAGCTCAGAAGGCTAACAGTCCTTATCTCTCCGTTCCCTCTCCCTCCCTTTTATCTCCTTCCCTCCTCCTCTCTTTCCCTCCCACCTCTCCCCCCCTCTCTTTCGCCTCAGATATACACTCGTTCTGTGATAGATCCCCTCCCATCCCCTCCCACCAGAGACGTTGCCACATCGCCTATCTCCCCCCCACCTCCGGAGGGCGCCACCTCTGCCATCACGCCCCCCACTAGCCCCACCCCTAGTCCTGCCCCTGGCCCCTCTGTGCCACGCCCCGCAGACAAAACACGCAAGAAGAAGATGTCTGATGAAGAGATACTGGAGAAACTACGTAAGTAACACACACACAGACACACACACAGGTGGTCTGAAAGTTGCAATAGAAGTGAACTGCGCTGGCTGCTGGTTTCAGATCCCAGGCACCATCTCCTGTCATTGTGCCGTAAGGTACTCTGTAGTGATGAATGGTGTGTATACTCTAATCCAATGGGGGAGGGGTGTGTGTGTGTGTGTGTGTGTGTGGGTGTGTGTGTATAACTAGTTCAACTATATCATCCTGTGACACTCCATGCCTCAGATGTACTCAGGTCTCCCTCTACTGGTAAGAAACAAAACTGTCACTCAGACATATCCTCCCGCCCTCCTGTCCAACCCTGGCATCTGATTGGTCCTCTTCTCTCTCTACCACCCAATCTCCTGGAGTTACCGAGTGATTCTGTGAAATTTCGTATCTGACAGTCTCATCTCCTCCTGTCTACTCAACAAGATGTTCTGTCTGTTACTGTCTCTCTTCTCTCACTCTATCTTTCTCTTGCTCGCTCTCACTCTCTCTCTCTCTCTCTCTCTCTCTCTCTCTCTCTCTCTCTCTCTCTCTCGCTCTCTCTCTCTCTCGCTCTCTCTGTGTGTGTGTTTGACTCTTCACTCTGTCTTTCTGTTTCATTTATTAACCTCACTTCTCTCCCTTCTTCCCTACTTCCCTCCTCTCAGGGAGTATAGTCAGTGTGGGAGACCCCAAGAAGAAATACACGCGCTTCGAGAAGATTGGACAGGGGTGAGTCTACACTACACACACATACACACACACACACACACACACACTTCTTAACTTTGAAATGAAAGAAGTCTCTCTCTCCCCTCCTCTCTTTCCTTCTCCCTCCCCCCTCCAGTGCGTCAGGTACGGTATATACAGCCATAGACATCGCTACAGGCCAGGAGGTGGCCATTAAACAGATGAACCTGCAGCAGCAGCCCAAGAAGGAGCTCATCATCAACGAGATACTGGTCATGAGGGAAAACAAGAACCCCAACATTGTTAACTACCTGGACAGGTGAGACACACACCCCAACATTGTTTACTAGACAGGTGAGACACGCATACAAACACACACACACTTTCAGATGTAAACACACACACATTAGTTGTGAGAGCTACAGTGGGGAGAACAAGTATTTGATACACTGCCGATTTTGCAGGTTTTCCTACTTACAAAGCATGTAGAGGTCTGTAATTTTTATCATGGGTACACTTCAACTGTGAGAGACGGAAATCCAGAAAATCACATTGTATGATTTTTAAGTAATTAATTTGCATTTTATTGCATGACATAAGTATTTGATCACCTACCAACCAGTAAGAATTTTGGCTCTCACAGACCTGTTCGTTTTTCTTTAAGAAGCCCTCCTGTTCTCCACTCATTACCTGTATTAACTGCACCTGTTTGAACTTGTTACCTGTATAAAAGACACCTTTCCACACACTCAATCAAACAGACTCCAACCTCTCCACACTGGCCAAGACCAGAGAGCTGTGTAAGGACATCAGGGATAAAATTGTAGACCTGCACAAGGCTGGGATGGGCTACAGGACAATAGGCAAGCAGCTTGGTGAGAAGGCAACAACTGTTGGCGCAATTATTAGAAAATAGAAGAAGTTCAAGATGACGGTCAATCACCCTCGGTCTGGGGCTCCATGCAAGATCTCACCTCGTGGGGCATCAATGATCATGAGGAAGGTAGGGGTCAGCCCAGAACTACACGGCAGGACCTGGTCAATGACCTGAAGAGAGCTGGGACCACAGTCTCAAAGAAAACCATTAGTAACATACTACGCCGTCATGGATTAAAATCCTGCAGCGCACGCAAGGTCCCCCAGCTCAAGCCAGCGCATGTCCAGGCCCCTCTGAAGTTTGCCAATGACCATCTGGATGATCCAGAGGAGGAATGGGAGAAGGTCATGTGGTCTGATGAGACAAAAATAGAGCTTTTTGGTCTAAACTCCACTCGCCGTGTTTGGAGGAAGAAGAAGGATGAGTACAACCCCAAGAACACCATCCCAACCGTGAAGCATGGAGGTGGAAACATCATTCTTTGGGGATGCTTTTCTGCAAAGGGGACAGGACGACTGCACCGTATTGAGGGGAGGATGGATGGGGCCATGTATCGCGAGATCTTGGCCAACAACCTCCTTCCCTCAGTAAGAGCATTGAAGATGGGTCGTGGCTGGGTCTTCCAGCATGACAACGACCCGAAACACACAGCCAGGGCAACTAAGGAGTGGCTCCATAAGAAGCATCTCAAGGTCCTGGAGTGGCCTAGCCAGTCTCCAGACCTGAACCCAATAGAACATCTTTGGAGGGAGCTGAAGGTCCGTATTGCCCAGTGACAGCCCCGAAACCTGAAGGATCTGGAGAAGTTCTGTATGGAGGAGTGGGCCAAAATCCCTGCTGCAATGTGTGCAAACCTGGTCAAGACCTACAGGAAACGTATGATCTCTGTAATTGCAAACAAAGGTTTCTGTACCAAATATTAAGTTCTGCTTTTCTGATGTATCAAATGCTTATGTCATGCAATAAAATGCAAATTAATTACTTAAAAATCATTCAATGTGATTTTCTGGATTTTTGTTTTAGATTCCGTCTCTCACAGTTGAAGTGTACCTATGATAAAAATTACAGACCTCTACATGGTTTGTAAGTAGGAAAACCTGCAAAATCGGCAGTGTATCAAATACTTGTTCTCCTCACTGTAGATATCTTCATCTTGTCTTTGGCTCCTTCTTTTTCACACACAGACACAACCTAACTGTCCCTCACACCCTCTCATATCTTCCCCTTACCATTGAGGAACTGGTACAGTGGTGATATTTGATGTTACCATGGTAATATGGGTGTGGTTGTTGTGTTTATGTAGTTACCTGGTGGGAGAGGAGCTGTGGGTGGTGATGGAGTATCTGGCTGGAGGTTCTCTGACTGACGTCGTCACTGAAACCTGTATGGACGAGGCTCAGATCGCTGCTGTGTGTCGGGAGGTCAGTGCTGCTGCGTGTGTGTGTGTGTGTGTGTGTGTGTGTGTGTGTACCTGGCTTGTCGGCCTGCTTGCTAATTCAGAAAGTGATGCCTTGAGCACTTTTGTACATCTCTCTCTCTCTCTCGCTCTCCAGTGTCTGCAGGCCTTGGAGTTCCTCCATTCTAACCAGGTGATCCATCGCGATATCAAGAGTGACAACATCCTTCTGGGAATGGACGGATCAGTGAAACTCAGTATGTAACACACACACACTTGGGGTTGGAGATGTAACACACACACACTTGGGGTTGGAGATGTAACACACACACACTTGGGGTTGGAGATGGGGGCATTAATGGGCAGTGTCTCCATTTGACCAGCAGAGGGAGCTCATAGTCTGTGTTCTAATGTAGCACTACCACTGTGCCATTTCATATATTTAGCCTTATATAGTGCATTTGAGTGCAATGTCCTATTCTAACATGTGTTCTCTCTCTCCTCTCTAGCTGACTTTGGGTTCTGTGCCCAGATCACTCCAGAGCAGAGTAAGAGGAGCACCATGGTGGGGACTCCCTATTGGATGGCTCCAGAGGTGGTGACCAGGAAGGCTTACGGTCCTAAAGTTGACATCTGGTCTCTAGGCATCATGGCTATAGAGATGGTGGAGGGAGAACCCCCTTACCTCAATGAGAACCCACTAAGGGTAAGCGAGAGAGAGAGCGAGAGTGTGTGTGCGTGTCACTGTCTGTGTGTGTCTATAACGGCCCCTGTCTGTCCTGTCATATCTCCTAGGCATTGTATCTGATTGCGACCAACGGGACTCCAGAGCTTCAGAACCCAGAGAAACTGTCCTCAGTCTTCAGAGACTTCCTCACTTGCTGCCTGGAGATGGATGTGGAGAAGAGAGGGAGCGCTAAAGACCTACTACAGGTAGAGAGGGAGGAATAGAGGGAGGAATAGAGGGAGGAAGAGCGGGAGGTTGGATAGGGGAAGTGTGTGTGTGGTGCATAAGGTTGGTTTGAGCATCAAACCACATTACTAGTTTTACCAGTAATAAAACTAAACCCATCTCTCCTCTCTTCCTCCTCTTCACTCATCCACAGCACCAGTTCCTGAAGGTGGCCAAGCCTTTATCCAGTCTGACTCCTCTCATCCTGGCAGCCAAAGAAGCAGCCAAGGCTAACCGCTAATCTGCTAGATGCTAGCACCACAGATCACCCTATACACCCAATATCCTTTGTTAACTCTTCAGTCGCTCTATCGCTCTCGTCTCTCGCCTCTCGATCCTCTATCGGATCTCTCTAAATCATCTCTCTCTCTCTCTTCTCTCTATCTATCTCTCTTCTCTCTCCTCGATATCTCCTCCCTCTCTCTCTCTCTCTCTCTCTTCTCTCTTCCCCCCCCCCCAGACAGGGGTGTTTCAGGAGGTCCCATCCCCCTTAAACCCTTGACCTATCATGGGGAGTGTGGGAAGGACGCTCTTATGATTCATCGCTGGTACAAATACACTGAGGATGAGACCCCAACCCAAGATCATGGAGTTTAGTTTAGACCGTGAACTTCGCCGCTCTGGACTATCGTTTCTAATTTAAACGTTTGTTTGTTTATCTGCTTTTTCATGTTTAAAATCTTTTGGACCGGGGTGTTTGGAGGGGTTGTTATTCCCATTTGGGAAAAAGGGTACTGTTTATTGTGAGTCCTGGAAATTCATTGGACCCAAAGTTGATTTTTCCAGGGGGGTAACACATCTTGGTGTCAATTGTCTTTTGAAATTGTTGATTAACTTTAACTACACAGTGCACTACTTTTGTCAAAAATGGGGTGCCATTTGTGACACAATCTTAGTCTGATCAAACATTGTAACTATATCACCTTATCTCTACTCCACTTCTTCTCTTCTCTCTCTATATCTCTCTTCTGGTTTCTGGATGAGTGACGAGACACGCATGACACCTTTTTTTATGGAACGTCTAAAATCATAATAATAATACAATTTGTGATGATGATAATGATGGTACATGAAGGATGCCTGTGTACGATATAGTATAGAAGAACATATCTAAATCCTATTTTTTCAGTACAATCGTTACGGTACAATTTTGGACTGATCCTAGTCCCAACCCTCTGAAGATAGTATGTACATTACATGTGAAAAAACGGCTAAAAAACAAACAAAAAACTACCAGAAAAATATTGTCTGCATTCTTTGTTTAGCAATGTGTTTTCTTTATTCAGATGGAGCTGAAGAATACCAAGGTACCAATAAGAAGTATACTTTCTACCAGGAGGTTTGGCTTTGTTCTGTTTTTAAAATGTAGCGTTAAAACTGCCTTTGGCCTTAAACTGTCTCACAGGTGGAAGACTTCTAACAGACAGTTGGACAACCTCTAGTCTCGCTCACCACTCTGAGTGCTCTGCACGCTCCTGCGGCTGTGAGAAGAAACAACCTCCAAATCTTTTCAATTCCCCAGACTACTGTAGTCCAGGTTAGACCGGTTTAGAACTAGGATAGACTGGGTTGAACTGGTTCAAATGGCCTCAAACTGGTTTAGACTGTTTTGGGAGTGGTTCAGACCAGTTCAGATAAGGGTGGTGATAGTTATTGAAGTCTTCTCTTCCTGTGTATTGGAGCCATAATTATGATGTTTATAAAAGTATTGGATTATTTTGAATGAGACAAATAAATCTCTATGCTGGCGAGAGAGTCTGGCTGTCGTTCTGTCTGTCTGTCTCGGTCTGTTGGGTGTACCCCTGGTTAGGTCTGTTTATATAAAGTGTTATTGTAAGTGTGTCTGCTCCTCTGGGTGGGGTTCTCATCTGAATGGGAAATTAGACTCAAGTCACTGATTAAACTGGTAATTACTGTTGCCACAGTCTTAATCTGCCTGGCTAGACAAAGGGCATGTGTTCGTCTGTGTCACAACCCACCACCTCTTTATTTCTCTCCCTTTTTTTTCCTCTCACTGCCTCCATTTATCTGTCTGTGTCTAGCCCTCCTGTCTCTCTCCATCTCTGGGCGAATCTCAATTGCATACTCCTTGCATCCTCTCTCCTCGCCTCCTACTTAAAACCCATTGGATGAGAAAGCCAGAGGTTCCTCCCCTCCAATGGGTTTTGAGAAGGAGGCAAGGAGAGAGGACATGAGTATGCATTTGAGATTCTCCCTGTCTATTCTCTCCCCCTCTCTCCCTTGTACATTCTTTCCCATCCAGGGCTGGTAGAATGATGATGTTCATTCTTGCTGAATCAGCACTGGAGAGAGATTATGGAGAGAGAGGAGATGTGGAGTAATGCCAGAGTGTGACATCAGTGACAAAGGCAACCAACTGCAGGAGCAGAGGAGAGAGAAAGTGATCAAGATGCATTCTCAGAGTTTGTGGCTCTGCTCAAGTGTGGGTGTGTGCTCCATATAATAATGTGTGTGGGCATCTCTACTCTCCTTAATATAATAATGCTTTTGGCCATCCAGAGGTTTCAGTAAGAGCTTTTACTAGCTGAGGGTTGTCCAAGTCCATTCTGTCTGCTTGGTAATGTACTATTGTCATTACATGAATGTGTTACAGATTACAGACACACTTTAGCCTCGGCTACTAAATAATGATATACTAGACTGTGACACTTTAATGTCTCAGTCGGTGTGGTTAAATCCGTTATGTACCTTCACTCTAGTCTGAGCTTCAAACAACAACCTTTTCATTCGCTGCCAAAGAACGAGCGTAATAGTTTCAGCCCATTTGGATAATTATTCCTTACTGTGTAATTATAGACGCATTTACTGTTAGCAACAGGTGGGAGTGGCCGTCTCGCTCTATCTCTATGGCGTGTGCTGCTGTTCTTTCTGTGGCGCGAGACAGACGCGACTGTTATTATACCACCACCAGACTGCAGGAGGCTGCGGCAACACAGATCGCGTACTTTTTTTTCTAAACGAATAAACAGACAGAGAGAATAATAACAACGGACGACTAGCTGTTATAATCACCGTCCGGTAAGTCTGGAATATATTGTAGCCCGGTAAACGATGGTAATATGAATCTACCGTTGTGTATTTTCTTGTTTTATTATTGGTTAACGAGTCCCATGCATATAAAGGCGGATCATCCACTCTTGCGCTATAGACAACCTACTGCAACACTGTCACGGAAAAACTGTAGTTTACTGGGCTATTCTACAAATATATAAATAAACGATGACTGAGTATTCATTAGTAGGCTGTGGGTTGACCATTGAACACTCTGATCATAACAGTTGATTGAATGAAGATTGATAGATTGCGTCTTCTGGCTGCTGTGTAGAGCGGTCATTGCCTCCGTGGTGACCGACACACCGAGGGAATGACCAGGCGGTTCTGTTGGGGATCCGGAGATTTCTAGATTTACAAGATCTATCTAATGGTCTGTTTGTTTCGGGGTCCGCTCTGTTTTTATTCTGTTGTGTATGTGACAGTCCGGGAATATGAGGGTATAAGCATAGCATATATCTCTCTCTCTCGCTCTCTCTCTCTCCCTCGTCCCTTCCTCTGTCCATGAATAGCCAGGTTGCTGTGTTAGGTTAGGTATTGCATTGGTGCTGTGTTAGGTCTTGGTGCTGGGGTAGGTCAACTGCTTCTGGGATGGGTGCTGGTGTATTGGGGTGAACATTTGTATTGGTGCCTGGTGTATTGGTGCTCAGCTTGGATGGGAAGACTATTGGTGCTGGGGTATAGAGGGGGATGATGATGGGGTGATGCTGGGAGAGAATGAATGAACAACAGAGACAACAGAGAGTCACTGTTAAGTTTAACACTGTTTATTTATAGACACACACACACTGTCTGTAGCCCTGGCCTAAGGTCATTGTTAAGCCTACTGTACAGGGCAGATAGCAGATGGTGTATAGTAGGCCATATAATAATAAGAAAGAACGGGAATCCCCTTTCAATGTCAGGCATTGTGAGTGTACTGATGTGTTTACCAGTCATTGACAAGGTCAGGGGTTCCATGTCCGTTCTACTCAGTCTAATTCTATGGTTTAGGCTACGCTACAGCATACAGAATCATTCTACTTCTACTAGTCGACTAGCATACAGTGCCTTGCAAAAGTATTCATCCCCCTTGGCGTTTTTCCTATTTTGTTGCATTACAACCTGTAATTTAAATGGACATACACAAAATAGTCCAAATTGGTGAAGTGAAAATAAAAAAATAACTTGTTTCAAAAAATTCTAAAAAATAAATAACGGAAAAGTGGTGCATGCATATGTATTAACCCCCTTTGCTATGAAGCCCCTAAATAAGATCTGGTGCAACCAATTACCTTCAGAAGTCACATAATTAGTTAAATAAAGTCCACCTGTGTGCAATCTAAGTGTCACATGATCTGTCACATGATCTCAGTATATATACACCTGTTCTGAAAGGCCCCAGAGTCTGCAACACCACTAAGCAAGGGGCACCACCAAGCAAGCGGCACCATGAAGACCAAGGAGCTCTCCAAACAGGTCAGGGACAAAGTTGTGGAGAAATACAGATAAGGGCTGGGTTATAAAAAAATATCAAAAAGTTTGAACATCCCACTGAGCACCATTAAATCCATTATTAAAAAATTGAAATAATATGGCACCACAACAAACCTGCCAAGAGAGGGCCGCCCACCAAGACCAGGCAAGGAGGGCATTAATCAGAGAGGCAACAAAGAGACCAAAGATAACCCTGAAGGAGCTGCAAAGCTCCACAGCGGAGATTGGAGTATCTGTCCATAGGACCACTTTAAGCCGTACACTCCACAGAGCTGGGCTTTATGGAAGAGTTGCCAGAAAAAAAGCCATTGCTTACAGAAAAAAATAAGCAAACACATTTGGTGTTTGCCAAAAGGCATGTGGGAGACTCCCCAAACATATGGAAGAAGGTACTCTGGTCAGATGAGACTAAAATTGAGCTTTTTGGCCATCAAGGAAAACGCAATGTCTGGCTCAAACCCAACACCTCTCATCACCCCGAGAACACCATCCCCACAGTGAAGCATGGTGGTGGCAGCATCATGATGTGGGGATGTTTTTCATCGGCAGGGACTGGGAAACTGGTCAGAATTGAAGGAATGATGGATGGTGCTAAATACAGGGAAATTCTTGAGGGAAACCTGTTTCAGTCTTCTAGAGATTTGAGACTGGGACGGAGGTTCACCTTCCAGCAGGGCAATGACCCTAAGCATACTGCTAAAGCAACACTCGAGTGGTTTAAGGGGAAACATTTAAATGTCTTGGAATGGCCTAGTAAAAGCCCAGACCTCAATCAAATGGAGAATCGTGTAGCTCAGTTGGTAGAGCATGGCACTTGCAATGCCAGGGTTGTGGGTTCGTTTCCCACGGGGGACCAGTATGAAAAAATTTATGCACTCACTAACCGTAAGTCGCTCTGGATAAGAGCGTCTGCTAAATGACTCAAATGTAAATATAAAAATGTATGACTTAAAGATTGCTGTACAGCAGCAGAACACATCCAACTTGAAGGAGCTGGAGCAGTTTTGCCTTGAAGAATGGGCAAAAATCCCAGTGGCTAGATGTGCCAAGCTTATAGAGACATACCCCAAGAGACTGTAATTGCTGCAAAAGGTGGCTCTACAAAGTATTGACTTTGGGGGGGGGGGGGGGGGGGGGTTATGCACACTCAAGTTTTCTGGTTTTTTGTCTTATTTCTTTTATTTTTATTTTTTTAAATCTTTTTTTTTAGGGGGTAGATCAGCTTTAATATTGCAGATAGATTGTAACTTCCATCAATGTAATTGTCTACATCACTTCCAATCCCCCATATGTTTTTTTCTTATTTTTTCCCCCGCATATATATATATATATATACATACAGTGGGGAAAAAAAGTATTTAGTCAGCCACCAATTGTGCAAGTTCTCCCACTTAAAAAGATGAGAGAGGCCTGTAATTTTCATCATAGGTACACGTCAACTATGACAGACAAAATGAGAAAAAAATATCCTGAAAATCACATTGTAGGATTCTTAATGAATTTATTTGCAAATTATGGTGGAAAATAAGTATTTGGTCACCTACAAACAAGCAAGATTTCTGGCTCTCACAGACCTGTAACTTCTTCTTAAGAGGCTCCTCTGTCCTCCACTCGTTACCTGTATTAATGGCACCTGTTTGAACTTGTTATCAGTATAAAAGACACCTGTCCACAACCTCAAACAGTCACACTCCAAACTCCACTATGGCCAAGACCAAAGAGCTGTCAAAGGACACCAGAAACAAAATTGTAGACCTGCACCAGGCTGGGAAGACTGAATCTGCAATAGGTAAGCAGCTTGGTTTGAAGAAATCAACTGTGGGAGCAATTATTAGGAAATGGAAGACATACAAGACCACTGATAATCTCCCTCGATCTGGGGCTCCACGCAAGATCTCACCCCGTGGGGTCAAAATGATCACAAGAACGGTGAGCAAAAATCCAAGAACCACACGGGGGGACCTAGTGAATGACCTGCAGAGAGCTGGGACCAAAGTAACAAAGCCTACCATCAGTAACACACTACGCCGCCAGGGACTCAAATCCTGCAGTGCCAGACGTGTCCCCCTGCTTAAGCCAGTACATGTCCAGGCCCGTCTGAAGTTTGCTAGAGTGCATTTGGATGATCCAGAAGAGGATTGGGAGAATGTCATATGGTCAGATGAAACCAAAATATAACTTTTTGGTAAAAAACTCAACTCGTCGTGTTTGGAGGACAAAGAATGCTGAGTTGCATCCAAAGAACGCCATACCTACTGTGAAGCATGGGGGTGGAAACATCATGCTTTGGGGCTGTTTTTCTGCAAAGGGACCAGGACGACTGATCCGTGTAAAGGAAAGAATGAATGGGGCCATGTATCGTGAGATTTTGAGTGAAAACCTCATTCCATCAGCAAGGGCATTGAAGATGAAACGTGGCTGGGTCTTTCAGCATGACAATGATCCTAAACACACCGCCCGGGCAACGAAGGAGTGGCTTTGTAAGAAGCATTTCAAGGTTCTGGAGTGGCCTAGCCAGTCTCCAGATCTCAACCCCATAGAAAATCTTTGGAGGGAGTTGAAAGTCTGTGTTGCCCAGCGACAGCCCCAAAACATCACTGCTCTAGAGGAGATCTGCATGGAGGAATGGGCCAAAATACCAGCAACAGTGTGTGAAAACCTTGTGAAGACTTACAGAAAACGTTTGACCTGTGTCATTGCCAACAAAGGGTATATAACAAAGTATTGAGAAACTTTTGTTATTGACCAAATACTTATTTTCCACCATAATTTGCAAATAAATTCATTAAAAATCCTACAATGTGATTTTCTGGATTTTTTTTCTCATTTTGTCTGTCATAGTTGACGTGTACCTATGATGAAAATTACAGGCCTCTCTCATCTTTTTAAGTGGGAGAACTTGCACAATTGGTGGCTGACTAAATACTTTTTTCCCCCCACTGTATGTATATACACATACGCGTATACATACATATATATATATATATATATATATATATATATATATATATATATATATACAGTGGGGGAGAACAAGTATTTGATACACTGCCGATTTTGCAGGTTTTCCTACTTACAAAGCATGTAGAGGTCTGTAATTTTTATCATAGGTACACTTCAACTGTGAGAGACGGAATCTAAAACAAAAATCCAGAAAATCACATTGTATGATTTTTAAGTAATTAATTTGCATTTTATTGCATGACATAAGTATTTGATACATCAGAAAAGCAGAACTTAATATTTGGTACAGAAACCTTTGTTTGCAATTACAGAGATCATACGTTTCCTGTAGGTCTTGACCAGGTTTGCACACACTGCAGCAGGGATTTTGGCCCACTCCTCCATACAGACCTTCTCCAGATCCTTCAGGTTTCGGGGCTGTCGCTGGGCAATACGGACTTTCAGCTCCCTCCAAAGATTTTCTATTTGGTTCAGGTCTGGAGACTAGCTAGGCCACTCCAGGACCTTGAGATGCTTCTTACGGAGCCACTCCTTAGTTGCCCTGGCTGTGTGTTTCGGGTCGTTGTCATGCTGGAAGACCCAGCCACGACCCATCTGCAATGCTCTTACTGAGGGAAGGAGGTTGTTGGCCAAGATCTCGCGATACATGGCCCCATCCATCCTCCCCTGAATACGGTGCAGTCGTCCTGTCCCCTTTGCAGAAAAGCGTCCCCAAAGAATGATGTTTCCACCTCCATGCTTCACGGTTGGGATGGTGTTCTTGGGGTTGTACTCATCCTTCTTCTTCCTCCAAACACGGCGAGTGGAGTTTAGACCAAAAAGCTGTATTTTTGTCTCATCAGACCACATGACCTTCTCCCATTCCTCCTCTGGATCATCCAGATGGTCATTGGCAAACTTCAGACGGTCCTGGACATGCGCTGGCTTGAGCAGGGGGACCTTGCTTGCACTGCAGGATTTTAATCCATGACGGCGTAGTGTGTTACTAATGGTTTTCTTTGAGACTGTGGTCCCAGCTCTCTTCAGGTCATTGACCAGGTCCTGCCGTGTAGTTCTGGGCTGATCCCTCACCTTCCTCATGATCATTGATGCCCCACGAGGTGATATCTTGCATGGAGCCCCAGACCGAGGGTGATTGACCGTCATCTTGAACTTCTTCCATTTTCTAATAATTGCGCCAACAGTTGTTGCCTTCTCACCAAGTTGCTTGCCTATTGTCCTGTAGCCCATCCCAGCCTTGTGCAGGTCTACAATTGTATCCCTTATGTCCTTACACAGCTCTCTGGTCTTGGCCATTGTGGAGAGGTTGGAGTCTGTTTGATTGAGTGTGTGGACAGGTGTCTTTTATACAGGTAACGAGTTCAAACAGGTGCAGTTAATACAGGTAATGAGTGGAGAACAGGAGGGCTTCTTAAATAAAAACTAACAGGTCTGTGAGAGCCGGAATTCTTACTGGTTGGTAGGTGATCAAATACTTATGTCATGCAATAAAATGCAAATTAATTACTTAAAAATCATACAATGTGATTTTCTGGATTTTTGTTTTAGATTCCGTCTCTCACAGTTGTAGTGTACCTATGATAAAAATTACAGACCTCTACATGCTTTGTAAGTAGGAAAACCTGCAAAATCGACAGTGTATCAAATACTTGTTCTCCCCACTGTATATATATATATATATATAGATATATATACACATCCTTTAAAAAATATATATATTTCCCTTTATTACTTTCCAACCACACCATCCCTTCCCTAATTGGAGTAAACTAGTGAGCAACAATGCTTAGGCCTCTACTTCATGCTTATACATACTATACACATTTTATGGACACAGTCAATAATTATATATATATTTTTTTTACTCCTGAACTTCCTCCGATCATTTTCATGATGTCCATCTCGTATGCTTCTATATGCCATATCTTTCTAACTGTGCTCTTTCACAAAAGCTCACAGTATATAACCTATATACTTATTATGGACATAGCATGTCTTACACTAGTTATCTTGTTGTTATTAGTTGTTGTTATTAGTCTAATCCTTCAGCTCCATTCAACACCTCCCATCTATCTCTTAACACCATCCATATTGGATTTCTATTTGCCATATATTTTTCAACTGTACTGTGATGTTTTACAAAAGTTCTGAACCTTTCTAATCTCATTGTTTCTACAGTTTGTGAATTGAAAATAAACATTTTTGCTAAAAGTATTATTATATTATTGATCGATTGACTATGACTTTTCAGTAGTGCTATCTGCAGGGTCAGCTCCATGCAAATATTGCAATCCTTCAGCCATTCCTGGACCTTTGTCCAGAAACAAGCTACAAATGGACAGTACCAAAACAAATGATGTAATGATTCTGTCTCTTCACAGCCAAATCTGCAGAGCTGGGAAGATTGTATCCCCCATACAAATAACATTCTATTGGTAGCAAATGAAACTGGTAAACTTTTTTATTTATCACAATTTTTTTTAACCAATTATATTCGTTAATGCAAGGCCGACAGACAAGTTCCTTACTTTTTCCTCCTTCCACTTTCCTCTTCCATTTTTGCGGTAATGCTGCAATTATTTGGTTGTAATTTCGGGTACAGCAGACATTTCCATATGTTTTGTTAGCTGCATGTGCGACATAACTCCACCAGTCCTACCAATAATATCATTTACGAAGATTATACCTTTAAACTTTATTTTTTAAAAACATGTCTTATTTCTTGTTTGTTTCACAAAAAATATATATTTTGCTTCTTCAAAGTGGTAGGCATGTTGTGTAAATCAAATGATACAAACCCCCCCAAAATCAATTTTCATTCCAGGTTGTTAGGCAACAAAATAGGAATAATGCCAAGGGGGGTGAATACTTTTGCAAGCCACTGTAATTGATGATGATATGATACATTAATAGAAACATCATCCACTGTCTCCATGCAGACGATGACCAAAACATCACGTCTTCCTTCATATCTCTTTTCAAGCTATCTCTGTCTTCTCTGGGTTAGTGGTTTTATTGGTCCAGTTCTCTCAGGGTTCTATTGACCCTGCATCCTACAGCTGCTGGTACAACACCAGCCCATCCTACCATTTACAGTATGTCTGACTGTATGCTGCTGTTTGTTTCCTGCTGTGTTTCTACGTGGTTTGTGTAGTGTAATGTGTGAACTGTAAGAATGTCCTCTTGTAGGACAATAAACGTCAATCTAATCAATCTAATCTTTACCTGAACCTTCAGCTTAGTCACTGTCTGTCACACCCTGGCCTTAGTTATCTTTGTTTTCATTCATATTTTAGTTAGGTCAGGGTGTGACATGGTGAAGTATGTGTTTTGGTTTGTCTAGGGGTTTGTAGGTTTATGGGGTAAGGTCTTGTCTAGGTGTTTGTATGTTGATGGCTGCCTAGATTGGTTCTCAATTGGAGACAGCTGTGGTTTATTGTCTCTAATTGGGAGCCATATTTAAGGCAGCCATGGGCATCATGTGTTTGTGGGTAATTGTCTATGTTGTACGTTTGTTGCTTGTCTGTGCACTTACGTTATTTAGCTTCACGGTCGTTTGTTGTTTTGTAAGTTTTGGATAGTGTTCGGTTTCGTGTTTTCTCTCTTCCAAAATTAAAGAGATGTATTTTGCACACGCTGCGCCTTGGTCCTCCTCTATGCTTGACGATCGTGACAGAATTACCCACCAATCTAGGACCAAGCGGCGTGTCAAGCGGCAACAGGACCCACCTACACAGGATTCATGGACATGGGAGGAGATACTGGATGGAAAGGGTCCTTGGGCACAACCGGGAGAGCTGGAGGCAGCTAAAGCCGAGAGGAGGCGATATGAGGAGGCAGCACGGAGGCAAGGCTGGAAGCCCGTGAGCACTAGCCAAAAATTTCTTGGGGGGGGCCTTAAAGGGAGTGTGGCGAAGTCAGGTAGGAGACCTGCGCCTACTCCCTGTACTTACCGTGGAGAGCGAGAGTACGGGCAGACACCGTGTTACGCAGTAGAGCGCATGGTGTCTCCTGTACGCGTGCATAGCCCGGTTCGGTACATTCCAGCTCCACGTATCGGCCGGGCTAGATTGAGCGTTGAGCCGGATGTCATGAAGCCGGCCCAACGCATCTGGCCACCAGTGCGTCTCCTCGGGCCGGCTTACATGGCACCAGCCTTACGCATGGTGTCCCCGGTTCGCTTACATAGCCCGGTGCGGGTTATTCCACCTTCCCGTACTGGTCGGGCGACGGGGAGCATACAACCAGGTAAGGTTGGGCAGGCTCAGTGCTCAAGGGAGCCAGTAAGCCTGCACGGTCCGGTATTTCCGGCGCCACCTCCCCGCTCCAGCCCAGTACCACCAGTGCCTACACCACGCACCAAGCCTCCTGTGTGTCCCCGGAGTCATGTGCGTCCTGTTGCTGCTCCCCGCACTAGCCCTGAGATGCGTGTCCTCAGCCCGGGACCACCAGTTCCGGCACCACGCACTAGGCCTTATGTGCGTCCCCAGGGTCCAGCATGCCCTGTTCCTTCTCCCCGCACTAGACCTGAGATGCGTGTCCTCAGCCCGGTACCTCCAGTTCCGGCACCACGCACCAGGCCTATAGGGCGTCTCGGCCGGCCAGAGTCTGCCGTCTGCCTAATGGCGCCTGAACTGCCCGTCTGCCCAACGCCGTCTGAACTGTCCGTCTGCCAAGCGCTGCATGAACTGCCCGTCTGTACTGAGCCTGCTAAGCCGCCCGTCTGCCATGAGCCTTCAGAGCCGTCCGCCAGACCGGAGCCGCTAAAGCCTTCCGCCAGACAGGAGCCGCTAGAGCCTTCCGCCAGACAGGATCAGCCAGAGCCTTCCGCCAGACAGGATGAGCCAGAGCCTTCCGCCAGACAGGATCAGCCAGAGCCTTCCGCCAGACAGGATCAGCCAGAGCCTTTCGCCAGCCATGAGCAGCCAGATCCGTCAGCCAGCCATGAGCAGCCAGATCCGTCAGCCAGCCATGAGCAGCCAGATCCTTCAGCCAGCCATGAGCAGCCAGATCCGTCAGCCAGCCATGAGCAGCCAGATCCGTCAGCCAGCCATGAGCAGCCAGATCCGTCAGCCAGCCATGAGCAGCCAGATCCGTCAGCCAGCCAAGAGCCGTCCAGCCAGGATCCGCCAGAGCCGTCCAGCCAGGATCCGCCAGAGCCGTCCAGCCAGGATCCGCCAGAGCCGTCCAGCCAGGATCCGCTAGAGCCGTCCAGCCGGGATCCGCCAGAGCCGTCCAGCCAGGATCCGCCAGCCAGCCAGGATCCGCCAGAGCCAGCCAGCCAGGATCCGCCATTTAGTCCGGTGCTGCCCCTTAGCCCGGTGCTGCCCCTTGGTCCGGTGCTGCCCCTTATCCTGGTGCTGCTCCTTATCCTGGTGCTGCTCCTTATCCTGGTGCTGCCCCTTAGTCCGGTGCTGCCCCTTAATCCAGTGGGGTTAAGTTGGAGGGTGGTCATTTGGAGGAGGCTACGAAAGCGGGTAGTGACTATGGTGGGGTGGGGACCACGACCAGTGCCAGAGCCGCCACCGTGGACAGACGCCCACCCAGACCCTCCCCTAGACTTTATGCTGGTGCGCCCGGAGTTCGCACCTTAAGGGGGGGGTTATGTCACACCCTGGCCTTAGTTATCTTTGTTTTCATTCATATTTTAGTTAGGTCAGGGTGTGACATGGTGAAGTATGTGTTTTGGTTTGTCTAGGGGTTTGTAGGTTTATGGGGTAAGGTCTTGTCTAGGTGTTTGTATGTTGATGGCTGCCTAGATTGGTTCTCAATTGGAGACAGCTGTGGTTTATTGTCTCTAATTGGGAGCCATATTTAAGGCAGCCATGGGCATCATGTGTTTGTGGGTAATTGTCTATGTTGTACGTTTGTTGCTTGTCTGTGCACTTACGTTATTTAGCTTCACGGTCGTTTGTTGTTTTGTAAGTTTTGGATAGTGTTCGGTTTCGTGTTTTCTCTCTTCCAAAATTAAAGAGATGTATTTTGCACACGCTGCGCCTTGGTCCTCCTCTATGCTTGACGATCGTGACACTGTCTCTTTCTCTCCTTCAGAATTGACCTCAAATCTTTTTTACCATAGAGAGCATTACTCCATTGACCTGGTATGGCACCGCCACCATAACACGACTGTTAAAGACATGCTGTGCCAGGTCACTGTAGGTCTGTCCTGTGAAAGAGATATGATCAGTGTATGGGATTAACCTGGATTAATGGTGTTTCAGATTATTTGGCATGTCAGATGTGGGTTAGTGTTACAGTACAGATGAGGTAGGCCTTTTTAATCCTATATAGATGTGTGTACATTAGTTCAATCGAGTACAGGCTTAACTGAATTAACAACAAAGACGGAATGCAATATGATATTTTATTAAATAGTTTGGGGAATGGCTTCGTCTTCGAGGGAAGATCCTCGGAGCCAGATGATGTGATTGCAGGTAGCCCCATGCGGGACTGCTGGCATCGAAACCCCCCCTCTCTCCCTTCCTCCTTCCCCCACCCCTCTCTCTCTAACTACCTTCAGGTCTTAGGTCAGTGTACATGATGGCGTGTTAGGTCAGTGGAGAGTGTAGAGTGCTGTAGATGGAGTGTTAGGTCAGTGGAGAGTGTAGAGTGCTGTAGATGGAGTGTTAGGTCAGTGGAGAGTGTAGAGTGCTGTAGATGGAGTGTTAGGTCAGTGGAGACAGTGTAGAGTGCTGTAGATGGAGTGTTAGGTCAGTGGAGACAGTGTAGAGTGCTGTAGATGGAGTGTTTAGGGTCAGTGGAGACAGTTGGTAAGTGCTGTGTAGATGGAGTGTTAGGTCAGTGGAGACAGTGTAGAGTGCTGTAGATGGAGTGTTAGGTCAGTGGAGACAGTGTAAAGTGCTGTAGATGGAGTGTTAGGTCAGTGGAGACAGTGTGGAGTGCTGTAGATGGAGTGTTAGGTCAGTGGAGACAGTGTAGAGTGTTGTAGATGGAGTGTTAGGTCAGTGGAGACAGTGTAGAGTGCTGTAGATGGAGTGTTAGGTCAGTGGAGACAGTGTAGAGTGCTGTAGATGGAGTGTTAGGTCAGTGGAGACAGTGTGGAGTGCTGTAGATGGAGTGAGGTCAGTGGAGACAGTGTAGAGTGCTGTAGCTGGAGTGTTAGGTCAGTGGAGACAGTGTGGAGTGCTGTAGATGGAGTGAGGTCAGTGGAGACAGTGTAGAGTGCTGTAGATGGAGTGTTAGGTCAGTGGAGACAGTGTAGGCTGTAGATGGAGTGTTAGGTCCGTGGAGACAGTGTAGAGTGCTGTAGATGGAGTGAGGTCAGTGGAGACAGTGTAGAGTGCTGTAGATGGAGTGAGGTCCGTGGAGGACAGTGGAAGAGTGCTGTAGAGGGAGTGGAGGTCAGTGGAGACAGTGAGAGTGATGTAGCTGGAGTGTTAGGTCAGTGGAGACAGTGTAGAGTGCTGTAGATCGAGTGTTAGGTCAGTGGAGACAGTGTAGAGTGCTGTAGATGGAGTGAGGTCAGTGGAGACAGTGTAGAGTGCTGTAGATGGAGTGTTAGGTCAGTGGAGACAGTGTAGAGTGCTGTAGATGGAGTGTTAGGTCAGTGGAGACAGTGTAGAGTGTTGTAGATGGAGTGTTAGGTCAGTGGAGACAGTTGTAGAGTGCTGTATTGGAGTGTTAGGTCAGTGGAGACTGTGTAGAGTGCTCTAGAAGGATTGTTAGGTCAGTGGAGACAGTGTAGAGTGCTGTAGATGGAGTGAGGTCCGTGGAGACAGTGTAGAGTGCTGTAGATGGAGTGAGGTCAGTGGAGACAGTGTAGAGTGCTGTAGATGGAGTGTTAGGTCAGTGGAGACAGTGTGGAGTGCTGTAGATGGAGTGTTAGGTCAGTGGAGACAGTGTAGAGTGCTGTAGATGGAGTGTTAGGTCAGTGGAAACAGTGTAGAGTGCTGTAGATGGAGTGTTAGGTCAGTGGAGACAGTGTAGAGTGCTGTAGATGGAGTGAGGTCCGTGGAGACAGTGTAGAGTGCTGTAGATGGAGTGAGGTCCATGGAGACAGTGTAGAGTGCTGTAGATGGTTGTTAGGTGACCTGGTTTTAAGTAGACTAGATACAGTATGTTAGTGTTTAAAATGGAGCTGGATGCAGCTCAGTGTTGATGGATGGAGCTCAGGGCTGGAGAAGGGAGGCCATTTTGGATGTGTCTAAAGATACAGTAGGGCCTAGATTCAAATCGGACCGTGGAAGATCCGCGTTATAGTGCGATTTGACATTTAAAGGTAATTCATTTCCAATTGAGCCAGCATATGCAGCTTGTACTGTGAATGCGTTTTTCCAAACGCGGAAACATTGCCTTTAAAAGGTTCATAGTCGAAAAGGGGATTGAATCTAGCCCTAGGTCTACTAGCTTCCCTCTGGTAAATCCTGGTCTGTTGGTAAACTTATGTATTGCCTGAATCATCTACTAAAGTCTCTCTAAACTTATATATTGGGTTGTGATGGGGTACAACAGTTGAATTAAACTCATAAGGCATTTATAAATTCTTCAATAAATAAATGGGTAAATATCATACATTTTAATGTCCAAAAATCACAGATTGCCCCTTTAAGCTTTGCCTCCGGAAACTCTCTCTTCTCGTCTCCTATCTCTCTCTCTCTAGCTCTCTCTTCTCTCTCTCTCTCCCTCTCTCTCTCTCTTCTCATTCCCCTCTCCTCCATACGATAACTCACTCGTAGTCTCGGTTCCTCTTTCCCTCTCTGTCCTCTGTCCTTCTCTCCTCTCTCTCACTCCCTCCTCCCTTCTCTCTCTATCGGGGGCGGGTGAGGGTCCTCCGTCTGAATGGGACTACGGGACTCAAAAGATTGGTCTCCGTTCCATCTTTCCCGTCTGTCTCTCTGTCCTTCTCTTCCTCTCTCTCCTCCCTCCTTCCCTTCTCTCTCTGTGATGCGGGGCTGTGGGTGAGGGTCCGTGTCCAGTCTGAAGCTGGGGAAGCTAAAGGTGGTGCGGCGGCAGCTGCTGCAGAGGTAAATTACAAGTGTGCAAAAGATTCCATTCTAACTGATAGATGATACAGTACTATAGTATTACCTGTCGTTAACAGGTATAATAGTATCGTTATAGTGTGTTGTTCCCAGGTTAAATTATTGTATTATATTCTTGTATATTGCATTATATTTTAGTATTATTGTGTTTTTATCCAGGTATGAGCACCAGCCGTTTGTGTCGTGTCTGGCTGGTCTGTACGGCTGTCAATGGAGACGCTACCAGAGGGCCAAGTCACAGCCTGGGGAGTGCTGCTGCAGCAGGGTAGGCTATACACACACAGGCACACACGCAGAAGCACGCTTGCACACACACACACACACACACATTTTATTTTGAGTCTTTTGTTGTTTTAATTTAAAATGTAACATCAAATTAGCTAATTTCGTAAGCTCTTGAATCTCAGAAAATACCCCCTTCCCGCTCTTAGAGCGCACTCGTGTCTGACTTGCATGCAGTGGCCACTGTGTGCGGGCGCTGGGTGGGAGACTTTAATACTGTTAAGGAATGGGGCAAAGAATGGGGCAATTCTACTGCCTGTTAGCAAGATGCAGATTTCAGCAGCAGAACAAACTCAAATCAAGTAAAAACAAGTCTGTTTTGACAGCTTAGCTAACTAGCTAGCTAGCATATTTGCATCATCATTCGCTCTGATCAGCTGATAACCACTCTTTTCCCGATGTCAATAATACTTTCTCTGTTGTGTTGGTAATGTTACTGAACTATGTCTTAGGAAAAATGACTCTCTGTCTTTCTCTGACCCCCCCCCCTCTCCCTCCCTCCCTCCCCCTTTCCCTCCCTCCCTCCACCCCCGTTCCCTCCCTCCCTCCACCCCCGTTCCCTCCCTCCCTCCACTCTCCCCTCTCCCCCTTCTCTCTCCCCCCTCTCTTCTCTTCTCTCTCTCCTCCAGGTGGAGTGTGGGAGCGTGGTCCTCCTGGTCCTGACCTTCCTTCTCTCCTCTCTGTTCCTCTACTTCTGGAGCCAGGCTCACAACGATTACAATGAATTTGACTGGTGGGTCACACACACATACACTCGGGCATGACACACAAACACACCACAAACGCACGCGCACACGCACGCATAAACACACTGATTGTACTATATGTATGTATTGCAGGTTTAACTTTGAGACTCTGGGATTCTGGTTCCCCTGGTCTCTGTTGCTGCTGGTTGTTGCTGCTGCTCTGTTCACCTACATCTCTCTGCTGCTGGTGAGAACTAGTAATATTACTATAAATACTTATATACTTATACTACTGATATTGCTATACTATTACTACTGTTACTACTACTATACTACTACTATACAACTACTGCTGCTCATTTCACCTACATCTCTCTGCTGCTGGGGAGAACTAGTAATACTACTATAAATACTAATATACTTATACTACTGATATTACTAAACTATTATATAAATACTACTATACTTATTACTACTATTACTATAATATTATTACTACTATACTATTGCTGCTGCTCTGCTGCTGGTGATAACTATAGTACTATCACTATACTACTACTGCTGCTCTCTTCAGTACTACTACATTACTATACAACTGTACTACTGCTGCTCTGTTCAGTACTACTACATTACTATACAACTGTACTACTGCTGCTCTGTTCATCTACATCTCTCTGTTGTTGTCTTGCAGGTACTGGCAGTGTGTTTACTGTCTGAGGGACAGAGGCTGTACCTTCACTGGAGTCACAAGGTATCTCCCATCCTCCATGTAGTACAGCACACATTCACACACTCACATCCATCATCTCTGAGGCAGCACAGACTGATCAGGATGACACATATGTTGATTAGACCGTTGTTCATTTTCTGTGTTAGATGGGGATCGTGGTGACCATGGCGTTCTCTGTCAGTGCCACGGCAGTTCTCTCTGAGGTGTGGAGTAAAGAGTGGAAGACCCTCCTCCTCTCCCTGCAGGTTGGCCAGTCTAGCCGTCACTCACACATACATAGACCAATCACATCAAGCGACCCAAAGTAACAATGTTAAATGTGTATGTTCAGTTGTCAGCATTGTGATATAAACCTTTCTCTCCCTCCCCTTCTCTATCCCCCTCCTGATTGGCTAGGTCACAGCCCCCTTTCTTCATGTAGGCGTGGTTTTATTGATGACTCTCCTGTCCTGGTCAATAGCGCTGCACTTTTTTCGTATGAACAAGAGAGGTAAGCGCTCCGATTGGCTGCTGTAAAACAAGTCCAGGTTCTGGTCGTGTTCCCCTGCTCAGATGTTGCTGACACATGCCAGATTTTTCAAAGCCTGGATAGGTATTTTACGAATCAGCTAACCACATCTATGTTATAGCAACCTAGTGTCCGAATGCACGGTCAATGACGTGGCACGCAACCATTGGTTGATGCATGCAACGTCTGAGCAAAAGAACGCAACCTCTATTGACTGAGACTGAGAGATACCTTTTCAGAGTTATAAAACCTGGCATAGACACTGCCATGACGCACACTCTGTCCTTCACTCTCTCTATGTCTCTTTTCCCCTCTACCTCTCGCTCGTTTCTCTGTCATCTCCATGGTCACTGTTCTGAGTTGTCGCGGTGACGTGAAGCTCTAGGTGGACTAGCTGACTCATGTCTGGCCTCTCTGTGGAGGATAATGACACACACACTTAAGCCCTGTCAGGTGTACAGTAGTCTGATTAAAGGGGCAATCTGCAGTTCACACAATAACAAAGCACCTCCCCGCCATCCATTTTGGTAAACAGCTAAAGGATGGGGCTGGAGAAATGTAATCACTCTCACTACATTCATAGACCCAGCGTTTATAAATTCATGAGGCATTTATAAATTCTTCAAGTAATCAATGGGTAAATATCATACAGTACCAGTCAAAAGTTTGGACACACCTACTCATTCAAGGATTTTTCTTTATTTTTACTATTTTCTACATTGTAGAATAATAGTGAAGACATCAAACTATGAAATAACACATATGGAATCAGGTAGTAACTAAAAAAGTGTTAAACAAATCAAAATATATTTTATATTTGAAATTCTTCAAAGTAGCCACCCTTTGCCTTGATGACAGCTTTGCACACTTGGCATTCTCTCAACCGGCTCACCTGGAATGTTTTTCCAACAGTCTTGAATGAGTTCCCACATATGCTGAGCACTTGTTGGCTGCTTGTCTTTCACTCTGCAGTTCAACTCATCCCAAACCAACTCAATTGAGTTGAGGTCGGATGATTGTGGAGGCCAGGTCATCTGATGCAGCACTCCATCACTCTCCTTCTTGGTCAAATAGCCCTTACACAGCCTGGAGGTGTGTTTTGGGTCATTGTCCTGTTGAAAAACAAATGATAGTCCCACTAAGCGCAAATCAGATGGGATGGCGTATCGCTGCAGAATGCTGTGGTAGCCATGCTGGTTAAGTGTGCCTTGAATTCTAAATAAATCACTGACAGTGTCACCAGCAAAGCACCCCCACACCATCACACCTCCTCCTCCATGCTTCACGGTGGGAACCACTCATGCAGAGATCTACTCTGCGTCTCACAAAGACACGGCGGTTGGAACCAAAAACCTCAAATTTGGACTCATCAGACCAAAGGAGATTTCCACCGGTCTAATGTCCATTGCTCGTGTTTCTTGGCCCAAGCAAGTCTCTTCTTCTTATTGGTGTCCTTTAGTAGTGGTTTCTTTGCAGCAATTTGACCATGAAGGCCTGATTCACGCAGTCTCCTCTGAACAGTTGATGTTGAGATGTGTCTGTTACTTGATATCTGTGAAGTATTTATTTGGGCTGCAATCTGAGGGGCAGTTAACTGCTGATTTCTGAGGCTGGTAACTCTAATGAACTTATCCTCTGCAGCAGAGGTAACTCTGGGTCTTCCTTTCCTGTGGCGGTCCTCATGAGAGCCAGTTTCATCATAGCGCTTGATGTGTTTTGTGACTGCACTTGAATACATTTTCCGGATTGACTGACCTTCATGTCTTGAAGTAATGATGGACTGTTGTTTGTCTTTGCTTATTTGAGCTGTTCTTGCCATAATATGGACTTGGTCTTTTACCAAATAGGGCAAACTTCTGTATACCAACCCTACCTTGTCACAACACAACTGATTGGCTCAGATGCATTAAGAAGGAAAGAAATTCCACAAATTAAATTTTAACAAGGCACACCTGTTAATTGAAATGCATTCCAGGTGACTACCTCATGAAGCTGGTTAAGAGAATGCCAAGAGTGTGCAAAGCTGTCATCAAGGCAAAGGGTGGCTACTTTGAAGAATCTAAAATATATTTTGATTTGTTTAACACTTTTTTGGTTACTACCTGATTCCATATGTGTTATTTCATAGTTTTGATGTCTTCACTATTATTCTACAATGTAGAAAATAGTAAAAATAAAGAAAAACCTTTAAATGAGTAGGTGTGTCCAAACTTTTGACAGGTGCTGTACAAAATAAATATGGACGTAACAATCACAGATTGCCCCTTTAAACTCTGATTTAATTTGATTTTTTTTTATCAGTAAGACTTGTATAACTCTAGAATTAGAACACTGGTCCTGCTAGACCTGTTCCAGTATGAGGTTGTTTTGAAATATGGTCTCTCTCTCTCTCTCAATTCAATTTTCAATTCAATAGACTTTATTGACATGGCAAGTTAAATTACTTACATTGTCAAAGTAAACATAAACTCAGCAAAAAAAGAAACGTCCCTTTTTCAGGACCCTGTCTTTCAAAGATAATTTGTAAAAAATCCAAATAACTTCACAGATCTTCATTGTAAATGGTTTAAACATTGTTTCCCATGCTTGTTCAATGAACCATAAACAATTAATGAACATGCACCTGTGGAAAAGTCGTTAAGACACTAACACTTACAGACGGTAGGCAATTAAGGTCAAAGTTATGAAAACTTAGGACACTAAAGAGGCCTTTCTACTGACTCTGACAAACGCCCAGGGTCCCTGCTCATCTGCCTGAACGTGCCTTAGGCATGCTGCAAGGAGGCATGAGGACTGCAGATGTGGCCAGGGCAATAAATTGCAATGTCCGTACTGTGAGACGCCTAAAACAGCGCTACAGGAAGACAGGACGGACAGCTGATCATCTTCGTAGGGGCAGACCACTTGTAACAACACCTGCACAGGATCGGTACATCCGAACATCACACCTGCGGGACAGGTACAGGTTGGCAACAACAACTGCCCGAGTTACACCAGGAACGCACAATCCCTCCATCAGTGCTCAGACTGTCCGCAATAGGCTGAGAGAGGCTGGACTGAGGGCTTGTAGGCCTGTTGTAAGGCAGGTCCTCACCAGACATCACCGGCATCAACGTCGCCTATGGGCACAAACCCACCGTCGCTGGACCAGACAGGACTGGCAAAAAGTGCTCTTCACTGACGAGCCGCGGTTTTGTCTCACCAGGGGTGATGGTCGGATTCGCGTTTATCGTCGAAGGAATGAGCATTACACTCTGGAACGGGATCGATTTGGAGGTGGAGGGTCCGTCATGGTCTGGGGCGGTGTGTCACAGCATCATCGGACTGAGCTTGTTGTCATTGCAGGCAATCTCAACGCTGTGCGTTACAGGGAAGACATCCTCCTCCCTCATGTGGTACCCTTCCTGCAGGCTCATCCTGGAATGACCCTCCAGCATGACAACGCCACCAGCCATACTGCTCGTTCTGTGCATGATTTCCTGCAAGACAGGAATGTCAGTGTTCTGCCATGGCCAGTGAAGAGCCCGGATCTCAATCCCATTGAGCACGTCTGGGACCTGTTGGATCGGAAGATGAGGGCTAGGGCCATTCCCCCCAGAAATGTCAGGGAACTTGCAGGTGCCTTGGTGGAAGAGTGGGGTAACATCTCACAGCAAGAACTGGCAAATCTGGTGCAGTCCATGAGGAGGAGATGCACTGCAGTACTTAATGCAGCTGGTGGCCACACCAGATACTGACTGTTACTTTTGATTTTGACCCCCCCTTTGTTCAGGGACACATTAATCAATTTCTGTTAGTCACATGTCTGTGGATCTTGTTCAGTTTATGTCTCAGTTGTTGCATCTTGTTATGTTCATACAAATATTTACACATGTTAAGTTTGCTGAAAATAAACACAGTTGAAAGTGAGAGGACGTTTCTTTTTTTGCTGAGTTTATAACAAATATGGTGGGACCAACAGCAAAAATAATAGTAGTAGTGGAAAAGGGATTACCATTAACAGCAACTACAACAACAATATTAATGAGAATAACAATACATTAAAGCAATAGTAGTCGACCAGTCTCAACATGACTGAGAAGCCACATGACATGGTATGAAAGCCAAAACAAAACGGGAAATATTATTGACATTACATTGCACTTTTCACTGGCTGTCCCTCAGGTGGTGGCAGGAGGACACATATTTGGCTGCCAAAACTGCACATTTTTCTCCTTTCCTTCTCTCTCTAGTGGATCAGGTGTGTCTGTTGGGTGTGTACCTGAGTGTATTGTTCAGTCTGTACCTGGTTCCGCTGGCCATGTATTCTCCCTGCATCAGAGACTCTGGAACCCTGGGGCCAAAACCAACACTCCTCGGACACAGAGGAGCTCCCATGGTACGACCAACCTATCATACATCTATCAATAAAGCTTTATACTACTCAATTATTCAGTAACACCCAGAGCAGCATGGTATGACCAATCACACTATCAAACACTATCATTATCAATATTATCCCTATATATCAGTACTACCACTTGCAGTATACATTAGGATGACACAGAGAAGCTCCCATTGTACAACCAGTCATATTATCAATATTATCACTATCTATCAATAACATCATTATCAATATTATCACTATCTATCACTAACATCATTATCAATATTATCACTATCTATCACTAACATCATTATCAATATTATCACTATCTATCAATAACATCATTATCAATATTATCACTATCTATCAATAACATCATTATCAATATTATAAATATCTATCAATAACATCATTATCAGAATTATATTTTCTATAACATTATCAATATTATATCTATCAATAACATCATTATCAATATTATCACAATCTAGCAATAACATCATTATCAATATTATCACTATCTAGCAATACTACCACATACTATATACAGGATGACACAGAGACATTCCCATGGTAAATCCAGTCACATAACTTTAACACAGAGGCTCTGGCCTCATGTTACTTTAGAGAGTCAGAGAGAGAGAGAGTTCCTGATTAGAATAAGGTCTGGCACTGGAAAATGTACTTGGCACCATGCATTGTTGATGCCTTTGTGTTTTTGTGTGTGTGTATGTGTTTGTTCGCGTGCATGTCTGTCCTCTAACAGCTTGCTCCAGAGAATACTCTAATGTCCTTTGAGAGCGCAGTGGAGGCTGGAGTGGACGGGTTGGAGACTGACGTCACTATAAGGTACACTCCCCTCTGTCCGTCTGTCTGTCTTGTTTTGTCTTTCTTGTCTTATCTGTCTTGTCTGTCTGTCCCCTTCTGATCCCTGTAATAGCCCTGTGTCCTGGCTAGCCTTGACCCCTGTCCGGCCCTGTCCTGTCATGGCTAACCTTGTAATAATCCTAGAGATCAGACATTAGCGTTAGCGTCCCTCCACTCCTCCCAGTTAATGTGATTGCAGCCTAGCTAATCCAGTTAGCGGTTAATACTCCTGTCCAGGCCTGCTAGCCTGGCGCTGGCTGTGTTCTCTATGTGGCCTTTAGCTTTAGCATGTAGCATGCAGCCCTGGGTTCAAATACTATTTCAAATAATTTCAGATACTTAAGCTGGGCTTGAGAGAAAGAGAAGGGGCCAGGGTTTAATGGAGTTCGCCTGGTGTAGTGGAACCAATAGAATAGTTGCAAAACTGTAAACTCGGCCAATCAGGCACTCCAGGCAGGCTAAAGTAAACGCTCAAAGTATTTGAAAGATTTCAAATGGTATTTGAACCCAGGCCTGGTAGCAGGACTCTAGCCAGCAGACCTAGTGTAGCTTCACCTGAGACCTGCCACACATGTTTGTCTTGACCATGTGAACACCAGGCCCTAATCTCTCCCCTCCCCTTGCCTCTCTGCTAGTGCTGATGGCGTTCCGTTTGTGATGCATGACCTCACCCTGCAGAGGACCACTAACGTAGAAGAGGTGTTTCCTAACAGAACACACACACCTGCTGCCCTATTCACCTGGTCTGATGTACAGCAGCTCAACGCTGGGGCCTGGTTTCTCTCTGTAAGGACACGCGCACACACACACAGTCTTGCGCAGCTAACCTTGTGGGGACATACAATTCAGTCCCATTCAAAATCCTATTTTCCCTAACCCTAAACCTAACCCTAACCCGTACCCATACCCTTACCCTAACCTTAACCCAAAAACCTAACCTTAACCCTAGCTCCTAACCCTATCTCCTAATCCTAAACCTAATTCTAACCCTAACACTAATTCTAACCTTAACCCTAAACCCCCTAGAAATAGCATTTGACCTTGTGGGGACCAACATAATGTCCCCAGTTGATCAAATTTTTATTGGTTTACTATTCTTGTGGGGACTTCTGGTCCCCACAAGTATAGTTAAACACGTCCACACACACACACACACACACAGTAGCTGACTTTAGCACCATGGGTTAGTTAGTAACTGTATTACAGACCTCTTTTAACCATCACTCACTCTCTCTCTCCACCCCCCTCCCTCCCAGTGGGATCCGTTTGGCACGGTGTCCTCTCTGTCTCCAGAGCAGCGAGCGCTAGCTGGCAATCAGACGGTTCCCTCCCTGGCTGAAGTTCTGGACGTAGCTAATCGGGCGGGCAGGACAGTGCTGTTTGACCTGAGACAACCTCCGCCTGGACACCCTTACAGAGACAACTACCTCAACATCACCCTGGACCTCATACACACAAACATCAACTCCAGCCAGGCACGTGTGTGGATGGGGGGAGGGAGGGAGGGGGGGGGGCCACTGTGGTAGTTCCTACCTTCGGCTCAAAGGACTATGTTAGAAAGGCCTGCCGCCATTCAAAGGTGTCTCCCTGCTCTTATAAGGGACAGCCTTTTTTAATATTGCATGTGTGTGTGTGTAGGTGCTGTGGCTGCCATCAGATCAGAGAGAGGAGATACAGCAGGTGGATCCAGAGCTGCAACAGACAGCAGGACAGACTGCCTCTATACAGGAACTACAGAACAACCACATCACTACCCTCAACCTGCACTACAGCACCATGTCTCTACAGCACATCAGGTACACACCCACACACAAATAATGTACTATAAAATGTCTCTCTCCTCACCCACCATGTATGTGTGTTTGTGTGTGTTCCAGTAAGTACAGGTCGGTGAACATCAGTGTGAACCTGTATGTAGTGAACCAGCCGTGGCTTTACTCTCTGGCCTGGTGCAGTGGAGCATCCTCTGTTACCACCAACAACATGCTACTGAGAGATATACACACACCGCTGCTGCTTGTGGTGAGACACACACACACCACAGGAGGTTGGCTGCACCTTATTTGGAAGGACAGGCTCATAGTAATGGCTGGAACGGAATCAACGGAATGGTATCGAGCTCATCAAGCACATGTTTTCCATGTTTTTAGTACCGTTCTATTCACTCCATTCCAGCCGTTATTATGAGCTGTCCTCCCCTCAGCAGCCTCCTGTAACACACACACACACATTTACTCCTTATGGTGACACACACACATCACTGTTCATCATGGTGAGAGACACACACACACACACACACATATCGCTTCTCCATATGGTGAGACACACAAACACACACTAATGTCTTTACGTGTTTCCCAACCCCTACAGACTCCAGAGCAGTACAGTGTGATGTGGGTTCTGACTGACCTGGTCTCTGCTGCTCTCATCGTCTGTGTCTTCATATTCCACTGGTGAGTTCACACATTTCTACATACATGTCAAAGGTGTGTGACTGAGGTGATTACAGTGGAAAATATAATGGGTTAATTAGGTAAAGGTGTGTCTGTAAGGTGAAAGTGTGTGTGTGTGTGTAAAGTGAAGGTGTGCTATTTCTCATTGTCCTACAGGTGGCGTGAGCGAGGCCTACACTTCTGGTCAGGCAGTCGACAGACACATGAGACCGGGCCTTATAGCAAGTTCAGGACCGGTAAGGACAACAATGTCATACTTCATACTGTACATCAGTATGGCCCTCTCCCATTGGACTAATCTCCTACTTGTGTGAAACACACAGGCGCGTATGTTTAAAAGTGTTCCAACATTTTAATCTCTTGCATAACTGTACAGTTTATGAGCTGGATTAGCTGTTTGTTTCAAATTCTAAAATAATCTCTGCTCAATGCCAGTGGTGTTTTAACCCTCTAGTTTATTGGACTCATAACATTAAAAAGCCTGCTTCATTAGAGGCAGTATGTTAGTGCATTTTTAAGGCAGTGTACATCCATGCACCTCGGGATGATTTGAGTTTTTACTCGGAATGCCGGCGTACCATAAATTATTCTGTGTTCCGTCTGTGCCTCAGATCCAATGGAATCAGGGTGGGGTCGATGGAATCCCTTCCACTCAGAGTCTCCCACTAGAACCCTCATCTCCCTCCCAATGGGCCTCAACCCATGAACCACTCAACTCGTGAACCCTGCATGAACCAATGAACCTCCCATGAACCCACAAACCCTCTGGTTCTCAACCCTTGAAACCTGCATGAACCACTGAACCTCCCATTAACTATTCCCAAACCCCAAACCTTTGGACCTCAACCCACACATAAACCCTGCACCAACCCCTCACCTGAACTCCAACTACCACACCCCTGACCTCTAACCCCTAACCTTTGCCCAGCAGAGCTCAGCGACGTCTGGTCCATCTCCAGTGGGAATGTCCGAACGGAACTACGGACCCCCAGTACCCTCCACACCATCACAGAGGAGTAACACACACACACACACACAAACACACACAGGCACACACACACACAGACACTCACCCAGTCACATGCACACGAAGTGTGACCGCACAAGAATAAGCAAAGGGAAACGGGGAGGAAAACAAGAGAAGAGGAACTGAATGTGTAAAAAGAGGAAGAGGGTGATGTAATGTGAAAGATAAGCCAGTATTTTAAGACTGTTGTTCCTGTGTCCTCACCTGACCAGCTCATTCACTCCCCCTATGGTGACCACTGGAACTGCAGAACTGAATTGCTAAATTATGAAATATACACTGAACAAAAATATAAACGCAACATGTAAAGTGTTGGTCCCATCTTTCATGAGCTGAAAAAATTTTTTCCTTAAAATTTTCTATATGCACAAAAAGCTTATTTCTCTCAAATTTTGTGGGGGGGTGCTGAGGTGTTTTTATATCTGTAATAAAGACCTTTTTGGGGGAAAACTAATTCTGATTGGCTGGGCCTGGCTCCCCAGTGGGTGGGCCTGGCTGCCAAGTCACCAATGGCTGCACCCCTGCCCAGTCATGTGAAATCCATAGATTAGGGCCTAAGGAATTTATTCCAATTGACTGATTTCCTTATATGAACTGTAACTCAGTAAAATCTTTGCATGTTGCGTTTATATTTTGGTTACATTTTAGTCATTTAGCAGACTCTTATCCAGAGCGACTTACAGTTAGTGAGTGCATACATTTTTCATACTGACCCCCTGTGGGAATCGAACCCACAACCCTGGCGTTGCAAGCGCCATGCTCTACCAACTGAGCTACAGGAGGGCCTGGTTTAGTATATATTTTTTATTCTCGTAACTGTAAAGACATCAGCTGCATTAGAGGAATTTATTAATAGTGTCTTATTTTGTGTGTGAGTGAGTGGATGCAGGTGAACACTGACTGTACTGTGGTTTTAGTTTCATAAGGTTTTAATGATCAGGAGTTGCTATTTATATTTGAATGTATGACCAAGCAGTAGCCTAGTGTTTTAGCATGGCAGTGAATACAGCGTCTGCTTCTGCTAACACACATATCTATCTATCATGAGATCTACTCCTAAACCTTAATTATCTATTTTGAGGTTGTAGAAGCTACGTGAGGATGACTTTCAGGTGTTGTGTGGAAAGTTGATGGTTTCAGGTGTTAGTCTGAGGGTTGGTTGGTTGGTAATGGCTCTGTGGACAGTGTTGAGCAGGAGACAGGATATCTAAGTGCCATAGGAGACACACTGTCCACAAGCCTCTGGCCAGCCATACAGAGGAAAGGATAGAGATTTTAAGGTGCTTCTACATAGCTTTTGTAATTATTTGAAGCCTTCTAGAACTCTCCCAAGACATTCTAGAACTATCCCAGGACATTCTCAAACACGCAAAGACATTCTAGAACTGTCCCAATACATTCTAGAACTCTCCAATGACATTCTAGAACTCTCACAAGCCATTCTAGAACTCTCCAAGACAGAATATACATGTTGACAATCTCTATGTTCACAGTAAACCAACTAACAACAGAGCAGTTGATATCCTGATGACCAGAGGGCAAAATAATGCCATTAGTGGAATTGCACTCCACCTTGCTTGCATTAGAGACCGCTAGGCTATACAAATACCATGCTATCATGAATCGAAACCTATATTTGGTCCCAACAATGATTCAAAGGTATCAAACACTCTGAATGTAATTGTTGTTAAATAGCGAAAGGCTACATAGTATTTCTTGTCGTTTTCTGTATAACAGGACGACCATTTTGTTTTAATGTATATGAGCCTTCTCTATGTTATTATTTTACTGTAACTATTTTCTGACTGTAAATGGTATTACCTGATATAAAACATCTTTAAAGGATTGAGTTGGTTGGTGTTTGTATTCATTAATTAACCCATTTGATTCCATGTCCACAATATAACGCTACTTCTGTTACTCCAGTTGAACAAAAATACATCGGCCCACTGTCTCCATCCAATCATCTTTATTGTTTTTACAAAAACAGACACCCTGGCCGGGATTCAATCTGAGCGCTCTAATAAACAATGCGGCTTTTAAAGGCTATGTTAACTCATTCACGGAGATCGTATTCAAGGTAACTACTGCAGATGTCGGCTCAATTGGAAATTCCCTTTAAATGTCAAGCGCACTACAGTACGGTTTCTGATTTAATCCTGGCCCTCATTGGGGGTGCAGAGGAGGGGCGGGGCAAGGACAACTAGACTAACGGCATCTCTGACAGTAGCTCCACCGTCATCATGTCTTCTATCAGGACAGTGGAGCAACACAGCTGCTGTAGTAATGTTGTAGTAATATCACCCAGACAGACCGGGAACACTGTGCATCCTAAATGGCACCCTATTCCCTAAATAGTGCAATACTTTTGCCCAGAGCCTTATTTTTGACCAGGGCCCATAGGGCTCTGGTTAAAAGTAGTGCACTATATAGGGAATAGGGTGCCATTTGAGACACATCCACAGTGTTGTAAAACCATACGTTGAGCTGATTAGTGGAAATTCACCCAGAACTCTGTGTTGTTAATGTAAACTAGCGCCTGTAGAATATAGACTGATTCCTCATACAAACCATATTTTCACTACATGGACAGATCCTTTACACAATGTAAATATAAAATAAGTACCAAAAATCTTAAACAAAAACAAACAAATTCAACAGCAGACAGACAGGTTAGTTAGTTGTGGAGGGAAGGAGGTGTTTGTAGTGGTGTCAAGCTCCTCTGTGCAGAACAGGAGAAACAGACAGTAACATCAGCATCCTGCCTGAACAACACACTACTAACACACAGTGTGCGTCCCAAATGACACCCTATTCCCTTTATAGTGCACTACTTTTGACCAGGGAACTATATAGGGAATAGGGTACCATTGGGACGCAGGGTATAGAACTCTTCATGCAGAACTCAGAATCATCCATGGATCAGTTCTTTTCCAGCTGAGTTAGGTCTAGACCTGGTTCTAGTAAGGATTGTAGGGAACTTTGCAACCCTAGTTCTAGTTAGTATGACAAAGGCCATTGGTGAGTTAAACACTAGTCTCATAGAGCTACAGTACATAGATCTGCCAAATACCAACAGATAATGATCCTTTCTGGTCAAACACTAACGCTCTATGTTAAAACTCCACAGCAGGCAAGTCCACCTGAGGCTTACAGCACAGACAGACAGACCTCTGAGCTAAAGCCTAATTATACCATACGCAAGTAGGAAACACAAGAACATAATTGGCGATCTTGCGTTGTTGTGTTGAGTTACAACTTCCGAGGCTGCTGGTTTGCATATTTTTGCTACTCAAGTATTTTACTCAGTAAGTTCACTTAATTCTTATTTTCAGTAACTATTTAATTGTCTAGTTAAAGTACCCAATCGCATGGCTTTCCATTCATTCTGTCCATCCAATTGGTTAATAACAAGTCTCCTTGGTAACAGACTGCCAACTCTTCAGTCTGAACACAATGTTCAAAAACACTAATTTAACTGTTTGTGTGTGTGTTTACAACCTTCGTGTTTGTAGTGTGTGTGTGTGTACAGTGTCTTTGGGAGGATAAAGGGGCGGGGCTTAGAGGTAGTCATCCTCAATAGAGGGCTCGTCATCAGGATCGTTGCTATGGTTGTTGCTAGAGACATTGCTAAGGTCGTTGCTATGTGCATAGCTGGAGGCGGTGCTAGAGGAGGGGCTCTGGCTCATCCTCCACACCTGGTTAGAGAAGCTCTGCCCCCAGCTGCAGGGCTGGCAAACAGGGCACAGTATTCTAATTAGCTCTGCAGCTTCCTGCCAATAGGAAGTTCACTTGCTGTGGCCCCTCCCAGTTCTCTGTTTACTCATGGTGGTCAACATCTGGCTGATGTAGGAAGTCAGGAGGTCATCCATCTTATAGCCCTGAAAACACACACACACACAAATCTGTTTTCATCATGTGCGTGCGCGCGTGTGTGTGTGTGTGTGTGTGTGTGTGTGTGTGTGTGTGTACGTGAGGGCGCGCGTGTGTTTTTTACGTGTGTGTGTGTGTCTCACCAGTGAGGTCTCACACAGCAGCTTGCTGCCCCTGACCAGGTTGCCGATGGTGATGTGGAAGTAGGTGTTACCACTGCTCCAGTTGGAGATCTTAGTGAACGGGTGGGTGGTCAGGATGTCCTGTAGTACACACACACACACACATCAGTGAAATACCAGGTAACACGTTCACACACATACACCTAGAGAAAGAGATGAGACGTCATGTAACACACACACAGGAAATGTACCCTTGGAAATTAATAAAGGACCTATCTACACACACACACATACATACACACCTTGGTCTTTGGGTCTATGAGGCTGACTCCATGCTTGTTGATGGCAATTAGGAGGATCTCTGGGAAGTTGGGCGCTGTGGTTTGCTGAACAGAGAGAATATCGCACTGACTGAGAAGAGGTACACAATACTGGAAAGACCGACCGACAGACAGACAGACAGACCGGCAGGCAGGCAGACATCCCAGACAGACAGACATCCCAGACAGAGACAGTAACGTGACCCCAAGGTGAGATTGAGAATGACATCACTGAACGGCATGGTTACCTTGACTTCGAAGAAGGCGGATCCGAACGTGGCCCATTTGAAGATGATCTTCAGGAACTGGAGTTTGGCCTCCTCCCTGGACTTACCAGCCTGTTTATTGAAATACGCTACTACAGACTACACACACATACACATACACACAGATATGTATGCATGTATGCAAAGTTAAACAGACACACAGCCATACACCAAAAAACAGAGAAAAAAAACAATAAAACAGTTGATTAGGTCACAGATACAGATGAATGCAGTAGTCAATCATGAGAAAGACAGCCATTAAGGACATAGCCAGGGCAGCCAATCAGAGCCCAGGAGAGGAGGGAGAAATCTTGTCTCACCCGTTTCCAGTCATCTGGGGAGAGCTGGCGAATCAGGTCCTGTGGCACCAGCTCCCGCAGGATCTTGGGTATTGAGGGGAAGTGAGACTTGTCGTCTTCGTACTTCACCCTGTAGATCAACGCTCCCAGCTGGAACACCTCGTCACGACTACACTTATGGTAACCACGGAGATACTTGGGCAGCTCCTAGGTAACCGGAGGGCAAAAGTGACCAGTTAATAGTGAACAATAGTCCTGGATTCTATCAGAGGCGCCAAGTGCATTGCACTACAGACAATGTGTATTTTAAAATACATTTCCCCGATATTCCTGGAGAATGCATTCATGGTAAACGCTGTAGGTGTTGGCACAAGCCATAACAACGAACAACGCACCTTTGATTGAATCACAGTCTTAGTATATGAACATTGTCAGGCTTTGAATCTTTTAAGTTTACTCAGTACAAGCGGAACCAGTTCCATTACACACACACCTGGTAGTAGTGGAAGATGGAGTCAGCGAAGGAGTCTTTACCAGGAACAGTGTTGGTCCACAGCTTCTTCATGAAGAACACCTGGTAGGTCAAAGACGGTATGATACCTACACACACACACACACACACACACACACACACACACACACACACACACACGTTAAAGGGATTAAAGGTATAGTTCATGTTAAAGGGTTAGTTCATGTTAAAGGGATAGTTAATGTTAAATGGATAGTTCATGTTAAAGGGATAGTTCATGTTAAATGGATAGTTCATGTTAAAGGGATAGTTCATATTAAAAGGACAGTTCAATCTAAATCCTAGTTTTTATGGAATACCATCTTTAGAGGGCCGAGCCGTCTTGATCCAGTCTGTGAGGTGTCTGACAAAGTCAAAGAAGAAATCGCCCTCTGGTACACTGATCACCTACAAGACACACACACACACACACACACACACACACAAAAGAGTTGGGGCATGTTCGAGAACATCAAATCTGTGATATATTGTGGGTAAATTGTGATTGCCTGATTGATCTACAAATAATAATTAGTAGTTATTTATGATCCTAGGTGATTTGTAGATCAATCAGTCGGCTGTCGCCTTTAAAATCTGCTGTAATGACGAACAAGTCGTTAGTGTGCGTGTGTGTGTGTGGGTGTGTGGCTATCACCTTGTCGGAGATCTTTACGAACAGGCTGAATCCTTCAGGTAATTTGAGCAGCAGGCGAGCAGAGATTGCCAGACAGAAGTCTTTAGCCTTGGTGCTGGACTCCACCTCAAATGCCTGTCAATTACACACACCAGCCAATCACAGCACAGTAAACACCTGTCAATCACACACACCAGCCAATCACAGCACAGTTAACACCTGTCAATCACACACACCAGCCAATGACAGCACAGTAAACAGCTGTCATTCACGAAGAGCAGCCAATCACATCACAGTAAATGCCTGTCAATAACAACCAGAAATAGAGTTAGAAAGATAGTTTGTGTGTGTCAGTGTGTGCGTATATGTGTGTTCATGTGTGTGTGTGTGCGTGCGTGCGTGCGTGCGTGCGTGTGTGTGTACCTCATCAGTATTGTCAGGGAAGTAGACCTTGTGGAAGATCTGGGTGGTCTTATGTTGGATGGCCTCTACCTCCACCAGGTGGGGAGGGTACTTCCTCGAGCCATTCCTGTCGCCACAACAACACCAACAATAATAACAACAACACCAACAATAACAACAACAACAACAATAATAATAACAATAATAACAACAACAGCAACATCAACAAGGTAACGAGATGAAGAGGAGTGTATCATTAACAGAGTGTGTCTGTTGATATGTGAGATGTGTGAGTGTATGTGAGTATGTGCGTGTGCACGTGTGTTTGCGCCCACGTACAGTTGAAGTCGGAAGTTTACATACACTTAGGTTGGAGTCATTAAAACCTGTTTTTCAACCACTCCACAAATTTCTTGTTAACAAACTATAGTTTTGGCAAGTCGGTTAGGACATCTACTTTGTGCATGACAAAAGTAATTTTTCCAACAATTGTTTACAGACAGATTATTTCACTTATAATTCACTGTATCACAATTCCAGTGGGTCAGAAGTTTACATACACTAAGTTGACTGTGCCTTTAAACAGCTTGGAAAATTCCAGAAAATGATGTCATGACTTTAGAAGCTTCTGATAGGCTAATTGACATAATTTGAGTCAATTGGAGGTGTACCTGTGGATGTATTTCAAGGCCTACCTTCAAACTCAGTGCCTCTTTGCTTGACATCATGGGGAAATAAAAAAAAATCAGCCAAGACCTCAGAAAAATAATTGTAGACCTCCATAAGTCTGGTTCATCCTTGGGAGCCATTTCCAAACGCCTGAAGGTACCACGTTCATCTGTACAAACAATAGTACGCAAATATAAACACCATGGGACCACGCAGCCATCATAACGCTCAGGAAGGAGACGCATTCTGTCTCCTAGAGATGAACGTACTTTGGTGCGAAAAGTGCAAATCAATCCCAGAACAACAGCAAAGGACCTTATGAAGATGCTGGAGGAAACAGGTACAAAGGTATCTATATCCACAGTAAAACGAGTCCTATATCGACATAACCTGAAAGGCCACTCAGCAAGGAAGAAGCCACTGCTCCAAAACCGCCATAAAAAAGCCAGACTACGGTTTGCAACTGCACATGGGGACAAAGATCGTACTTTTTGGAGAAATGTCCTCTGGTCTGATTAAACAGAAATAGAACTGTTTGGCCATAATGACCATCGTTATGTTTGGAGGAAAAAGGGGGTTGCTTGCTAGCCAAAGAACACCATCCCAACCGTGCAGCACGGGGGTGGCAGCATCATGCTGTGGGGGTGCTTTGCTGCAGGAGGGCATGGTGCACTTCACAAAATAGATGGCATCATGAGGAAGGAAAAGTATGTGTATATATTGAAGCAACATCTCAAGACATCAGTCAGGAAGTTAAAGCTTGGTCGCAAATGGGTCTTCCAAATGGACAATGACCCCAAGCATACTTCCAAAGTTGTGGCAAAATGGCTTAAGGACAACAAAGTCAAGGTATTGGAGTGGCCATCACAAAGCCCTGACCTCAATCCTATAGAAAATATGTAGGCAGAACTGAAAAAGCGTGTGCGAGCAAGGAGGCCTACAAACCTGACTCAGTTACACCAGCTCTGTCAGGAGGAATGGGCCAAAATTCACCCAACTTATTGTGGGAAGCTTGTGGAAGGCTACCCGAAACGTTTGACCCAAGTTAAACAATTTAAAGTCAATGCTACCAAATACTAATTGAGTGTATGTAAACTTCTGACCCACTGGGAATGTGATGAAAGAAATAAAAGCTGAAATAAATCATTCTCTCTACTATTATTCTGACATTTCACATTCTTAAAATAAAGTGGTGATCCTAACTGACCTAAGACAGGGAATTTTTACTAGGATTAAATGTCAGGAATTGTGAAAGTTTAAATGTATATGGCTAAGGTGTATGTAAACTTCCGGCTTCAACTGTATGTGTGAGTGTGTGTTACCGTAGGGCCTTCTGTAGTCGTGTCATACAGTCCTGAGCCAGAGGGTGATGTTTCTTGGACTGAAGGAAGCGTTGGACATGAGACAGCAGCATGTTACTGGGAGGGAACAGACCTGTACACAGCCACAGCAACTCCCAGCCCTTCTCCTCACTGTACCTACAGACACATACATACACACACACACACACACACACATACACACTCTGTGGTCAGGACACAAACCAACAGAGCGGAATCTGCAAGAAGTTTCCTGTGTGTGTGTGTGTGTGTGTGTGTGTGTTCTTACTTGACGTGGTTGTCTGTGAGTTGTTTGAGTATCTGACAGAAGATCTCATCTTTTAGAGGTTCGGCTTTCAGGGCTCCTTCAAAGATCTGGTCTGTCAGCTCGTTGACCGAACGCGTTCGCTTAGATGGGTAATCCCCCATATACTTCATCATAGGTGGCACGGTCAAGGAGTTAACATATCACACAAATGTCACAGGTGGGATCTGAACCCTCGTCTCCTGGGAAACCAACATCTTAACCATTAGGCAAAGAGGAAATTCCATATCTGGGCCAAGGGTGATTTTAAGTTGCAGGCAGATTTACCTCATCACAAGATCGTAAGTCTGAAACACAAACATGCAGACAAACACGCACACACACTACAGACTGTGTTGTTAGCAAGTAGCCAGTAAAGGATATCTATGAAGGCCATACAGGCGTCCTGTGACAGGTCTTCATGGCTGAGGACCTTCTTCAGTAGGGGCTGTTTGATAGGCTCTCTGGTGCAGCTCCACATTGAGGCCTTCCCTCTGTTCTTAGTTATCATCACCCTGCTCAGAGTGTGTTTGGGAGGAGGTCTAGGGTGAGGGAGGAATGGAGAGAGAGAGCGAGAGAGAGAGAGAGAGAGCGGGTGAGAGAAGGGGGAGGAGAAAGAGAGGGTGGAAAGAGAGGTGTAGTGACAGGTATAGATAACGTGACATTTTCCTCAGACAGAAAACCCACACAGTTACAAACACTGCAACATGTATTGTGTGTGTGTGCCTGCATGCATGCGTACGTGCGTGTGTCTGTGTGTGTCTACCTGAAGTGGTCGTAGCTGAACTCTTCCAGTGTGTAAGGTTTAACCCTCTCCTCTCCAGTCTCCGGCAGAACTAGCTGAGACAAACGCACCGTCTCCTGTCTCTGGTCTGGTGTCATGGTAACCAACGCCTAGAGAGAGAGAGAGAGAGAGATGAGAGAGAGGATTGAGGATGACACAGATAGAGCCATTACAGTGTAGGCTGTGTGTGTGTGTGTGTGTGTGTGTATGTGTGTGTGTGTTTGTGTATGTGTCTCACCACTACGTCAGCCTGAGGTCTGGTAACAGTGGGCAGGACGTAGACGGCGTCTGCAGGGAAATCTCCTTTTTGATTGGTCCGTTCATTGACCCCGTGGGCCCAGCCTGAGGTCATGACCTGCTGACCTGTCTCCTGGTCCAATAGGATCAGGTCTCCCTTTTGGAACGACAGGAATGTTTCCTCCCCAACTGGAGGGGAAAAGGTACAGTTTGTGTGTGTATGTGTGTGTGTGTGTGTGTGTGTGTGTGTACTCTACTCACCAGGGTTAGTGTTGTCCTGCAGAGCCACCACGTACTTGGACCGGTTCCTCAGGCCCTCTAGGAACGTTACCACAAGGTCTCTGATGTCCTCAGAGTTGGTCGACGTGAACGTAAACTCATCGCCCTTCATGGTCGCCAACGTAAAGCTCTGCACCTGCAGCTTACCACCTCTATCGACACACAGAAGAATGCTCAAAGAATTGCTTATGCGCGGTGCGGTGTAGCTAGCTAGCAGTCTCAGAAGAAGGGAGAGAGAGACATGAATACAGTTGTTAGCTCGGAAGATCGAGCCCATATCTATTCCCTAACAGTTCAGCTAACCATGGGGGGTTGAGGTGTCCACCAACAAAACAACAAAACAGGGTGGCTAGCCCAAGTAAGGAGGATGGCTAACTAACTATACAAATTAAAAATAATATTATTACAGGCAACATAGTAAGTAGGCTTCTTGAAATTAGTAGCTCAGGAGAAAATAAGATAGAAGAAAAGAACAGAAAACAAAAGAAAAATAAACAGAGTCGTCGTTATGTTTATGGTCGAGAGGGCATCAGTGTTAAGGTGGACTCCAAATCCCATCATGCCTCACCTGCAGCTGGACACTGCAGTGATCTCTGGGAAAGAGAGTTCTAGCAGCACCTGCTCCTGTTCGTCTACAAAGTACACCCCTGTCCAGTTCACCGCCACAATGACATCATTCTTAGGCAGACTTGGACCTGTATGGTGGAGAGAGGGGCGGGATCAGAGTATGGACACGTGACTAGGGCTGTGTCCCGATTCTCCGTCCTTCTCCCGAAGTGTGCACTTTCACACTCCCTGTCATGGATTTAACAATGGTGGAAACTCCCTACAGCGAATGAGTACACCAATCCAATGCTTCTAAATCCATGACGGGTAGGGTGCAAGTGCACACTTTGTGAGGAGTGAGTAAATTAGGACTAAGCCTAGATCACATGTATACCTAGATGCCAGGAACAACCCCCTGCAAGTCAATAATTATTCCTCAGAGATATGACGAGGTACAGCACCAAACAGACTGACTGACAGGTACTAAAGAAGGACAGGTACTAAAGAAGGTAGTTGGTCCAGCAGGTACAGCAGGTACGTTACAGCAGGTAGAGTAACGTACCTGAGAACTTGAAGGCCTCATAGAAGCGTGAGAAGAGGAGCGGCCATTTGTAGCGAGCAAAGTCCACCACTTCCTCCTTCACCTTCTGGGGGTCAAACCTCTGCTGGGTGTAGATGCCCTGGGGCGGAGAGGAGAGGGGGGGACGCACAGTTAGGTTGTCCCAAATGGCCTCCTATTCCCTATATAGTGCAATACCTTTGACCAGGTTCCATAGAGCTCTGGTCAAAAGTAGTGCCCTATGTAGGAAATATGGTGCCATTTGGGACACACACATAGTGACTTACAATCAGTGTATTTAAAAAACTAGGTAAGACAATCACATATTACGATCAAAATAATTGAAAGTAAAACATTCTTCTAAAAGGTTTGGTAGTTTACTAGATCAAACATCAGAACCAGTGACATCCAGAGAGAGCCAGTCCCTAGAAGGGAGCCGGGCCAACCGTTCCCCAGCCAGGAGCACCTTTTTGTGGGCAGCCATGATGACGTGGGCCCATTTCTCCATGCTCCGGGAGGAGCTGACCTCTCGGTCGGGGATGTAGGATGGGATCAGGCTCAGCAGACGCTCTGTCAGGATCTCAGAACCATAGTCCACATAATACTGCTGACTGGCTAACTCTGCTAGGTCATCCTGGAGAGAGAGAGGCAGAGAGAGAGAGAGAGGCAGAGAGAGAGAGAGAAAAAGAGAGAGAGAGAAAAAGAGAGAGAGAGAGAGAGAGAGAGAGAGAGAGAGAGAGAGAGAGAGAGAGAGAGAGAGAGAGATAGAGAGAGGTTAGAGGTGGAGAGGTTAGAGCTAGGGTCAGAACCGTAGTCAACAAAGTACTGCTGACTGGCTAGCTCTGCCAAGTCACTCTAGAGAGAGAGACAGAGGTTAGGGTCAGGATCTTAGATCCGTAGTCCACATAGTACTGCTGACTGGCTAACTCTGCCAAGTCATCGTATAGACAGAGAGAGGAAGAGAGAGAGAGAGATGTTTCCCTTGTTTATTTTCCTTTTGTTTATTGTCTATTCAATTTGCTCTGGCAATGTAAACATATGTTTCTCATGCCAATAAAGCCCTTTGACTTAAATTGAGAGAGAGAGAGAGAGAGAGAGAGAGAGAGACAGAGAGGTTAGGGTTAGTGTCTGACTCATAGACTCAGAGGACCATAAAAACAGTGCCACCTTGTAACTGAGAGGTAATTTGGTTTAAGTGTAAAACTCACCCTGTCACAGCGGTACTCTCCAAACTTTACCCCCCGTACAGTCTGTTGGTAGATGAGGTTGGTGGCCACAGCATCGTCTGCAGGGTTGTGCCAGGGCGTGAATATCTCCTTCCTGTAGAACAGTCTCCAGGGGGCGTTCCTCTCCTGGGCACCCTGCTCCTTGGCATACTGCTCACACTGGGACACCGCGTCCATCACATGGTCCTTACCACTGCCTAAGGAGGAGACCTAGAGGTACACACACACAGCTCACACTGGAATACTGCACATGCATGGTGTGTGTGTGTGCGTGTGCCTGTGTACCTGTGTGTGCGTGTGTGTGTGTGTGTGTGTGTGTGTGTGTGTGTGTGTGTGTGTGTGCGCGCGTTTGTTTGTGTGCGTGCATCTGTGTGTGTGTGCGTGGTTGTGTATTACCTTGTCAAACAGGGCGATGTAGAGAGAGAATCCAAAGCGGTCTCTGAGGCTGATCTTGTCTGCCAGGGCGTTCCACAGCTCCATGGCAGTAGTAGCTGAGTCTGTCAACAACGTCTTAGTGGTCCCATCCATAAAGGTTACTGGCAACATGATGGGCTTCTTAGACTTAGTGGCCTGGGAGAGAAGAAAGAGGAGGACATTGGGGGAGAGAGAGGGGGAGGAGGAGAGAGAAGGAGGACAGAGGGAGGGGGTGGGGAGAGGAAAGAGGGAGGGGGTCGAAGAAGAGAGGTGGAGAGAGGAGAAGAGAGAAAAAGAGAGGTAAGGGATATGTGTGTGTGTGTGTGTGTGTGTGTGTGTGTGTGTGTGGGTACCTGTAGCTCCAGCCAGGATGGGGGTTGTGTCCTGGTACCGTTAACAAACGTGCGTCTGAGTCTCTCCTCGCAGTAAGGGGCGTAGCCAGGAGGACCGCCATGGATGTAGTTACGCAAGTACTGGAGGAGACAGGATGTGATGCATTTATAGAGGAAGTGATGTAATTATAGTGAAAGTATAGAGTCTAACAATGGCTACGTCCCAAATGGCTCTGTGGGCCCTGGTCAAAAGTAGTGGACTATAAAGGGAATAGGGTGTAATTTGGGACATTTGGGACGTAAGCAGAGAGTCTATAGTCTGACTGACCTTGACAAACTTCTCAGAGGGAGCGAAGCAGCCGACACACAGAGAGATGAGGATCCAGCCGCGGGCGTGACTGCTCTTAGACGGGTTCTGGTTCAACTGCTTACAGATCTGGCAGTAGATTTCATCCCTACAGAGTACACACACAGGACAGGTCAGAGTGTGTTTGCGATCATGTTTGTGCGTGTGGGTGTGTGTATGCGTGTGTGGGTGTGTCTACCTCAGGGCAGGTCGAAGTATTCCGTTGCCGATGATGAAGTGGAGTTTCTCCAGGTTAGAGGTGGGCCGGTCCTCCAACATGCTGTTGCCATGGAGACTGATCTCTCCGTCGTTCAGGCGCTTGGTCACCTGATAGAAAACACATCATCAACACTGGACATTCTATCCAATCTACCTACTATCTGGGTCCCAAATGGCACCCTATTCCTATATAGTGCACTACTTTTTACCATGTAGCATAGGGCTCTGGTCAAAAGTAATTTACTATATAGGGAATAGGGTGCCATTTGGGATGCAGCCAAAGTACCTAGGCGCTAAGGGCCATTTCATCACTTCTAGAATGCTTTAAACTCTAACACCACCTCCTCCTCCTCCTCCTCCTCTCTCTTACCTCCTCAGTTATCTTGGACTTCTTCTTCAGGGTGAGGGACACTAGTTTGTGTCGGACACTGTTCTTCTTGTTGCTGTCTGAATGGGGGTTCTGTAGGGGAGGGGTTACAGCAGGACACAGCTTATAAATCAGCTAGGAAACGTCTTCTAGGAAGCCCTACTGTACTATACTACCCAGAGCAACACTACAGGTGTATCAGACCATGAGGGTTTAACTCAGCTATAATCTCATTAGGTTCGATGATAACTGAGTGTTACTATCGATTACTCCCCCCTCTTCTTCTTTTAGTCATTTAGCAGATGCTCTTATTCAGAGTGACTTACAGTTAGTGCATTCACAGTCATAGTAAGTACATTTTTCCTCACAGCACAGCAAAACATTTCCTCTAACCTCCTCCTGCATGGCCTGTAGTTCTCTCTCTCTCCCCTCCCTCCCTCCCCTCACCTCTTCCTCCTCCTGCAGGGCCTGTAGTTCTCTCTCTCTCCCCTCCCTCCCCTCCCCTCCCTCCCTCCCTCCCCTCACCTCTTCCTCCCCCTGCAGCCCCTCCCTCCCTCCCTCCTCTCACCTCTTCCTCCCCCGGCAGGGCCTGTAGTTCAATTCAATTCAAAGGGCTTTATTGGCATGGGAAACATACAGTTGAAGTCGGAAGTTCACATACACTTAGGTTGGAGTCATTAAAACTCGTTTTTCAACCACTCCACACATTTTTCCAACAATTGTTTACAGACAGATTATTTCACTTATAATTCACTGTATCACAATTCTAGTGGGTCAGAAGTTTACATACACTAAGTTGACTGTGCCTTTAAACAGCTTGGAAAATTCCAGAAAATGATGTCATGGCTTTAGAAGCTTCTGATAGGCTAATAGACATCATTTGAGTCAATTGGAGGTGTACCTGTGGATGTATTTCAAGGCCTACCTTCAAACTCAGTGCCTCTTTGCTTGACATCATGGGAAAATCTAAAGAAATCAGCCAAGACAAAAAAAAAATTGTAGACCTCCACAAGTCTGGTTCATCCTTGGGAGCAATTTCCAAACGCCTGAAGGTACCACGTTCATCTGTACAAACAATAGTACACAATTATAAACACCATGGGACCACGCAGCCATCATACCGCTCAGGAAGGAGACGCGTTCTGTCTCCTAGAGATGAACGTACTTTGGTGCGAAAAGTGCAAATCAATCCCAGAACAACAGCAAAGAACCTTGTGAAGATGCTGGAGGAAACAGGTACAAAAGTATCTCTATCCACAGTAAAACAAGTCCTATATCGACATAACCTGAAAGGCCGCTCAGCAAGGAAGAATCCACTGCTCCAAAACCACCATAAAAAAGCCAGATTACGGTTTGCAACTGCACATGGGGACAAAGATCGTACTTTTTGGAGAAATGTCCTCTGGTCTGATGAAACAAAAATAGAACTGTTTGGCTATAATGACCATCGTTATGTTTGGAGGAAAAAGGGGGTCTTGCAAGCCGAAGAACACCATCTCAACCGTGAAGCACGGGGGTGGCAGCATCATGCTGTGGGGGTGCTTTGCTGCAGGTGGGACTGGTGCACTTCACAAAATAGATGGCATCATGAGGAAGGAAAATGTTGTGGATATATTGAAGCAACATCTCAAGACATCAGTCAGGAAGTTAAAGCTTGGTCGCAAATGGGTCTTCCAAATGGACAATGACCCCAAGCATACTTCCAAAGTTGTGGCAAAATGGCTTAAGGACAACAAAGTCAAGGTATTGGAGTGGCCATCACAAAGCCCTGACCTCAATCCTATAGACAATGTGTGGGCAGAACTGAAAAAGTGTGTGCGAGCAAGGAGGCCTACAAAATTGACTCAGTTACACCAGCTCTGCCAGGAGGAATGGGCCAAAATTCACCCAACTTATTGTGTAAAGCTTGTGGAAGGCTACCCGACACGTTTGACCCAAGTTAAACAATTTAAAGGCAATGGTACAAAATACTAATTGAGTGTATGTAAACTTCTGACCCACTGGGAATGTGATTTAAGAAATAAAAGCTGAAATAAATCATTCTCTCTACTATTATTCTGACATTTCACATTCTTAAAATAAAGTGGTGATCCTAACTGACCTAAAACAGGGAATTTTTACTGGGATTAAATGTCAGGAATTGTGAAAAACTGAGTTTAAATGTATTTGGCTAAGGTGTATGTAAACCTCCGACTTCAACTGTATGTTTACTTTGCCAAAGCACATGGAATAGACAATAAACAAAAGTTATCTCCCCTCCCTCCCTCCCTCCCTCCCCCCCCCCCCCCCCCCCCCCCCCCTGCAGGGCCTGTAGTTCTCTCTCTCCCCTCCCCCCTCCTATCACCTCTCCCTCCCCCTGCAGGGCCTGTAGTTCTCTCTTGTAGGTTTTTTTGCCCAGCGTCTCGTAGATCTTGGTCATCACAGGGATCTTCTCCGAGCCGTCGGTGATGGCCGTGTGGTACTTGGGCTCCGGGAGATCTCCCATGAACCTCAGCACCGTAATCCACACCGCCAACGCCGCCTGGGGGGAGAGAAACCAACAGTGTTAGGGTTGCAAACTTTGCGTTACTTTCCCAAATTTCCCTGGTTTTCTATAAATCCTGGTCTGGATTTCCTGCTTATTCCCTCCTGATTCCAGGAATCTTCCAATCTGGATTCCTGGACAACCGGGGAATGTAGGGAAAAGTTACTGGAATTTTGCAACCCTAAACAGTGTTGTTGCTGTGATTATAAAAAGAGCAGTTGGGTAGAAGGAGGCTGCCTGAAAGGACAGTCTGACAAACACACATGGTCTACTGGGGTTAGAGGTCAGGGGTTAGGTGTCAGGGGTCAGAGTTGAGAGGTCATGTGACCTACCAGCTGGTCGCCCTCGTCATCATGGAACAGCAGCGGTTGTTTGAGCGGCCGTCGGATGTAGGTGTGTGTGGTGGTGCCCTGGAAATAGGTGGCAGCGAACTTTGCAAACTTATACTCTGACAGGTCATCCTCCTCATCCTCAGGGAGAGGAAGAACATCGTCTAAATCCTCCTCCTCAAGCTCCTTATGGGCACGCTCCAAGTCCTACAAATAGATGCATGCACACACACACACAAAGACACTCAGTGAACGATTTGAACGTAGCCTAGAGCAGATTGTGTTAACTGTAGCAGTGCATCTGTGTGTCCACCAGGTGGCGACCTCCTCACCTCGAACCCAGCTGGTGGCGCTCCCTCATGTCCAGGGAAGGAGTTTGTTGTTCCCAGGAAGCCAAACATCTTATCCACCATGTCAGAGTCGTTCACCGGCTCATGTCTGGCTTTCTCCATTTGCTCCACCATCTCCTTCTTCCTCTGTACCTCCTCTCTCTCTCTCTTCTCTCTTTCCGCGTCCTCCTTCGCTAGCTGGGCTAGTCTCTGCTGGTGGTTACGATCTGCTTCAACCTACAGAAGACTGGGTGTTAATAGGTGTGTGTGTGTGTGTGTGTGTGCAGAGGTGTCATGCCCATAGGGGGCACGTGCCCCCTCAGATTTGTCCTAAAAACAACTGTTGTTTCTCTGTAATACTACTAGCCACATAGTAATTTTATGAATAAGCCATTTCAGGCTATCAATCAGAGTAGCTAGCTTGTCTAACTAGCTTAGCTGGCATGCCTGCTGGCAAGGTTGGTAGACTTTAGAAAAGCAAGCAATAACTAAAATGTACTGAATAAGACTCACAATCCTTTCAATCTTTTACCTAGATTTTAGCAGCGATGCAAGAGAAGCATATTTAGTTTCTTTAAATTCAGAACCACCAGTCAGGAGGATACAGACCGCTCAAGAGGTATGCTTAGATATGCAGAAAAAATGACATATTTTTGACATAGAATTAAGCATAATGATTATGGCTCTAGATCGCAGGGCCTGGCCCCCCTCTGGACCATCCCTAGCCATCCTCACGTACTTTGTGCCCCCTCAGATTGTTGGGGTGCATGACGCCCGTGTGTGTGTGTGTGTGTGTGTGTGTGTATGTCAGACCTTGGCCTTCTTAGCGCTCATCTGGTTCATCAGTTTCTCCTCCTCAGCCAGATGCAGCTTCTCTGCCTCCAACCTCCTCCGATACTGAGAGATAGAGAGAGTGAGAGAAAGGGTTAGGATGAGAGAGTGAGAGAAAGGGTTAGGATGAGAAAGTGAGAGAAAGGGTTAGGATGAGAAAGTGAGTGAGAGAAAGGGACTGAGGCTTTCTCTCAGTCTGCACTGCATGTGTCTGTGTCTCTGTCTCACCTCTCCCTTCAGTCTCTTGTAGAGGCGTCGTGCGATCATGCCCCGTGTGTAAGCCTGGATGGTGATGACGGCCCATAGGCGGTGTCTAAAGGCCCTTCGGACCAGACAGCCTCTACACCTGGCCTGCAGACCCGTCACCCTCTGTCTGGCCACGTGGTATGTTACGTACAGCCGCCTGGAGCGGTACAACGCCTGCAGTCTGGCAAACCCTGCCCGCATCTAGAAGGAGGAGGGGAGGGGAGGGGAGGGGAGGGGAGGGGAGGGGAGGGGAGGAGGAGGAGGGGAGGGGGAGGAGGAGGAGGAGGATAGGACATGGAGGAGAAATTGTCATTTGATTAATGATACAAGGAACAGTTCAGCTCATGTCAACGAGAAGTGATCAAGTTTTTAAAACTCACAGCTCCATAGTTCTTGCGACAGTGGTATCCTCGCCACGTCTTCTGGATCATCATGGCCGACTTCCTTATCTTCAGGAATTTGGACCTGTTGAGACGAAGTGATGCGATTGTTAACTCAAAGATGGTTGCTATGACTAAAGTCTGACCTAGTTGCTTTGCCAACAGTCTAAACTGGTTGTTAGGACTACAGTCTCACCTGGTTGCTATGCCAACAGTCTCACCGGGTTGCTATGACTACGGCCTCACCTGTCCTTGAAGCCTCGTACAACCTTCTGGATAAGGATGACCTTGTCCGTGATGGCCTTGTCTCTCTCTATCTCCAACAGCATGTCATGGTGGTCCTAAACAAACACACGCACACGTACAGACACACACAAACCAGAAGTGATCGTCAATAGATTCCAAACAGACATTCTAAAGACCCTCTGATTTATGTTCATGACATCCCTCTCTTTCTCTCATCTGTCCATTTCATCTCTTCCTTTGATCTGTCTGTTTCCTGTAGGGGAAGTGTGGGCGCTGCCCTGGCTTCAATGCGCTGATTTTACTTCATGTTTTACTTCCTGTCCGACCAGCTGGTCGCTCTGATAACGACCTCAGCTATGATGACCATCACCATGGTAACCAGCCCACCACTGACCACTGACCCCACTCCTAGTGCTGTCCTCATTTAACTGTCAACAGAGGCACAACTGTGGTTGAGTTCCACTGCATAGCAAATTTATCTCCCTCTTATTAACACAGGTTATTGTAGACAACTTGCATATTTCAGATCCAAAAATGCAGAGCTTCTCCCAAATGGCACCCTTTTTCCCTATATAGTGCACTACTTTTGACCATTTACATGTTTTATTTTTATTTGTTGTCATTTAGCAGACGCTCTTATCCAGAGCGACTTACAGGAGCAATTAGGGTTGTGCCTTGCTCAAGGGCACATCGGCATATTTTTGGCTCAGGGATTCGAACCAGCAACCTTCCGGTTACTGGTCCAACGATCTTAACCGCTAGGCTACCTACCGCCCACACAGAGATCAGGCACCCTAATAAGGTGCCATTTGGGACTCAGCCCAGGAGTTAGTTACCTTGAGGAAGATCTTGGTCTTTCCCATCTGCCAATCATCATCTCTCCCCAGGACAGCTTCCACTATACGCTGACAAGTTCCCCTCAAGTCCTCCTACACACACACACACACACACACACAAACACAAACACATCGAGATTGGACATCAGTGGGCAGGTAACCATTGACAACGGTCACTGACAAGGCAAGCTTTGGCGAAGACTGATCAAGATCAAAACAGCTTGCATTTTTTGGACTACATGACTTTACCCAGATGAGCCCCCCATAGAAGGCTTTTAGTATGACGGGCACATCTAAACTCTAACGGTCACTTACCTGTTTGTATGCAGGTTTGACTCCTGGCATGAGGACTCTGTACCGGTCCACAAACTCAACAAAGGTGTATCTGATTGGATAACCAGCTTTGCGGATACGAATGGTCTCCATCATGCCTGAATACCTCAGCTGACGAACACACAGCTCCCTGTCAAACAGCTGGGAGAGATAACAGACAGACACACAACAATTACATTTTTACACACACACACACACACACACACACACACACACACACACACACACACACACACACACACACACACTCACCATGGGTTTTTTGTACTCATTGGGTTTAATGCAGCGTACAAAGAAGGGCTGACACACACTCAGAGTCCTCATAAGCAGTTCCAGAGAACGCTTGAACTGACTGCTCAGAGTGGGAGAGCGCTTCCTGGTCTCCGTCCCCTAGAACCACACACGCACGCACACACACACAAACACGCACAGACACATCAACACGGGTTAGTAACAATGGATTCTATCCCTTTTCCTCTCACTCTCCTTTTTCCACTCTCTCTCTTTCACTCTGTTAAGTTCCCTTTTATTCCCATACAGGAAACCAGGCTAAATGTAGCTCATATTGTGACAGATATATTTTGATGTCAAGGTTAGAACTGTTTTAAAGTAATGCCAACAACAGTTCTATCAAAGCTATTGTTCTTCAAAACTCAATGTCTAAATACACTGAGTGTACAAAACATTAAGGACACCTTCCTAATATTGAGTTGCACCCCCCCTTTTCCCCTCAGAACAGCCTCAATTTGTCGGGAAAGCAAGCTCATGCGAGAGAGGGGACACCCACTTATACAGACAAGAAACTTGACAATTTTATAAAATGGTAAATGGCCATTATGCGACATCTTCATTATCCACCATCTTTGCAGAGGTGAGAGAGAACCAGGAAGTAGACAGGAAGGGATGTCACCAAATACCAAGTTTAAGGACAGAGAGAGCGAGAGAGGCTCCACTGAACGATGGACGATATGTCTGCTGTACACAGCCATCGGATGGAGGCAGGGAGGAAGGAATGGAGATTATTTCTCCTCTTTTCGTCTTTTATCTTCAGACCAGTGTCAGGTTGGCCAGTGTCAGTGCCATATTATCACCCGGCAAGTAGCCAACCAGAGACCAAGGCAGACATACATATGTGTGCATGCACACACGTGTGATACGCAGACACACAGATACAAACACACACAGATACAAACACACAGACAGAGGAAAGACAGGAGAGACAGAGTAATGCTAGCATCTTGCCACACATTACTGAAGAGACAGAGGGAGGAGAAGAGTGAAAGCAGCATGCCATGCAGAGAAAACAACCCTTGAGACAACTGCGTCCCAAACGGTACCCTATTCCCTATTTGGTACACTACTTCTGATCAGAGCCCTATGTGCACTATAAGGGAATAGGGTGGCATTTGGGATGCAAACCATGAGACAACCAGAACAGACACAGCCGTCTGTCTGAAACGCTTCATGATGACCACTCAGAGAAACTAGCCAACAGGTAAATGAGTGATCTGTGATGTCATCAAGGTGTAGGGAGGAGTGGTGGGTCGAGTGACTGTGTGGCTGCTAGGGCGAAGGGTTGCTTGGGTGACGGAGGGCCATGTTACCATGGCAACATCAGCCTGGAAGATCTGCTTGATGAACTTGTTCCTGGAGGAGTGAACCAGCTGGATGATGTCACCGTGCAGGGTGTCTCTGTTCTTCTCCAAGAAACCTATTATTGATAAGGCTATTAGTTATTGTTTAGGAAATTGGGTTTAGTGTGTCCTATCCTCTATTAGTCCTGAGAAGAACCCTTTACAGTTACTTTTTCATCGAGGGTGGTCATCACAAAACCCTGATGAAGGCTATGGGCCAAAGCATGTAGGTTTTAACATTAAATAAGCATTTTATCAACTTCCACTGTCCTCCAAGAGTTGCTGATTTTGGTCATCATGTTTTATGTGATAATCAGTCAGTCAGTATGTGATAATCAGTCAGTCAGTATGTGATAATCATGTTGCCATAATGTTGTCACGTACCTCGTGTCTCGTAGTAGACCACCCCAGCAAAGTGCTGGATGCCAAACTGGGTCTCATAAGTGTGCTTAGGAGGGATGTAGTTGGTGTTCAATTTATGCTGAGAGTTCAACTTATTCAACATAGTGGTGTCTGTACCCTGAGACAGAGAGAGAGAGAGAGAGAAAGGTGAGAGGGATGGGTTAGGGAGATATGATCTAACTAAGTACCCTGGGAACTGATAGAGTAGGTTTACACAAATATTTGATTACACATTCGTCCTCCTCTCTCCCTCTCTCCTCTTCCTTTTACTTTAGGGAACTACAGATGTAGGATCTTAATTTGAGCCAGTTTGCTACAGCAGGAAAATAGTCCTGCAGCAACAGGAAATGTGAATTATTATGTGGATTATAATTAATTTACATTTTTGTAGGGGTTGATACATTTTTCGTAAGGTGAAATCAAGTCTGAAATGTCTAAATGGAAATTACAAACTTCAGAAGCCTTTTTAAAACTCAAATACACTACAAATTTGACATTTCCTGATCAAATTAAGGTCCTACATCTGTATATGTACTGTATATATCTATAATGTAGTTACATTGGGGAACTTGCTCTCCTCGTCTATGAGGCTGATGATGATCATGGGTTTGATACGATCATGTCTCTCATCCCTTTCTCCCCCACCCCCTATCCTCCTCTCCTCTCCTCTACCTCGGTGTTATACTGTCATCATTACCTTGGGGAACTTGCTCTCCTCGTCTATGAGGCTGATGATGTTCATGGGTTTGATAGCGATCATATCCAGGGCGTCCTGGTTGTCTGTGAACTCGATGTGTTGCCAGTTGATGTGTTCCAGGTTGTATTCCTCCTGCTCCAACTTGAACACATGTCTCACAAAGAACTGCTGCAGGTTCTCGTTGGCAAAGTTAATGCACAGCTGCTCAAAACTGTTGATGGGGAGACACACACACACACACACACACGAACGCAGGGCAGGTAAACCGACAAAAACTGCAGTCAGGTGTGTGTCTCTGTTCTGTTTGTGTGTGTGTGTGTGTGTGTGTGTGTACCTGTTGATGGTGAAGTTTTCGAAGCCAAAGATGTCTAGTAGACCTATAGAGCGTCTGAGGGCTTTGGGCTCGTGGGACGGAGGCTTGTAGATCGCTGCATTGATCTTCTCTACAATCCACACAAACAGACGACCGTAGATCCCCTACACACACACACACATGCACGCACGCACACAATATACATATGCCAGAGAGTGTGTGAAAAAGTGTGTCACACACCAGAAAGCATGTTAATCTTAATGTGTGTGTATGTGTTACCTTGACGAATGCGTCCCGTACGTCCAGAGCCTGCTCTATACTGAGGGGAGTGGAGACTGTTTCTCCTCTAGTGATCAGAGTCCTACTGGTCAGACAGTTCATCAGGTCTTTACAGTTCACCTACACACACACACACACACACACACACACACACCGCGTGTGCATCGCACGTGAACACACACGATGGACACAGGCAGGCAGGCGCACGCACACGCGTGCACACACAGCAACGTTAAGTTAGAAAACACACTTCTTTCACACCATCAACCAATGTTGACAACAGTCCAGGTTTGTGTGTTTCACCAGTTTGCAACTTGGAGGTGATCACTGCCATGTTATTCACTAAACACTGTTAGCTCTCTCCCCCTCTCTCCCTCCTCCTCTCTCCCTCCCTCCTCCTCCTCTCTCCCTCCCTCCCTCCTCCTTCCCTGTCTTTCCCTCCACCTCTCTATTTCCCTCCCTCCCTCCCCTAGTGGTCTAGGACCCACCTGTAGCTCTCCAGCAGCTATGACATAACTAGTTCAGGTTACAGGTTACTGCTGTACAACCACTCAGTGGATAGAGTAGGTGTGTATGTACAGTAGGATCATGGGTACAGTGTGTGTGTGTGTGCGTGTGTTACCTCCAGAAGTGTAGCAGCAGAAGTCAGGTCTACGCTGCGGACCACCTCACAGGCATCCATGTTGTCATAGGTACGAGCTAGGGGTCAGGGGTCAGGGGTCAGGGGTCAGAGGTTGGAGGTAGGTGACAGTGAAGTCAGCATGATGTAATTCAAATATGTACAGTTGAAGTCGGAAGTTTACATACACCTTAGCCAAATACATTTAAACTCAGTTTTTCACAATTCCTGACTCTTAATCCTAGTAAAAAGTCCCTGTCTTAGGTCAGTTAGGATCACCACTTTATTTTAAGAATGCGAAATATCAGAATAATAGTAGAGAGAATGATTTACTTCAGCTTTTATTTCTTTCATCACATTCCCAGTGGGTCAGAAGTTTACTTATACTCAATTAGTATTTGGTAGCATTGCCTTGAAATTGTTTAACTTGGGTCAAATGATTCTGGTAGCCTTCCACAAGCTTCCCACAATAAGTTGGGTGAATTTTGGCCCATTCCTCCTGACAGAGCTCGTGTAACTGAGTCAGGTTTGTAGGCCTCCTTGCTCGCACACGCTTTTTCAGTTCTGCCCACAAATGTTCTATAGGATTGAGATCAAGGCTTTGTGATGGCCACTCCAATACGTTGACTTTGTCGCCATTTTGCCACAACTTTGGAAGTATGCTTGGGGTCATTGGCCATTTGGAAGACCCATTTGCGACCAAGCTTTAACTTCCTGACTGATGTCTTGAGATGTTGCTTCAATATATCCACATAATATTCCTTCCTCATGACGCCATCTATTTTGTGAAGTGCACCAGTCCCTCCTGCAGCAAAGCACCCCCACAGCATGATGCTGCCACCCTCGTGCTTCACGGTTGAGATGGTGTTCTTCAGCTTGCAAGACCCCCTTTTTCCTCCAAACATAACGATGGTCATTATAGCCAAACAGTTCTATTTTTGTTTCATCAGACCAGAGGACATTTCTCCAAAAAGTACAATCTTTGTCCCCATGTGCAGTTGCAAACCATAGTCTGGCTTTTTTATGGAGGTTTTGGAGCAGTGGCTTCTTCCTTGCTGAGCGGCCTTTCAGGTTATGTCGATATAGGACTAGTTTTACTGTGGATATAGATACTTTTGTACCCGTTTGCTCCAGCATCTTCACAAGGTCCTTTGCTGTTGTTCTGGGATTGATTTGCACTTTTCGCACCAAAGTACGTTAATCTCTAGGAGACAGAATGCGTCTCCTTCTTGAGCGGTATGATGGCTGCGTGGTCCCATGGTGTTTATACTTGCGTACTATTGTTTGTACACATGAACATGGTACCTTCAGGCGTTTGGAAATTGCTCCCAAGGATGAACCACTGAGTTTGAAGGTAGGCCTTGAAATACATCCACAGGTACACCTCCAATTGACTCAAATTATGTCAATTAGCCTATCAGAAGCTTCTAAAGCCATGATATCATTTTCTGGAATTTTCCAAGCTGTTTAAAGGCACAGTCAACTTAGTGTATGTAAACTTCTGACCCACTGGAATTGTGATACAGTGAATTATAAGTGAAATAATCTGTCTGTAAACAATTGTTGGAAAAATGACTTGTGTCATGCACAAAGTAGATATCCTAACCGACTTGCCAAAACTATAGTTTGTTAACAAGAAATGTGTGGAGTGGTTGAAAAACAAGTTTTAATGACTCCAATCTAAGTGTATGTAAACTTCCGACTTCAACTGTATGTCTGTGTGTGTATGTGTGAGTGTGTGTGCACGCGCACGGACGCACATGCATGTGTGTATTTGTGCATTAATGCATGCATTTGTGTGTGTGTACCTATTACCTTCATAACGCAGGTTCCCCATATGTAGTATAGAGGCCAATAGTTTGGAGATCATCCAATTCTCAGTGTCAGAGAACATCAACACCTTCATGGCTGATTGGATGTTTGAATACTCCTTCATATCATCACGACCATCACACACAGTACACTTCCCCTGGAGAGGAGAGGAGAGGAGAGGAGAGGAGAGGAGAGGAGAGGAGAGGAGAGGAGAGGAGAGGAGAGGAGAGGAGAGGAGAGGAGAGGAGAGGAGAGGAGAGGAGAGGAGAGGAGAGGAGAGGAGAGGAGAGGAGAGGAGAGAACTTTAGTTGAATTATATTTTCTCACTACTGTTATAATAACGTTGTTAAAGTGTTAGCTAAGTGTTGTCCTACTATAGTAAGGTAGCTGTAGTCTGTGGCTTTCCCTAGTCCCAGTTTCTTCTTCTGGTCTGAAGGCATGCCCTTCAACATACAGTAGAAGATATGGTAGTTCCTCTCATCACGAGCCTGCAGGGAGAGAGGGAATAGAGATGACACGATAGTGATCAAAATAACATAGCTCCTAGACTGTATCACAGGATATAGGACAGTTGCTTACTTCAACTAGCTAACACTGCCTGTTGCAAAACGTTTTGCTACATTTTGCTATGGTGTGCACTAATGAATACAACCCTACCTGCAGAACCTATAACCCCGCCCCCTGAATCCATACCTGTCTGCAGACCCGTGACTTCTCCAGCAGGTACTGTTCTATCTTGGCCCCCTCTATGGCTCCTCTCTTGTTGAAGTGGATGTCAATGTATTTCCCAAAGCGGCTAGAGTTATCATTACGGATCGTCTTAGCGTTACCAAACGCTGCGGACAGAGAACACAAAGCCCTCAACACTCACAACTATAAGTAAAATAACTACTATAGGGTTCATTATTGTGAATGTGTGTATGTGTGTATGTGTGTGTGTGTGTCCTACCCTCCAGTATAGGATTAGCCTCCAGGACCTGTTGTTCTATCCAGGAGTGTTGTCCACTGATGGCTGCTAGGAACTGGAGGATCAGCTTAGTGCTCTCTGTCTTCCCTGCTCCAGACTCTCCACTGAGAACACACACACACAATGTGATCTGACTTGGTGCTCTCACGCGCTTCTGAGAACACACACACACACACACACCCAGGCACACACACCCCTCTCCCGCTCACACACCTGATGATGCAGCACTGGTCTCTGTTGTTTCTCTGCATGTTGAAGTAACAGTTATCTGCGATGGCAAAGATGTGTGGAGACATCTCTCCTATCTTCTTATTGGTGTACAGACGGATCTGGTCAGCTGTGTAGATGGGCAGCACCTGGTAGGGGTTTACCGCCACCAGGATAGAGCCTGTATACGTCTGGAGGGGATGGGGGTAGAGGGCAAAGGGCAAAGGTAGGACACCAAATCAAAGATCCTACAAATGGAAAGCTAGGATGGGCCATGCAGTGCTGTGCAGTGTTGTATTAGAGATGAGATGCACGTTAGTACAACAACTCTGCATTCTGTGATCAGTTTAAATGGACAGACAGACAGGCACATCGCAGCAGGACAGTAGTACTTTATAGTTGGCCATTCTCATTTACCTGCCACATGAAAATGAGGGGAGGATGACGTCTGTGTGTACGTGTGTGTTGGGAGCAGAGGTGACGTGGGTTTCGTCTCTCAGTCGGTGCAGTCAGTGAAAATTGAGTATCAGTAACAGTCACTGGAGCACCAACCGCCCGACAGCCATGATAGAAATGGAGTAACACTAGTAGCTCATGCACATATCTACTCTCACACACACTCACAAAGACATACAAACGCTAACACATGCACTCATACACCCACACACTCAGAAAGACAGACACACACACTCATACGAACACTCATACACCCACACACCCAGACAGACAGACACACTGGTGGTGAGTATGTCAGCCATGCATGATGCCCCTGTACTTACTCTCCCACCACAGTTAGTCTACAGAAAGGAAGGAGAAAACAAGAAAGAGAGAGAGGGGGAAGGAGGAAGAGGAGGGACAGAGAGTGAGGGAGGAAGAAGGGAGAGAAAGAGGAAAAATAATGCAAAAGCACAGGTTGACTGAGGGCAGGAGAGACAAACAGATAGAGGGAAGGAAGAAGTAGGAGGAGAGAGAGAGAGAGAGAGAGAACACAGAGAGAGAGAGAGAGAGAGAGAGAGAGAGAGAGAACAGAGACCTCTGGTCGGGCCTCAAACTGGGTTCTGGATGACAACTACAGCTCCTAGCAGTAGTAGTATAGTAGTAGTACTGCAGTAGTACTGCAGTAGTAGTATATCAATCAATCAATTTTATTTTATATAGCCCTTCTTACATCAGCTAATATCTCGAAGTGCTGTACAGAAACCCAGCCTAAAACCCCAAACAGCTAGTAATGCAGGTGTAGAAGCACGGTGGCTAGGAAAAACTCCCTAGAAAGGCGAAAACCTAGGAAGAAACCTAGAGAGGAACCAGGCTATGAGGGGTGGCCAGTCCTCTTCTGGCTGTGCCGGGTGAAGATTATAACAGTAGTAGTACTCACATATATAAGGTGTTCCCTATATCGCATGAGCAGGTTGTAGTACTTCGGTAGTATAGCAGTAGTACAGTAGTAGTACTTACATATATAAGGTGTTCTGTATATCGTATAAGCAGGTTGCGGAGGATGCCGGCCTCATTGAGGTCTCCCAGGCGGATCATGTCCTCCACCCCGTGGATGGAGGTGGGGTGCATGGGCTTAATGTTGGTTGCATTCTGAGGGGATATCCAATGCTCCTGGAGAAAGAAGGGGCTATTTGTGTAGGGCTGGAACAAATCCCTGCATCATTTTGGCCACCCCAAATTATTATTTTGTGTGAATGTTGAGAGAATGCTTTGTAAATGTTGGGTGAATGATGTGAGAACGTTGTAAGAAGGTTGTGTGAATGTTGTATAAATTTGTTCTGTGGATGTTTGAGACTCACGTTTCCCTCATCATCCAGAACCTGTATCTGTCCAGAGTCACAGAGTTTGACCACGGCTCCGATGGGGACGACAAACTCCCGGCCCGTCTTCAGGTCCAACCACACATAGTCCCCCTTGGAGAGGAGAAATACAATAACCCATCAAACCAACACAATACATGGTTTGAGTCCCAAATGGCACTGTAATCCCTATATAGAGCACTAGGTATGTAGGGAATAGTGCACCATTTGGAACGGAGCTAGTATATTTACAGGTCCACATATTGAGAGGGAGAGGGAGAAAGAGAGAGAGAGGGAGAAAGAGAGAGACAGAGAGGGCAAAGTATTATTAAAGCAGAAGGTGTATTGCAGACATATACAGTGAGGGAAAAAGTATTTGATCCCCTGCTGATTTTGTACGTTTGCCCACTGACAAAGACATGATCAGTCTATAATTTTAATGGTAGGTTTATTTGAGCAGTGAGAGACAGAATAACAACAAAAAAAATCCGGAAAAACGCATGTCAAAAATGTTATGAATTGATTTGCATTTTAATGAGGGAAATAAGTATTTGACCCCTCTGCATAACATGACTTATGGACCACTCCAGGACCTTAATGTGCTTCTTCTTGAGCCACTCCTTTGTTGCCTTGGCCGTGTGTTTTGGGTCATTGTCATGCTGGAATACCCATCCACGACCCATTTTCAATGCCCTGGCTGAGGGAAGGAGGTTCTCACCCAAGATTTGACAGTACATGGCCCCGTCCATTGTCCCTTTGATGCGGTGAAGTTGTCCTGTCCCCTTAGCAAAAAAACACCCCCAAAGCATAATGTTTCCACCTCCATGTTTGACGGTGGGGATTGTGTTATTGGGGTCGTAGACAGCATTCCTCCTCCTCCAAACACGGCGAGTTGAGTTGATGCCAAAGAGCTCCATTTTGGTCTCATCTGACCACAACACTTTCACCCAGTTCTCCTCTGAATCATTCAGATGTTCATTGGCAAACTTCAGATGGGCCTGTATATGTGCTTTCTTGAGCAGGGGGACCTTGCGGGCGCTGCAGGATTTCAGTCCTTCACGGCGTAGTGTGTTACCAATTGTTTTCTTGGTGACTATGGTTCCAGCTGACTTGAGAACATTGACAAGATCCTCCCGTGTAGTTCTGGGCTGATTCCTCACCGTTCTCATGATCATTGCAACTCCACGAGGTGAGATCTTGCATGGAGCCCCAGGCCGAGGGAGATTGACAGTTCTTTTGTGTTTCTTCCATTTGCGAATAATCGTACCAACTGTTGTCACCTTCTCACCAAGCTGCTTGGCGATGGTCTTGTAGCCCATTCCAGCCTTGTAGCCCATTCCAGTCTACAATCCTGTCCCTGACATCCTTGGAGAGCTCTTTGGTCTTGGCCATGGTGGAGAGTTTGGAATCTGATTGATTGATTGCTTCTGTGGACAGGTGTCTTTTATACAGGTAACAAGCTGAGATTAGGAGCACTCCCTTTAAGAGTGTGCTCCTAATCTCAGCTCGTTACCTGTATAAAAGACACCTGGGAGCCAGAAATCTTTCTGATTGAGAGGGGGTCAAATACTTATTTCCCTCATTAAAATGCAAATCAATTTATAACATTTTTGACATCCATTTTTCTGAATTTCTTTGTTGTTATTCTGTCTCTCACTGTTCAAATAAACCTATCATTAAAATTATAGACTGATCATTTCTTTGTCAGTGGGCAAACGTACAAAATCAGCAGGGGATCAAATACTTTTTTCCCTCACTGTAAGAGGTGGTGATATGGTTGATAAAGATGACGTCTTAGAGCAGAACTGACAGGGTTCAGTGTCATAATTAACCAATAAGGCACAAGGAGGTGTGGTATATGGCCAATATACCACGGCTAAGGGCTTGTCTTAAGCAGGACACAACGCAGAGTGCCTGGATACAGCCCTTAGCCATGGTATATTGGCCATATACCACAAACCTTTCAGTGCTCAAACCACCCAGTTTATAATCGACATTATACAATGATGTCATCAGTGTCACACACACACACAGCTGTGTATCAGGCCTAACAACCCCCCCCCCCCCCCCCCCCCCCCCCCCCAACAACCAATGTGATGTATTATTTACAATATACCTCTGCCTCTTGAACCTGATTGCTTTTTCATAAACAGCAAAATGAAGTGTCTAATGCAATCTTTCCCTTGGGGACAAAGTTTTATTGTATTGTAAACATGACTTTTATATGGTAAACCAATTATAACACTGCCTAAGCTCCTCTGATAGCGCAACAAGATTACCTGCAATCCATTCCCATTACTAAACACAGTCCTACACACACACACACACACACACACACACACACACACACACACACACACACACACACACACACACACGCACACAGTACACACACACACAGTACACACACACTTTAAACACCCACACACACACACACTGTACACACACACACAGTGTTGTAGTCCTACCGGTAGCAGTGTAGAGTGCTTGAAGACAGTGTTGACATTACGTACTAGAGCCCATTTAGCCTGGTCTTTCTCATAAAGGTCCACATAGTCACGACGCTTGTACATCCTCACTGTTAGTCCACGCACACACAGACAACCCTCAATGTCTTCCACTGGCCAAACCCTAGTCCTCCAGTACTCTATTCCTCACATATAGACCCCACTCACACCTTCTCAAAGTCTTCCACCATCCAATCCTAATTTGCCCAGTAGTCCAGTCCTCAAGTCCTATACACATCCCACTAACTTCACACCAGGTCGCCAACGGTAATGTGATGTCACTTCCTGTCCAGGTGTGTTCTGATATCAAAGATGGTGCAATTAATATTGGCTCCACCTCTTCCTCTCTGGTTCTAAGTTTGAGAGCAGGAACGAGTAATAATAGAAAAATAACAATCCACTGTCCTCCCCGCCTCCGGCCAACACTGCTCCTATACAGAGTTAAAGTCTGTCTGTCTGTCTGTGGAACAGGCTCAGACCCACACAGACAGATAAAAACAACAGCAACAAGAGAGAGAAGGCTGTCTGTGTGACTGTCTAGAGGACCTCCTGAGAGAGACAGCTACAGGATGAAACAAGACCCCTGGGTAGATCTACTCTTCCTCTCCTTCTTCCTTCCTCTCCTCTTTCTGTTCCTCTGCTCCTGGAAACTGAATCTAGGTCCTTGTGCTGTGTGTCCGTCTGCTCTCGTCTTCCTGATTCACTAACACCATCTCTGCTCTCTCCCTTTTCTCTCTCTCTCTGTCCCTCTATCTCTCTCTGTCCCTCTATCTCTCTCTGTCCCTCTCTCTCGCTCTGTCCCTCTCTCTCGCTCTGTCCCTCTCTCTCTCTGTCCCTCTCTCTCTCTGTCCCTCTCTCTCTCTCTGTCCCTCTCTCTCTCTGTCCCGCTCTCTCTCTGTCCCGCTCTCTCTCTGTCCCGCTCTCTCTCTGTCCCGCTCTCTGTCTGTCCCGCTCTCTCTCTGTCCCTCTCTCTCTCTGTCCCTCTCACTCTCTGTCCCTCTCTCTCTCTGTCCCTCTCTCTCTCTGTCCCTCTCACTCTCTCAGAGAGGAATGGAGGGGAGGAGTGTTGGGTGGAGAGATAGAGAGAGGGATGGGGGCTGAGTGGTAGCATCATTTCCTCTGTGTGTTATATGTCTGTTTAATTAAGTAAATAACCCTCTGGCAAACGACCTGGGACTGGACTGAACACTACACCACAGGACACAGCTGTCACACACACAAGCACAATCACGCAGGCAGGCAGACACACACACACACACACACACACACACACACACACACACACACACACACACACCTGTCACCAGTGCCAAAACCACTATCAGCAACCACAGTCTCAATAATTAATCAAACCTACCAGATCTGTTGGGTGTCTTGGTATCCCCCTCCATCCTTCTCTAGTCCCCTCTCTCTCTTTGTCTCTCATTAATTTTCTCTCTCTGTCTTTTTCTCTCCCCCCTCTCTCTGTCATTCCTATATGCCTTATCAGATAGGTGTGTCTTCCATGCAGTAGGATAGCAATAGTAATATTAATGTGGGACAATTCTATCCAGCATCAGGGTATCAGGACTGGAGTTGACGGTCACACTGTGCGGACAATCACCATCTATTCACACGACGCCAGCGTCCCGCTCTCCTCCTAGTCTGGTAAATAATTCACTGAGAGCTGGCTGCTGTTATCAGAGACACACACTAACCATAACAAACACAGACAAACACACAGGGAGAGGAGACACATAAAAACCCTACCCTACCGCTTACAGACCCAAGCTCCAGAGAAGACCAGGTACCATCCTGCCTCCTAGGGGTTTTCAGTAAGTATTACTCCACAAACCACAGCTCATATGACTACAATAAACAGCACCAGCATAAGCAATTTACTCCAGCATAAGCAATGACCAGATTAACATTGGTCCGAACCACAATATGTATTTTCAGGGCATAAGCTACCAAGCCAAGAGTCACTATCTGCGTCTCAAATGGCCCCTATTCCCTAGTGTACTACTTTTGACCTGGTCCCATTCAGGCTCTAGTCAAAATTAGACTAGTGCACAATAAAGGGTATAGGGTGCTATTTGGAACGCAGCCCGTGTTACTGGTACCCTGGGCCACAACATCGAGTGATGTCTCAATAATAAGTGATTTACGCAGGCAATGAGACCTCAGTTCATTTGCATTTAGATAGAGTCAAAGGTCACAGCAAAAGGTATTGATTGGCTGATTGAACAGACAATTGACACCAATCAACACTGCTCAATAAAACCAGCCATCCCTCTGCTTTCTGCTTCAATTAACACTGCATATATTATCTAAAAACACTCAACAAGACATCCAACACACACTTCTAACACTGTTATTACTGGTCTAACACACACACCACACACACTCTCTCAATGCAGATACCATCCTCATGTGTAAGCCCCCCAACACCCCCTGTGCAGAGTGATCAGCCACACACAAACATGCACGTACACACACAACGCACATACACTCCTCCTCCCCCTGTCCTCTCTATTGTGTTTGGTCAGTGAGAGATTAATGGATGCCAGTCTCTCATCAGGGAGGAATGTGAGCAGAACACAACAACACCACCACTGAACAGCACACGGTCACCATGGCGACAACACACTGTCACCATAAACTACAATATAAACTACACCTGGAACCAGTTGTGAGTTGTGACTAGCTGAGCTTGGTTTAGCTTGAATAGTCACTAGAGTGCTAAATCTGCCAGTTTCTGATAGTGCTTGACCCAGGTCTGATGGCTACTGTATGCATGGTAACAGTACCTATATGAGGGTAGTTATGGTTACCTGTATGAGGGTGGGGCATATGTAGCTGAGGCAACGGACACTGCTGTCCCAGCCTTTGATTGGCCAAGGCTCTGCTGAAGTCATTGCTAATTTCGCCATGGTAAACTCATATCAGGGTGTGTGTGTGTGTTCAATCTGTTCCTCTCTCAGCAACATTCCTCTGGCTGCTAGTGTGGCCTCCTGTTGATCTCTTCAAAAGAATCTTAGAACTTCACTGTTAGACAATTCTCTCTCTCTCTCTCTCTCTCTCTCTCTCTCTCTCTCTCTCTCTCTCTCTCTCTCTCTCTCTCTCTCTCTCTCTCTCTCTCTCTCTCTCTCTCTCTCTCTCTCTCTCTCTCTCTCTGAGGTGTGTATGTGTAGGGGCCTGTTCAGCTGAAGAGGAGCCATTGTCAGGGGTGATTAGAGGATCAGAAAGGCTGACGAGCCGAACACCACATCTACTGGACATCAAGAAGACCGACACACACAAGCACACCTCGCACCTGACACTCCTGCAATGGAGTGGAAAAGCGTCTGTCTTGTTCGCCTCTGAAATATACCAGAAAGATAGAGCACGAGTGTGTGTGTTCACCTGCTGCAGAATGACCATGACTCTGGTTTCTGAGTTTATTCCTGGACATCAGAAGACTCCACGTGTCCACCCTGAGACAGAGACAGAGGAGAGACAGAAACCCATACATAGAGAAGGGGGAAGAAAGAGAGAAAAGGATCTTGTTAGCAGCTAGCAACTCAGCCAGCCATCAAGTCACAATGACAAAGTGAGTAACAGTGGCCCAAATGGAACCTTAATCCCTATGTAGGCTCTGGTCAAAAGTAGTACACTGTATAAGGAATAGGGTGCCATTTGGGACACAACCAGCCTGTCAGTCGGCTACTCTGGAAAATGACCAACAACATTCTAATTTGCATATTAATTAAGGTTACTGAAACTGCCTTTGTATTGAAGTTGGCCACACACAGAATTCCATGTACATTCTCACTGCCATAAAACACACACACCACCCACATCCTTCATCCACCTACACACACCCCTCACAGGTCCTCCATGACCGCATGACATGACCAGTGTCACTGTGTTCCCACCTCTGTTCATGTGTTGTAGACGTAGAACAATTATTCACCCACCCTAACTATACTTTAGTTTAAGCTTTTGGCACACCCTTCCTGCTAACCACACAGTAGGAGGAGACAGGGAGTTGGGGGGAGGGATGTTTGGGGGAGACAAAGAGGGTTGTGGGAGAGAGGGCGGTTTAGGAGGAGGGGAGGGGTGAGGCGGCTGAGACGGGAACGGTTTTGTATTTTGTATTTATTAAGGATCCCCATTAGTTCCTGCCAAGGCAGCAGCTACTCTTCCTGGGGTCCAGCAACATTAAGGCAGCTACATACAATTTAAAATATTACATGACATTACATTTCATAACACATTAAGTGTGTTCCCTCAGGCCACTACTCTACTATCACATATCTACAATACAAAATACATGTGTACGTGTGTGTAGAGTGCATGTCTTATCATGTGTCTGTGTGTGTGTCTCTTCACAGTCCCCGCTTTTCCATAAGGTGTATTTCATATTATGATTTTTTTAAAAATCTGATTCTACAGCTTGCATCAGTTACCTGATGTGGAATAGAGTTCCATGTAGCCATGGCTCTATGTAGTCTGTTCTTGACTTGGGGATTGTGAAGAGACCTTTGGTGGCATTTCTTGTGGGGTATGCATGGGTGTCCGAGCTGTGTGCTAGTAGTCTAAACAGAGACCTTTCCTTAACTCACTGTAGTAGCATACATAGACACACTGGCTTTACTCAAGGCCAGTGGCATGTCATTAGTAAAGATTGAGAAAAGTAAGGGGCCTAGACAGCTGCCTAGGGAATTCCTGATTCTACCTGGATTATGTTGGAGAGGCTTCCATTAAAGAACACCCTCTGTGTTCTGTTAGTCAGGTAACTCTTTATCCACCATATAGCAGGGGGTGTAAAGCCATAACACATACGTTTTTCCATCAGCAGACTATGATCGATAATGTCAAAAGCCGCACTGAAGTCTAACAAAACAGCTCCCACAATCTTTTTATCATCAATTTCTCTCAGCCAATCATCAGTCATTTGTGTAAGTGCTGTGCTTGTTGAATGTCCTTCCCTATAAGCGTGCTGAAAGTCTGTTGTCAATTTGTTTACAGTAAAATAGCATTGTATCTGGTCAAACACCAACCCTTAGTAAGCTTTTGGAAAACGTAACAAGCTGATTGGTCGGCTATTTGAGCCAGTAAAGGGGGCTTTACTATTCTTGGGTAGCTGAATTACTTTTGCTTCCTTCCAGGCCTGAGGGCACACTTTCTAGTTGGCTTAGATTGAAGATATGGCAAATAGGAGTGGCAATATCGTCCGCTATTATCCTCAGTAATTTTCCATCCAAGTTGATAGACAACAATAATTTCTTCACTTCTTTACGGAATTCAGAATTAAAATACTTGTCTTTCATAATTTGATCAGTCATACTTGGATGTGTAGTGCCAGCGTTTGTTGCTAAGTTTGCTTATCTCGCCAATGAAAACGTCATTAAAGTAATTGGCAATATCAGTGGGTTTTGAGATGAATGAGCCATCTGACTCAATGAATGATGGAGCTGAGTTTGCCTTTATGCCCATTTAAGGTGCTCCAAAGCTTTTTACTATCATTCTTTGTATCCTTTATCTTTGTTTCATAGTGTAGTTTCTTCTTCTTTTTATTCAGTTTAGTCCCATGATTTCTCAATTTGCAGTACCTTTGCCAATTGGTTGTGCAGCCAGACTTATTTGCCTCATCCCTCTCAACCATACCATTTTCCAATTCCTCATCAATCCACAGGGATTTAACAGTTTTTACAGTCATTTTCTTAATGGGTGCATGCTTATTAGTAACTGGAATAAGCGATTTCATAAATGTGTCAAGTGCAGCGTCTGGTTGCTCCTCATTACACACCACAGACCAACAAATATTATTTACATCAACAACATAGGAATCACTACAAAACGTATTGTATGACCTCTTATACACTATATTAGGCCCAGCCATTGGAACTTTGGTTTTCCTAGATATGGCTACTATACTGTGATCACTATATCTGATGGATTTGGATACTGCTTTAAAGCAAATTACTGCAGCATTAGTTGAAGAGAGGGAGAGATGTTTGGGGGAGACAAGGAGGGTTGGGAGAGACTGAGGTTTAGGGGGAGGGGAGGGATGTTTGGGGGAGACAGGAAAATGCCATTCATTGGTTAGTTTCCTGCAGTATATAGATGTCAGCACTGTGCCCCCAAGCCTCTCTGATTATAATAATAATAATAAATAATAATATGCCATTTAGCAGACGCTTTTATCCAAAGCGACTTACAGTCATGCGTGCATACATTTTTGTGTATGGGTGGTCCCGGGGATCGAACCCACTACCTTGGCGTTACAAGCGCCGTGCTCTACCAGCTGAGCTACAGAGGACCACTGCTGAGAACAAACACACACACAGACAAACAAGTGCGGTAGGGTTAGAAAGGGTAACGGCTCTCCATCAATATTTTAGCATCTAATTACCACAGAAGAGGTCTGGGACAAAGGTTGCAGCCAGGGAGACCTAACGTATGTTGTGTGTATGTATGTGGTGAATATAAAAATACGGATATAGAACAGCAATTCTGGAAAACATGAATATGTACAGTTTCTTGTACAACATACATACACACACACATAGAACATAGAGAGAAAGAGGGAGAAGGAGAGAAAGACAGATGAAAAAAAAATTAGAGAGATAGAAGGAGAGAAAGAAGGAGATATAATCATTTCCCTTCGTTCTCTGAGCGACGTCGGTCATTGTTGTTGATCACCTGAGTGTGGGCTTCTGAGAAACAGCCCGTCTGTAATTCCATCACCTCCACCAGCGAGGATCCAGACTTTTATTAGTCAGAGACGGAAAGAGAGGAAGAGAGAGAAAGAGAGACAGAGGAAGCGAGACAGAGAGACTGACTCTGGGCCCTCCTCCGCTGTACATACTGCCCCCCTGAGACCCTATACCTCCTGAAGTAACAAGGCAGAGAGAGAGAGAGACAGAGAGACAGAGAGACAGAGAGAGAGAGAGAGAGAGAGAGAGAGAGAGAGAGAGAGAGAGAGAGACAGAGAGAGAGAGACAGAGAGAGACAGAGAGAGCGAGAGAGATGCACAGCATGAGAAAGGATACAGGATATTAGGCTAACCCCCACTGCCCCAATTAAAACTCAATTCTAATCAACACTCTCACGCAACACCAAAACTGTCAGACTCTGATAAATTGATAAACTGATAGAAGAGAGCGAGCGAGAGAGAGAGACAGAGAGAGAGAGAGAGAGAGATGTGTAGAGAGTGTATAATGATTAGCCAGGATCTGCTTACAATAAGGCTAATGGAATGAGTTTATGGTGATGTAAAACCTCTGATTTGAACTGATTTAAACTCCTGTAGCTAAATTGGGGGGTAGTTAACTCTGGGATTGAATCAGAAACTCAGCATTTCTGAAGCGTTTCTGATGCAGGCTCACTACCCACTGCGCCAATACAGTTAACGGTAACACCTTACTTAGAGTAGTGACATGTAGTATTCATGTAGAATACATTTTTATGTCATGCATATAAAGGCTTCCTGTTTGCTACATATCACCAAAGTGAAAAGCAGTGGAGGCTGCTGAGGGGAGGACGGCTCATAATAATGGCTGGAACGGAGCGAATGGAATGGCATCAAACTCATGGAAACCATGTTTGATGTATTTAATGCCATTCCACTAATTCCATTCCAGTCATTACCATAAACCTGTCCTCCACAATTGAGGTGCCACCAACCTCCTATGGTAAAACGTCTTACTGTGTTCTTAGGCAGACACACTACCCACTGTGCCAGTAGAGTTAACCCTCTGGGAGAGGTAGTAATGTAACTGTAGTTTACTGACGGTAGTAACAGCAGAGCCTATAAACACATTCCATGTTATCTGAATGTTATCTGAACATTATCTGAGCTGCTGCAGGAGCACATTTTTGTAAAAATAATTTATACAGTTGATAAAGCAACACTAGCTGTGCGAGTCCAAGGAAGGACAGGAGAGACGGTAGAGCAGGACTGCCCAACCCTGTTCCTGGGGAGCTACCGTCCTGTAGGTTTTTGCTCCAACCCTAATCTAGCACACCTGATTCTAATAATTAGCAGGTTGATAAGATGAATCAGGTTAGTAACACCTGGGGTTGGAGTGAAAACCTACAGGAGGGCAGCTCTCCAGGAACAGGGTTGGGCAACCCTGTGGTAGAGGGTCTCTCTCTGTAACTAGTCAGTATCCTCAACCCAGAGCAGACAGGATGCTCTAAATAAGATACACTACATACAGGAAGTAGAGTAGCTAAAGTGTGCTCTATCAGTGCTGCTTACACACACAAGGCAGGTCTGCCTATGATTTAATGGTTAGTTAATCATTACTGTTTCTCCATGTGAACACCCTGAAACCACATACTAGGACTAGAGATACGGAGCAGAATAGAATGGACACCGTGTCAGATACAGACCAACATACTGTACTAACACACTCTTCCACAATCAGAAGAGCATGTCATATGGACAAACAAAAATAATTAGCCTTTTAACACACACACGAGGGAGACGTTAGCAAAAAAGTTGCTTTAAGAGCCAAAGCCTCCATATTCTTACCTCTGTGTACAGTCCTATTTCTATACCCCTCTCTCGTGTTCCGGATGGGTGTCCCAGGTCTATGTTCACTCAGATAAGTTCACAGAATGCAGTGGGGTGGAGGGATGAATGCAGGACGGAGAAAGAGAGGGGCTTCCTGAATCTCTCGCTCTCTCTTAGTGGATGGTCAGAGACCTGCTGCACTGTAGAGGTATTAGTGACTCCCTCACTCCTGCTCTCTCGCTCTGTGACGGTATTAGCTGTGACACACCAGCTCATTCACTGCCACTGATCCCACTTAGAGTTACTGGAGAGAGAGAGAGAGAGAGAGAGAGAGAGAGAGAGAGAGAGAGAGAGAGAGAGAGAGAGAGGTGGGCAGGAAACCCAGTGGGGGGCAGTGAGGCACAATGTAGTGGTGGTCACACAAACACACATTCATGATGCACATAGAGAAAATAAATTGCTTCACATTTAAAAGACACACAGTACATACTGTATACACACTAACAGGGTGCTTATTTCTGTCTTCTGATGGTGTCGCTGTATTAAAGGTCAGGCTGTTCTGAAAGAGACATTGATCAGTGTCCCTCACACCTCACTGAACCTAACAGCACACACACAGTCACACAGTCTCTCTCGCTCTACACAGCACGGTTGATAGTGGACACCAGCCAGGCAGACAGACAGTGTTTTAGCTATTTATTACAGTATACATTCAACTGAAACCAGCCAAAAGGTTTTAAAGAGAAAGAAACAGAGAAGTATAAAACTAATAAAATCATCCATTAAATAGCCTTTAATTCACCCTGCAGTACATTACAATAAAATAAACCTTTACTTATAAAGATATGAAACAAGCCTGCTCAGATGAACCAGTCTCTCTCTGACAAGGGCCCACTACCATGACAGAGACTGGCACTATGACTGTTTATGACACATGCTATGTCACTTATGACAGTGTTATGAAGCCCTCATGATGACGCGAATGTTATGGATAACTGTGATATGATTTGAAACATGATCTACATGGCATTGTAGTAACTGGAGGTAATACAATATGATAGAGTAATACGGGTTATACACAGAGTGTGTGTGTGAGAAAGAAAGGCATGAAGGGGTTGAGTGTAGAGTCCAATGTAAGAGTGGCAGTATTGGTGTGAAACTGTAGCTTAAATCACTCTTCTCCTCTAGTGAATCTAGTCTGTCTGTCTGTCTACTAGTATTGGCAGTGGCGATTTTAGCATGTCAATCTTGGTGGGACAAACAGCAAAAAAAATTAGATGGATGACAGCAAAGCCACTACACATCTCTAAACATTACATTAAATGCACTAGAACGGTGACAAACGGTGCCCATAAACGTTTAGGGTCTACATCAAGCTTTCCCGAGAGTGGAGCTTATGGCTGACTTGTTTAAATAAATATGGTTTCTACTGACTCCTTGTAGATTTGTGTAACTGGATAAGAACCGCATTCTCCTTCAATAATAGTGAATGTCGACATGAGTTTTGACCCATACACAAACATCATTAGATTTATGTTCAGTAAATTCATAATGTTTGTTCTTATATAATTAACACTTAGCTCTAAGTATAAGCAAGTGCAAGCAAACGAGCTGTGATGAGGTAGGCGTATTCGTTCAGCAATTTCGAAATGGACAGCGACAGAAATTCAGATATATATTAGTTCAGATAAATTCAGCAAGATGTTGAGGCCTTAACATTACTCTTCTTTAAGTCACCACAGAGAGAGAAAGAGAGACCCAGACTCAGCGGTTAGCCTACCATTTGACATATTTTATTAGGCCTATGTGGTCTAAAAAGGAAGGACAATACAAATCACGAGGATCCACTTGTATAGACAATATACAGACGCACTGACTACGCATTGAGCAAACAAAACAACCCTCGCAATATGAACTGGAATTACATCGGTCTATTACTTAACTTTTTGTTGAACAAAAATATTTGAATGGGAAGAGACTGTCACTGGCAAACATGGTTACGAGGAGGGGATACTATAATTTAATGTTGTTGGCAGTGGCGACTTTAGCATGTAAATCTTGGTGGGGCAAAAAAAGTAAAAAAAAGTGGAATGCATGCCAGCAAAGCTACTATACAACACTAAACAATACATTAATTGCACTATAATGGTGACAAACGGTGCCCACAAACTGTTAGGGCCTACATAAAGCTGTCCCAACATCTTACCACTGCTACACCTGGCTATCAGCGGAGCCTTTTCTGGCAGCGAAACAGTTCATTCAGCCTCAATTACTGCTTTAAAAAAAAACATGGCTTATATGGCTTACTTGCTAAAACAAATGTGGTTTCTAATGACAGTTGATATGTACAAACTATGGCATAAGGTGACGACAAGCAGGTAGCTTGGTGGTTAAGAGCGTTGTGCCAGTAACGGAAAGGTCGCTGGTTCTAATCCCCGAGCCGACTAGGTGAGAAATCTGTCGATGTGCCCTTGAGCAAGACACTTAACCCTAATTGCTCCTGTAAATCGCTGTGAATAAGATGACTAAAAAGTTAAATGAGGCAATCTGTAATTTCGATTAAGACATTGATGAGCGAGCTACGACGGACATAGTCAATATAACTGTTTAGCACTTTTGAAATGTACAGCGACAGAATTCAGAACATGGGCCGTTCTTACAGTGTTCTCCCTGTACACCAAGTCAGAACCGTAGGATGGGCACCACCAAATCAGAACAGTAGGCGAAATTAAGAGGGGTAAATAGACCAAATTATTAGAGTGAGGCACATGGGCTACTAACGGTTTACTACACAACATACACTTAGTGTCACTTTCTTAGCTACATATCTCCCTGGCATATTACATAATTTATGCAGCAGCATACAATACATTTTTGGACTCACCTTGTTGTGCTGTGCCCACTTGAACAGGAAGGTGGCGTGGCGGTCCTTCGTGGCCAAATTTTGTCATCAAATTCTGTCATTCTCTGGAATTATGGTGCTTTCAAAACAACTGGGAACTCGGAAAAAAACAAGGTCGAATCATGATGACGTCATCGATCAAGTTGTAGCTCAAGAAAGAGGCTGAGTTCCCGAGTTAACTTGACTTCAGTGAGTTCAAGACTTTGCAGTTCCGAGTTAACAGTTGTTTTGAGTGTGGCACAAATCATGCTTCATTGACAGCATGGCCAATGTTGAATGTTTATCATTTTAAACTTGGAAAAGAGACCCTTAATCCCAGATTTGGGACCACACAGCCACTCCACTGAATAGCAGGCTAGTGATTGCTTTTCAATGCTTGCAGTTAGTCACTGTCACTGATTCCTTCCAAACCACTTATTGAATTTGCGATTTCCAACTTGTTGTGTAATGTTTATGTCTAATGGCCGATGAGCACCGATACGTTTTACCTATAATTTCTCTTCATTATTTCTCTTCATATGACAAGGATTAAATAGGATTTGCCAGTAGATTGTCGACTTGATTCATGATGATGTCTGCTAGCTAAGATTTTGAAAGTATGATGTTGACATGATCAGTCCAATCAAAGCTACTGTAGAGATATAACGTGATTTGACTTCATTTTATCTGTGGCCAATGGCCTTCTTGGATGGGCACTTCTAATGTAACTATGGCAGCACCCAAGGGTCTTGAATTTGAGCTCTCCCTGGCTGCCCCACCATCACAGAAAGCACTGAGCTAGGCTGAAACACCTGCATTTTGGAGCTGCCTTACTCAAGAAAAGCAAAAAAGAGACCATGCTTGTATGCGGCTTTATTAACTCCATATATTTGCTAAACTGATATGTGACACATATTAATGCTAAAATAACATGCAATAAAGGCTAAACAGGTGGGGCTGCCCTGAATGACGCGTCGCCACTGAGTATTGGGCCTCCCACTGGAAAATCTATGTGATACAAAGTAGAGCAACATAGACAGAAATCTCATTTTATTCAAGTTTAATAATAAAGTTATTAACAAAAATAAGTGTCTCTCCTAAAGACTAGAAATGTCAGCAGCTGCTCTTGGCACCCAGACCAACTCAGCTACTTGAGAGACTAGTTCAAAGCAGACTGAAATGTAAAACATGTAAATAAATGTAAACAGGACAACATATACTGCTGAAATACTGGACATGTATTTATATATCTGTAATGGCACAAGTTATAGTGGTTATAAGATGAGAAAGGAGAACAAGGAGATGATCGCCCCAATGTGGCCAGGGTTGGTACTACATTCAGTAAAAACAACACTATACTGTCTGGAAGGCTAACTTTGGTCCCTCAACAGATATGTTTTATGGCAAATTAATGTATATTTATGGCTCTTCTCTCCTATTGGACGGTGGGAGTAAGGCACTGATTGATAGATTGGTTGATTGATTGACGGTTAGTCAGATGTTAGTGAGAATGTTGCTGGTCACCATGGAGACAGTGAGCGTGCCCGGGAGGTCGTTGTCTTGGTGATTACCCTTGTCCCTCAGGTGGACGGTAACCTGCTGGGGGTCGCCGGGTTCAGAGGTCAAACTGACCTGACCCAGGAAGGAATCCATCAACACGTTGTTGTTATACACCTGGGGGATGAATAAAGTTGTATTGAATTTAATTGAGAGAACGGTTACTTATAGAAACAACCCAAATTGTGACGTTCACTCTAACTCCTCTTTAACCCACTGGCGCGCACACACAGACCCCACCCCCCCAGCCCAGTCTCCTCACCTCTATCAGTATTGGCTGGTTAGTTTTCTTCCTGTAGAATAGAGCCTTGGTGTCGAAGGTTGGGCTGCGAGTGTCTTTAAAGACGGGAGAACAAACCTTCTCCCCCTCACAACGAATGATCACGTATGGGTCTGAAGCTGCAACACACACATACAGACTGTCAAGAGGAGAAGAAGACCAGACCAGAGAAGAAAAGAGAACAGACGGAGAAGGGAGAGAAGAAAGGTTTGTATACCTCCATCAGAGTCTTGTCCAGCCAGTCCATCTGCTCTGTGGACATGGATCTGAGTGACCAGGGAAGGGAAACCACACAGTCCTGACCAACACGTCTGGGCTGGCTCATCTAGGGTTAACTCTCTATGGGGGGGGAGAGAGAGAGAGCGAGATAATGAGGAGAGTGAGTGTGTGAGTGTGTGAGTGTGTGAGTATATGTGTGTACCTGCAGTCGGCGGGGACGTCAGTGAAGATGCGTAACAAAAAGTCTCCTTCCAGAGCGGGGTCAAAGGTTGTGGGTATGACAACGTAACGACCCTCCTTCAAGGCATAGCGTAGGAACACACACCTGGAGTTGATGTACACACTCCCACACACCTTCTGCTGCCGAGTGTGCATACGGTACTGCCTGTTCAACTCCACCTACACACACACACACACATTTTAATTAACACATTAATACACACATTAATAACACTTCCACACACCATGAGGTGATAAACACGCGCACACACACTTCTCACCCTGTGTATCTCAAAGCCTATAGCCAGGTTTTCTCCCTTTCCCTCTTTAGGTCTGGCTCTCCTGTCTGTCTGCTGTAGACATACCAGCACCTCATCCTCTGGCTTCTTCACGTTGAACACATACTGCAGGGAGACACACACACACACACGTCCTACAGTTGAAGTCGGAAGTTTACATACACTTAGGTTGGAGTCATTAAAACTCGTTTTTCAACCACTCCACAAATTTCTTGTTAACAAACTATAGTTTTGGCAAGTCGGTTAGGACATCTACTTTGTGCATGACACAAGTAATTTTTCCAACAATTGTTTACAGACAGATTATTTCACTTATAATTCACTGTATCACAATTCCAGTGGGTCAGATGTTTACATACACTAAGTTGACTGTGCCTTTAAAACAGCTTGGAAAATTCCAGAAAATGATGTCATGGCTTTAGAAGCTTCTGATAGGCTAATTGACATAATTTGAGTTTATTGGAGGTGTACCTGTGGATGTATTTCAAGGCCTACCTTCAAACTCGGTGCCTCTTTGCTTGACATCATGGGAAAATCTAAAGAAATCAGGCAAGACCTCAGAAAAGAATTGTAGACCTCCACAAGTCTGATTCATCCTTGGGAGCAATTTCCAAACGCCTGAAGGTACCACGTTCATCTGTACAAACAATAGTACGCAAGTATAAACACCATGGGACCACGCAGCCGTCATACCGCTCAGGAAGGAGACGCGTTCTGTCTCCTAGAGATGAACGTACTGTGGTGCGAAAAGTGCAAATCAATCCCAGAACAACAGCAAAGGACCTTGTGAAGATGCTGGAGGAAACAGGTACAAAAGTATCTATATCCACAGTAAAACAAGTCCTATATCGACATAACCTGAAAGGCCGCTCAGCAAGGAAGAAGCCACTGCTCCAAAACCGCCTTAAAAAAGCCAGACTACGGTTTGCAACTGCACATGGGGACAAAGATCGTACTTTTTAGAGAAATGTCCTCTGGTCTGATGAAACAAAAATAGAACTGTTTGGCCATAATGACCATCTTTATGTTTGGAGAAAAAAGTGGGAGGCTTGCAAGCCGAAGAACAGCATCCCAACCATGAAGCACGGGGGTGGCAGCATCATGCTGTGGGGGTGCTTTGCTGCACTTCACAAAATAGATGGCATCATGAGGAAGGAAAATTATGTGTATATATTGAAGCAAGACATCAAGACATCAGTCAGGAAGTTAAAGCTTGGTCACAAATGGGTCTTCCAAATGGACAATGACCCCAAGCATACTTCCAAAGTTGTGGCAAAATGGCTTAAGGACAACAAAGTCAAGGTATTGGAGTGGCCATCACAAAGCCCTGACCTCAATCCTATAGAAAATCTGTGGGCAGAACTGAAAAAGCGTGTGCGAGCAAAGAGGCCTACAAACCTGACTCAGTTACACCAGCTCTGTCAGAAGGAATGGGCCAAAATTCACCCAACTTATTGTGGGAAGCTTGTGGAAGGCTACCCGAAACGTTTGACCTAAGTTAAACAATTTAAAGGCAATGCTACCAAATACTAATTGAGTGTATGTAAACTTCTGACCCACTGGGAATGTGATGAAAGAAATAAAAGCTGAAATAAATCATTCTCTCTACTATTATTCTGACATTTCACATTCTTAAAATAAAGTGGTGATCCTAACTGACCTAAGACTGGGAATTTTTACTAGGATTAAATGTCAGGAATTGTGAAAAACGGAGTTTAAATGTATTTGGCTAAGGTGTATGTGAACTTACGACTTCAACTGTATACACTACAGATCAAAAGTTTTAGAACACCTACTCATTCAAGGGTTTTTCTTCATTTTTAAATGGTGTTCTCGGGGTGATGAGAGGTGTTCGGTTTGCGCCAGACATAGCGTTTTCCTTGATGGCCAAAAAGCTCAATTTTAGTCTCATCTGAGCAGAGTACCATCTGTGAAAAACTGAGTTTAAATGTATTTGGCTAAGGTGTATGTAAACTTCTGACTTCAACTGTATACATTAATACACACATAGATAAACACACACAAATGCCCCCCCCCCCATCCCCACCCCCACTCCTACCTGAGGGTTCTGTAGGAAGGTGTGTTTGTTGTTGGTGCAGCCCCCGGCGCGGTTGCTGAGCGGGTTGTCATGGTTCTGCCAGGCGCCCTTTAGAGAGCCCTCCTCCCAGGTCTTGTGGAAAGACAGGTAGGAAGTGTTGATCAGACGACACATGATCAAATCACTGAAGTACTGACAGAAGTCATCAAATGTCATCCTGGAGGGGGGGTGGATGAGGAATGGGGGGGGGGGGGGACAGGAAAAGGGATGTCATCAAGCTTCATCATCCTATGGCCATCCATTTTCTCAGCCGTGTGGAGGAAAGGTTAGGGGTCATGGCTAGAGGTCATAGGTTAAAACTCACCAGAATTCTCCATCGTCCTGTACCGTCACTCCGATCTTCTCTCTTTCACTCTTACTCACCTTCCCCCACTCCTCTGAGCTGAGAGAGACAGAGGAGAGAGGAGAGATAAGTTCTCTATCACTCAGTGTTTGTCTGAAGGGTTTGCTGTGTAGAGTGAAAGAATGCTAACCGAACAGAACTGATAGAGTAGGGGACTCAAGGTTCTGAGACATGGACACCAACAGTGGCTCAAATGCACAGTTTACCCAAGACCTTCTGCTGCCGAGATGCTTTTTTTGAATTTTCCTATGATACAGGATATAAATTAAACAAACATTCTAACAGGAATAAACAATCTGTGCTAAAGGTCTCCGGTTCCCTGTTGGCCTATACTACCTCTTTCCACCAGCAGAGGGAGCAGTGAGTAATGAACAGGCCTATATATACATACACACACACACCCAGTGACTTGGGGGTTCCTCCAAATATTAAATTATATATATATATATATATATATATATATATATATATATATATATATATATATATAGAAGCTCATTTACTGCAATTCTACACAACTTAAAAACTCTCAAATGCAATTTGGAGAACAGCAAAAACAAGCAAAATGTACTCCAGCATTAGCTGCCTGCTATGCACTAGATCAGCACCGGTATTAAAACTTGTTTAGTTACATGTCTAGTCAAACAGCAGTTACCTAGCGAAACCAATCTACTACAGCCATATTTACCTCTGCAATGTGTTGGAAAAAAGTCATGCTGTTCCCTGCAACTGCATTGATGTGCTTTCCACAGAGAGGAAGAGGTGAAGCGAGAGGTTTCACTCTTGCAATGCGTTTCAATGGGCTTATTTTGGACATAAGCTTGTCGCCTCCTTTCCCGCCTTTGGGGCAACAAATCCCATTGTTAGGGCTTAGACACGAGCATCTCGTCATTATATACAGATCTCTGCTCTCCATAAAGCCAGCCAGCCATACAAACAGCGTTTCCTCCCGCTCCCAGGCATCCGCATCGTCCTAAAGTCAGACGACTAATGCCGCGAAACTGCATTTTCTTTTTAAATGGGATTTGAACGATTTTCGTTGCCTATTTTAAAATTGTTGGTGTTGAGCTAGCTAGGGTATGGCGACTCCCATACCCTGCCATACCCAATTGACACCCTGCACACATTCTCCTCCTCCCCCCTTCTACCAGGCTAGGTCTTCCTTGTGAAAGAGGTATTTTGACCTCAATGGGCCTTCTTGTATAACTAAAGGTAAATAACAAACATTTTAAAACCTACCTGTCGCTCCAAGCGCCGTTCCACTCTCGCTCTCCCCAGGGGTTTCGGAGTCGTATCATTGTGAGTTTGTCGGACTTGAAGTAAGCCATGAGGCCGTGGCCCAGCCGGACCTTTCTAACATCTGTCACAGCGTAGGCATGACCCTTCACCAGACCACAGGCCAGACGAGCCTCCATCTCCGCTGAACTGGCCGCCTGGAGGGAGTGGTGAACGGTCAGGACTATAGGTGTGTGTGTGTGTGTGTGTGTTTGTTTGTGTGTGTGTGTGTGTGTGTGTGTGTGTGCGCATCTGTGTGTGTGTGTGTGCGCATCTGTGTGTGTGTGTTATACCCGTATGGAGGCGCTGATGAGGCCTCCTCTGCTGTGGACCTTGAGGACTCTGTCGAAAAGCACTGAGCGTTTCTCCTCGTCCGTACTCAACCCTTCCTCCACAAGGTCCAAGGGCTCCGAGATGCCACCCGTGAAATCCACCAATGCATCCGCTGTGTTGCCCCCGTCCAGTGCCTCGTAACACCCATACATCCTACACACACACACACTCAGCAAAAGCAATACATCCTACACAAACACAACAGTCTACTATAGCACTAACTTGGCGTAAGCCTTCCTCACCAAATCATTGTGTGTGTGTGTGTACTAACTTGGCGTAGGCTTTCTCCACCAGGGCGCTCCAGAACTCATTGCTGTCATTGGAGTGACAATACACCAAGTTGCCGTTCGCCGTGGGCAACCGGTCGTCGATGACAACATCCACCCATTCTCCAAAGCGCCAGAAGCGGAAGTGGAAAATTCCGGCGTAAGATTCCGGCTTCTCCTCATTCCATTCCTGGTCGTTATGGTCCGGAATCACCTGGGAGGGAGAGAAGATGCTTAGAACACATCACAGCTGTATGCCCTGGCTGGTCTAGCGGTAATGCTGCAGCCTCCGGCACAAGTCTTCAGTATCGGCATAGGTTCGGATACGGCCTATTACACTTTGATACAATCTCCCTCCAACTTTCCCCACTGCCAGTCTCTCTCACTATCTGCTCAATACAAAATCTGAAAATACCTTAAAGATATATATTTAAAAGAACACGTCACAGGTCATGACATTTATTCAGCTGGTGATTGTCAAGCAAATAACTACTGGTCTCACGGTAATTGACCGTTAATTAACATAAACACATTTAGCAGGTCGAAGGAATTGTCCGTAAAGCTCAGAGACAGGATTGTGTCGAGGCACAGACCTCGGAAAGGGTACCAAACAATTTCTGCAGCATTGTAGGTCCCCAAGAACACAGTGGCCTCCATCATTCGTAAATGGAAGAAGTTTGGAACCACCAAGACTCTTCCTAGAGCTGGCCACCCGGCCAAACTGAGCAATCGGGGGAGAAGGGTCTTGGTCAGGGAGGTGACCAATAACCCGATGGTCACTCTGACCTACGGTGAAGCATGGTGGTGGCAGCATCATGCTGTGGGGATGTTTTTCAGCGGCAGGGACTGGGAGACTAGTCAGGATCGAGGCAAAGATGAACGGAGCAAAGTATATTTACATTTTAGTCATTTAGCAGACGCTCTTATCCTGAGCGACTTACAGTTATAGTGAGTGCATACATATATATATATTTTTTCATACTGGCCCCCCGTGGGACTCGAACCCACAACCCTGGCGTTGCAAACGTCATGCTCTACCAACTGAGCTACATAGGGCCCTAGTACAGAGAGATCCTTCATGAACCTGCTCCGGTGCTCAGGACCTCAGACTGGGGCGAAGATTCACCTTCCAACAGGACAACGACCCTAAGCACACAGCCAAGACAACGCAGGAGTGGCTTCGGGACAAGTCTCTGAATGTCCTTGAGTGGCCCAGCTAGAGTCCAGACTTGAACCCGATCGAACATCTCTGGAGAGACCTGAAAATAACTGTGCAGCCTCGCTCCCCATCCAACCTGACAGAGCTTGAGAGGATCTGCAGAGAAAAATTAGAGAAACTCCCCAAATACAGGTGTGCCAAGCTTGTAGCGTCATACCCAAGAAGACTCGAGGCTGTAATCGCTGCCAAAGGTGTATCAACAAAGTACTGAGTAAAGGGTCTGAATACTTATGTAAATGTAATATTTCAGTTTATTTTTAATAAATTAGCAAAAATTTATAAAAACCTGTTTTTGCTTTGTCATTATGGGGTATTGTCTGTAGATTGATGAAGGATTTTTTTTTTTTTTTATACATTTTAGAATAAGGCTGTACAAAATGTGGAAAAAGTCAAGGGGTCTGAATACTTTCCGAAGTATTCTCTTTTTAAGAGGCTGCAATAGAATAGAAATGTTGCGCAACATGAGCTCATGGGCTCTCATTAAGTATTTGATTACATTTTCAGTTAAATTTGCATTGATATCAGAGTGATTAGAGGGACAATAGAGTGCTGAGTACCAGGCAGTTAGCAAGTTTGGTAGGCTACTAATGACCAGCAGCAGCATCAGAGCTTGGAGAAGCCTAATTACTGTGACTAAACGGTCACATGGAATTTGACTGCCATCATGACTCGTGACCGCCGATGTGGCGATAATGCGGTCACCGTAACAGCCCTAATCACAGCTAACTAAAACAGAACAAAAAAAGCAACCTTCTAGTGCATCATAACAACCAAACTCCAACAATACACACATACACACCACAAACAGACATAGGCGCATACCCACACAAATAAACACACACACACACACACACACACAGCCAGCTAGCCCTGTGTGTGTATTAATAACCAGCCCATCCAGCTATGATCAACCAGTTCCCAGAAGCCCTCAGGAAAATCCCTGGTTCCTCTTCTGATGTCATCACTTCCTGTTGCCTAGCGCCACCACACACACCCAGTCCTCACTTCTGTTCTCCATCCCTCCCTCCCTCACTGTACATGCCACACAATCAATAGTCCCAACCAGAGAACTAACCCAACCATACTACCCTCTGGGAAAGGGAGGGGAAGGGGAAAGAGATGGCATAAGAGACAGAGACAGAGGGGGAGAGGAACACAGCAAAACTATCTGCAGGCACAGACACAGATATCCATCCAGAGAGACAAGCAGGCCTCACTCCCTCCCCAGCACAGAAAGATGAGCTCTCAGATTAACACAGACCTGTCCGCGGCCCCCTCGTCTGGCTCAGCCCTGGAGCTACGCTTTGCAGAGGACACCTCTCTCACTGAGGTAAAACTGTTCATGTGGTTGAGATGAGGTTGAGATGGTTGATGATTGAAATAGCACGATGGTTCAGTTGGATGTGAGTTTGATTCTTGCATGGGTCTGATATACTGCGTAATGTGTTTACTGTAAGTCACTTTTGCCTAAAGTATTTTCTAGTAGACATAAAAAATTCAAATTGGCTTCTGCTACGTGTAGTAGTTTGGTACCGTCTTAAATATGTGCTTATCTAGAACAAAGTAGCCTATTTAAATTCGGACCGACAAATGCTTGGACAGTTTTCAGGAGTCGACTTGTACTGAATGGTACCTGCGTCTGAGTATCCAGCACGTCCAGCATATTATAGTTATACTATTATAAAAGTATTATTATAGTATTATTATTCTACAATGTGATTCGTCTGGGTGTCCAGTCCCTTCAGTGGAGCGGTGGAGTGGCCAAAAGGCTAGTTATATTATATTATTATTCTATTAATTATGATTATGATTATTATTATTGTTGCTAGGTGATGCGGCTGCGTTTCCAGTCCCTGCAGCGGAGCGGTCAGAAGCGACAGGAGGGGGAACGGTTGCTCCTCCCCCACGAGGCCGTCTACCGTCTGGACTTCGCCAATCAGGAGCTGACGTTTGTCCACTGGTCAGTGTCTCTGATTGGCCATGGCAGAGTGACTGTCACGGGGATCTCCCAGCTCTGGACCCCTGACCTCACACACCTGATGACCCGGCAGCTTCTAGAACCCGTCGGAACATTCTGGCGGAACGCTGGCGACAAGGAGGACATGCCCCTCAAGTGTCTGGAGGCGGACATCCAGGAGTTTGGGGAGCGAATCGCGGAGCTGGCCAAGGTCCGCAAGGTCATGTACTTCCTGTTTGCCTTCAAGGAGGGGGCGGAGGCTGACAAGGTCAGCATCTCCATGGAGTTCAATCTGGCCTGACCTACAAACCTTAAAGGGATACTTTGTGATTTTGGCAATGAGGCCCTCTGGACACAGAAGTGTGTATTTCTCTGTGTCCAGTATGAAGGAAGATAGAGGTAGTTTTGGAGCCAATGCTAACTAGCATTAGGGCAATGACTGGAAGTCTATTGGTATCTGCTAGCATTGAAAAGCATGCTAGCAGATACCCATAGACTTCCAGTCATTGCGCTAACACTAGTTAGCATTGGCTCACGAAACTACATCTAACTTCCTTCATACTGGACACAGAGACATACAAATGGTCTCCACAAGTTCATCTGATTCTGGGGAAGTAGATAAAGGGCTTCATTGCCAAAATCCCAAAGTATCCCTTTAACTGCTTCCTCTTCCCTCTACTCCTCTAGTCTCCCTCTCTCCATTCTAAGGGAATGCCTTCTACTACAGCCATTCTAGGTTGGACCAGTCTACACTGCTCTCTCTTTCTACATCCCCCGCCCACACACACCCACCGAGTCCCATCTCATCTGTGTGTGTGTGCGCGTGTGCACACTTCCTTCCTGAACATCTATCTATTAGGGGTGTAACGATCCATCTACTACATCGATGTATCGATTTATATTCCTATGATCCAACTACATCGATCTGTGTTCGGCGAGTTGGCCTTTTGGACAACATATATCGATCTAACATCGTTTTAAAATGTAATAAATCGATTGTATCGATACTAGGAAATAACCCATTGGATTTAAGCACGTCAGACTTTATATGGATGTTTTTTCTTAGCACTTTTAATGATAAAGGCTTTAAACATTACTCGATTCAGTCTGCCTATCCGTGACGTCATCGCGCCAGCAGCAGCGCAAAGGCGCCAAGACAACAAAACATAGCATGGCGGACGACAGAGGAGAAGCCGACGAGCGAGAAATTATCAAGCCACCATTGCGGTCCTTACAAGAAACAGGAATCTAGGAAACTTCACCTGCACTGTCCAGTATCCAGGTATTTATTTCAGTCACACTGGTTGAATTTTTGGCTAAAAGGTTACTGAATCGATTTCAAGTCACTGAATCGTTTCGGATCGTATCGTTCTAAATGAACCAATATCGTCCTTGAATCGTATCGACAACCACGAATCGTGATACAAATCGAATCGTTGTTAAAACGAATCGTTACACCCCTACTATCTATGCATGTCACTCAACAACCTGCTAGAAACCATCTTCTGATAAAGGTACAGTAGTTACACAGTAGTAACAGTAGGCTGCAGAATCACTAATTTAGGAGTTTATAATCCTATAGATACAGGTAACTGCCAAAATAAAGGAAACACCAACACAAAGTCTCTTAATAGGGCGTTGGGCCACCACGAGCCAGAACAGCTTCAATGCACCTTGGCATAGATTCTATAAGTGTCTGGAACTCTATTGGAGGGATGCGACACTTTTCTTCCAGAAGAAATTCCATCATTTGGTGTTTTGTTGATGGTGGTGGAAAACGCAGTCTCAGCCGCTCCAGAACTCAGAATTTATACATGACCCTAAGTATGATGGGATGTTAATTGCTTAATTAACTCAGGAACCACACCTTTGTGGAAGCAGATGCTTTCAATATACTTTGTATCCCTCATTTACTCAAGTGTTTCCATTATTTTGGCAGTTACCTGTACATTTATATTGAAAACCTGAATGATATGAATAGCTTGTTCTCATCCTTATTTATAGGAAATATTAGAGAACCAATGCTGCAATGTAACTCCAACTACCTACTGTACTATGACTCTAATCTACACTGTTTTACTCTCCTATTACACTGCACTGATGTAGTAGTTACCATATTCACTTTGCATGAAATATCGCAACAGTATACTTTAAACTGGCCATGTCCTCTACTGCTGTCCAATAAAGAGCTGTAGGTACTCTGTCCTGCTGTGTGTGTGTTAATGGCCAGGACAGGGGACAGGATAGAGACGGCTTAGCCTCAGGCTACAGTAGCTACGGTTGCTGTTCATTCATAGGGCAATCAATACACTCTCTCTCTCTCTCGCTCACACACAATGGACAAGTGGTAGACTACATGCCAGAAGGCAAATGTAACACTTTCGAGACAGAGACAGACAAAGAGAGAGAGAGAGAAAGCGAGTGTGTTCATGTGAGTGATCTGGAGCAGATACTGCAGCACCCTCCCACTGGATTAATAACAGTGTGTGTGTGTGTGTGTGTGTGTGTGTGTGTGTGTGTGTGTGTGTGTGTGTGTGTTGTTGGGGTAGAGGGGACAGTAGGAAGGTACAGTCTGGTCCAATTAATTCTACTGTGTGTGTTAACGAGCTGCTTCTAGAACACATCGTTGCTCTCTTGATAGAACATGTAATTAAACACCAGGACTAAGCAACAGGTAATTATGTCCAAAACACACACACACACACAAACCACTACTACTCATAACAACAAGATATTCCCTGGGAGCTAATAATATTGGTAAATACGGTGCAAGTGTAACAGGGGTAGTTTAGTGAAGACAAGTGACCTTGCCTGAGGCTTTAGCTCAGCAGACTAACACAGTCTTGTACCGGACACTCAGTTGGTCAACAATCCCAGCACGAGGGGAGAGAGCTTTATCCAGAGAGCCTGTGTTAAGAGGAAGACACACCATAATGAACGTCGACACACCATAATGAACGTCGGTCGTGTGCAGTAGATCACCTTCTGGGTGTCGACTAACAGTGGCGATTCAACATGTAGAATAATCCGGGAAATGAACAGAAAATGCTTAGAACTCTTCATCGACCCGGTCTACTTAGGTCTCTCCTGCCAGCTCTGTCTCTGGGGTGAAATCAGCTCTCCAACCCAACAGCAGCTGTTCAGGAGGAACATAATAAACCTGCTCAGTTGTTTCAGATGAAAGATCAGTAATGATTTAGTGAGGTAGGGGTACGGCGTTAGATCACGCCAGTAAGATCACTCCACAGCTTGAAATATCATCAATGGCGCTGCCCAATTGGTACCTTTTCAGTGGTGCAGTCATGTGTGCTTGTAAAGCAAAGGACTACTATTTTGAGCCCTTGAACGGACAGGGACAATGGAGTGACGTCCTTCACACTAGGAGCTAGGGGTTAGGGGTAAGGAGCTAGGCAGAGCCTCTCTGAAGTGGTGGAAAGTTGAACACAAAAATGCTAATGATTCACTGTGAACTCAGTGGAAAAAATACACACTGACATCTCAGAAGGGCCACACCAAGACACGCACACGCACAAACACAAGCCACTCTTCCAAATAGGAGTCGGAAACAATAATAAACTCCAAATCATTCCGTGTGTTTGTGGTGGGGGAAAAGTGTCAATCCTTCTCGATCAGGTCTCTAATCACATCCTCCTACTGCACGTCACACACCCAAGGCAAACACACGCATGACATGCACACAGCCAGGGAGTCTTACCTTTTGCCACAGACTTTCTCTGGATGCCAGGGAGGAGCAGGCAGCTACGAACCAACAGTTCCCCAGCTGGCCCTGGAGGAGGTCATGAGCACTGATACCATTCACAAACAACTTGGGGTTATCACACAGCTCCTATAGAGAAGGAGAGACAACATGGCGTTAAAGCTAGAATTACAATGCTAAGTAATGTCTCTTATACTGTATGTGAATTAGAGTTCAGAGCAGTCGGACTGCGTGCCCTTGTATCAGATTGTAAATTAAAATGAAATTAACACACAGCTCCTATAGAGGGGGGAGGAGACAACATGGGGTTAACACATAGAGGGGGAGGGTGGGAGGGAGAGAGAGACAGAGAGAGAGATAGAAAGATGAAGAAGAGAGACGGTCTTGTTTCTGAGATGCTTATGAGTAGAAGCCAAGAGAACCATTAGTGATAAAGTTCTCTCTCTTCCTCTCCATCATGTTAATTCATGGCACTCAGAGACTTTTTATGTGGCTGTGCTGCTCTCTCTGAGCTGACCACTAATGGAAGGCTTGGGTGGAGGGAGGGTTACCCAACAGTCTGGATGCGTCCCAACTGGCACCCTATTCCCTATAGTGCACTACATATGAACAGGGCCCAAAGCGCTCTGATCAGAAGTAGTGCACTGTGCAGGGAATAGGGTGCAAGTTGGGACCTCTAGAACCACAGATCATTAACTCCCTTCTCCACCCCTTCCTGCTCCATCCCTCAGCCTCAGCAGAGAGTAGCCTCTCTGGGCAGGGTGCGGTAGGACAGGCCCCGGAGCAGGAACAGGAGAGGATGAGGCAGAGGAAGAGGAAGAGAAGCAGACCACACTAAGCTACTCTTTGGGACTACACTGTACTAGACACTACTGTTAACAGGGGGATCAGAGGTATTGTGAAAGACATAGGTGATAAAAACCTCTGGTACACTCCCAAAGAAGATCAGTAAGTCTAACATACTGTAGGGTGGATCTGTTTCTCAACTCATTCCATGGTTCGCTGCTCTAACCACACTCGCTCTTTCTCTGAACCAGGAGGCCCTCCTAAGGAATTTCACTGGGTGAGAAGTAACATTTTGCCTTGGGCTTGATCAGCTGCTGTGTTGGAGCAAGGCTGGACAAAAACAGGAATACCATAGATATATTATTTACATTTACGTCATTTAGCAGACGCTCTTATCCAGAGCGACTTACAAATTGGTGCATTCACCTTATGATAGCTAGTGGGACATTTTTTATATTTTTCTAATTTTTATTTTAAGAGTATATTTTGTTAATTTTCATTTGTTTATATATTAGTACTGTTTTTACCATCCAGCTGGTCCTATTGCAAGAGGATAGTGATGACCACAGCAGTGGTTTTTATACTTTTCCTCATTAAATAAGATTAACTACTACCACTCCTGTTTGGTTGGTAATGGCGCAAAGGTTGGGGAAATGCACACACACACACACATACATACCCCGATCGAAGGGTTCATAGAGAACCACATCTCTTCCGTTCTATTCTTGATTTATCCCCACTTTCTTTCTCATCCTCTCCACCTCTCTCTCTGAATAGCTGTGACATGACGTACCCAAACTGTCAGTCGGATGCTTATTCAAACACCTTAACTCTAGGGCTGCCACAATTACCGTTTAACCGACGGTTACGGATGAAGACTGTGAAAATAAAATGAGGAACAGCTGACTGAAGACGGGACTGCCAGGCATTAGTGCGGTTGAGTCAGTTTCTGCGTTAACATGGACTCTTAAAAACGGTGATTTTCAAACACTATGAGATTCGTGGTGATGTGGTGAGCAAGAAAATACTCTCCCTCTGGCTAGAAACTCATTGCAAGTTTTGAAAATCACATTTTTTACTTTTAATCCTAACCTGTGATGTCACAGATAATATTTTGGGGACCTTACTTTTCTTTTTAACCACAGATCATAGAAACGCACTGTTTTCACATACGTAGACACTGGTTTGGTGCTGGAGATTATGAATATGAAGTTTAACTCTCCTATCCCCCCCCCCCACACACACACACACACACACACACACACACACACCCACCCCTCCTGTCAGTGTGTGGTACCTTAGGTCTCTTCCAGGTGATGGTTCCTATGCGGTTGGTCTTGTAGAACAGAGACTGGTCCGTAGCCGGAAACACAGAGTCTTCAAACAGGACTCGACGCTGCTGACACTCCCTACGCAGGGAGGAATAGCCCTGGTCTTCATATGGTACCACCATCACCCTGCTGGAACACACACGCACACAGTTACACACACTCCCTATGCAGGGCAGCGAAACACTGATTATTATACGGCACAACCATCCTCCTGGAATACGCAGTTACACACACAAACATACGACCAAACAGTGAAAAAAATAAGAATTAAAAAATAATGATATACATTTTCAGGATGGAAAAACCCTTTTAGTGTAAACTTAAACAACAAAAACCAGACAAAGTATGTAGAAATTATAATGCAAATATAACGTTATATTTTTAAATAAGCGAGAACTAACAATCACCTAAATAAAAGCTAGACAATCAGGGAGAATTCAATTCCCAAAACAATTCATTTAGCAGTATTGACTGTTATTGTTTGAACAAAAGAACACTGCATTAGTAATGGAAAAATGCATAGAATTTAGGTAAATTAGCTTTAAAACTGGAACATTTTCCAGAAATGTGTAGAATTACAGGAAATTGGCTTAAAAATGTATCAATACCGCCAAGATGGGGGCCGTTGAGCCACGCCCCCTGCCACAACCACCACCTAAGTCCCTTTTGGATCCAGTAAAAAACCCTGGTATCGGTAGCACAGGAGGTTGGTGGACGGGCTCATGGTAATGGCTGTAGCGGAATAGTATCAAATACATCAAACACATGTTTTGGATGGTTTCGCTCCGGCAATTATTATGAGCCGTCCTCCCCTCAGCAGCCTCCTGTGAGGAGGGGCAAGGAGAGGGATAAAGGGAGTAGTCGGTTCACAACAGCTAGAAGGACTAACTACACTGAACAAAAATACCTTAGCTTTAAGGCTACATTTTTGTGGTGGGGAGTCTATGAGATGTATGCCAAGAAGAGGGCAAAAAAGAGAAGGGTATTTGTGTGTGAGTGAGACAGAGTCCCATTATCTACTGACTCCTCCCATTGAAAGTAGAGAAAAATAAGCACTGTTGTTCAAGGATATCCTCTTTTTCAACACACACCATATGAGTCACACCCGAATAACATAATTCTCCAGTCACGTGACACATACAGACAACAGACACTCCTAGTTTACCCATGGATCACTGGGAGTAACCAGCCCCAACTCGAATACTAGATCAGAGGTTCCCAGATCTTTTAGCACAGTGTGCTTAGCATAGAGTCTGTCTGCTAAACACACACAAACTGCTGCTGTTCACTGCTCGGACAGTCAACAGGACTCCCTGGTAGTCATGGAGATGCTTATGGGACGTAGCCAGGCAGTCTGTAATCATGTTAGTGTTTGACAACCCTGTTAGAGAGAGAACATACACTACACAATGCAGACAAACACACTACACACACTAGCACACACACAGGGTTTACCATAGACCTATCCTGGAGAAGAGAGGAGGGGCAAGGAGAGGGATGAAGGGAGTGGTCGGTTCACAACAGCTAGAAGTTCTAACTACACTAAACAAAAATATAAACAGAACATGTAAAGTGTTGGTCCCATGTTTCATGAGCTGAAATAGAAAATCCCAGAAATGTTCCATATGCACAAAAAGCGTATTTCTCTCAAAATGTGTGTACAAATTTGTTTACATCCCTGTTAGTGAGCATTTCTCCTTTGACAAGATAATCCATCCACCTGACAGGTATAGCATATCAAGAAGCTGATTAAACAGCATGATCATTACACAGGTGCACCTTGTACAGGGGACAATAAAAAGCCACTCTAAAATATGCAGTTGTGTCACACAACACAATGCCACAGATGTCTCAAGGTTTGATGGAGCGTGCAATTGGCATGCTGACTGCAGGAATGTCCACCAGAGCTGTTGCCAGAGAATTGAATGTTAATTTCTCTACCATAAGCTGCCTCCAATGTCGTTTTAGAGGATTTAGCAGTACGTCCAACCGGCATCACAACTGCAGACCACGTGTAACCATGCCAGACCAGGACCTCCACATCTGGCTTCGTCACCTGGGATCATCTGAGGGGGGGTGGGGGTGCTGAGAAGTATTTCTGTCTGTAATAAAGCCCTTTTGTGGGGAAAAATTCATTCTGATTGGCTGGGCCTGGCTCCCCAGTGGGTGGGCCTGGCTCCTAAGTGGGTGGGCCTATGCCCTCCCAGGCCCACCCATGGCTGCGCCCCTGCCCAGTCATGTGAAATCCATACATTAGGGCCTAATGAATGTATTTCAATTGACTGATTTCCTTATATGAACTGTAACTCAGTAAAATATTTGAAATTGTTGCATTTATATTTTTGTTCAGTATATACTACTACAGGAATACTGTATGCAGTTCAGTCTAACACCACTACTGGTTGGACTTAGTCTACTGGAGGTCTAGATGGAGCTGTCACGGTTCTATCTGCACCCATCTATTTCTTACAGATCTGAGGGAGTAGGAGCTAGGGAAGGGGACTATAATAATGCTTACATATCTTGCATTACTCATCTCATATGTATATACTGTATTCTATACTATTCTACTGTATCTTAATCCATACCGCTCTGACATCGCTCGTCCATACATGTATATATTGTTAATTCATTCCTTACTTAGATTTGTGTGTATTGGATATATGTTGTGAAATTGTTAGATATTACTGCACTGTTGGAGCTAGAAGCGCAAGCATTTCGCTACACCCACAATAACATCTGCTAAACACGTGTATGTGACCAATAACATTTGATTTGACTAGGGGTATGAATGGAACGTGGCCAGCCTAGCTGTGGGTTCTGTCTGGGAAGGGGACTATTGGGTTCTGTCTGGCCTGACAGGAAACAGTGTCATCTCCACATCCATGTTTAGCCGAACCCAAAACGAAGATAGTATCACCAAGTATGAAAAATGTATGCACTCACTAACTGTAAGCTAAATGACTAAAATGTAAATTAAGGTTGGTCGAAAATTATCTGTGCTACGCCAAATAGTACCTATCCTGTAAAGGCTTATGGAGCATCACATTAGCCCATTACAATCTGCTAGCTACTCTAACCACAACACCAACCCAATGTTAGCGGAGGGTGTGGCTGGCATGGTGTGTGGGTGTTCGTCCGGCATAACACCGTAACAGATATGGCACAGACTGAAATGGCAGAGACAAACTATACTACAACCGTCGCTTTGTTCACAGTTCAATCCCCATTAACCATACTCAAGAGTATAGGACTCCATTGAACAGTTGAGTCCTACACGACTCATCAGGCTTTAGAACTTCTACTGAGAAATGAGGTGGGGGTGGAGAGAGAGAAAGTCAGGATTCATAACAGACCTCCGCAGCCTGGGCCAAAGGTAGTAGCTCTGCTCAGTAAGTCTAAACACTATTGAAGTTGTAAACACATTTTACAGAAGCTGCAGCTGCTGGGAGGAAACACTTACAAAAAAATATTGCAGTTTTGAAACTGCAGTAACTCCAGTCGACTGTGGTATTTTGGAAGCAGTAATAGTGCACTCTTAACTGCAGTTACACTGCAAAATTACTGCAGTAAAAAAAAACGTATTTTGGACGCAGCATACTGCAGTTATACTGCACTCTGACTGTAATCTTTTTTCGTATTCTGCTCTCCAGCGAGGGGATAGTCGGCTACTGAACTGAAATAACGACAAAACGTGTTTTATACTTGCTGATAACACAGCAGTTGGTAGCCAAGATAAACTCAACTCCACGGTGTACTGTACTTCACAACAACGGAGTTGCGCAACGACTAGTGTGGAAGGACTGGAGCTCCGACATCACATACAATTAACTTTTTATATTTAAAAAAAAAAAGGTCCTGTCTAATTGTAGGCTATTTTTTGTGGAGTTGAAATCAGTCGTTTTTGAAAAAAAAATCATTTTATGTGACGTCCGAGCTCCAGTCCGCCCACTCTCGTCTTCGCTCAACTCGGTTGACTTGAAGTAGGCCAACATCGTGGAATTTACTTGGCTGGCTGTTGGTAAAATCGTATGCTCTAGAAAAGTCCAGATACGTTCACACACACAGACAAAATGATACACATTTGCTGTTGGCTGTGCTCTAGAAAAGTTTAAATAAGTTCATCCATCGTAATACATTTCCGTCAAACCGACTGGCTGCTTTAATTAGGCTAGTTTACCTTGGAAGGGTTTACTCCCTCGGTGACGTATTCGTTTCTCTACGGTCCTACTTGTGCTTCAGTCGGTGTGATCCCTGTTCTCTCTCGGAGGCTGCTCTTCTGATGCACGAGCTCCTCAGGGCTTTCTTGCTGTCTCTTTCGCGCTCTCTTTTTCTCTCTCGCTCTCACGCACAGGGGAGGGCTGAGTGTCTTACGGCTGGAGCTGAGCTCTAGCTACTCCGGTTCCCTGACTATGTTGATCAGAAACATATGGTGGTCTATTTTAGTGTCGACTAGACCTACTGCTCCACTGACATGATCAAGTTGAATCAAAGCTCTTGTAAAATATTAATTGGAGCCTACTGTTTTTCACATAAAACATTTGAGAATAAATCCACGTTTCTTTTGGAAAGTGCCTAGTACTGCTAATTTCCAAACAGTAGTCTATTTTTGCCTTGTCGTTTAAAAAAATGTGTGACGTTTATCTTATTTGGACAGCCGTTTCCGTTATGATTGTGGGCAAAACGCCTCTCACTCTTCATAAATAATTTTTACTCCTAAAGCAACTTCGCAACCCAATATTGTATTTTTTCAGAATTAGGTCTAATTCGTTTCAAAACGCACAAAGAAATATAAAATATTGTCATACAATGTTTTCGAAATGTATGCCTGCAAAGTGGGATGCGTTTAGGCTGCGTTCACATAGCTAGCCCAATTCTGATATTTTTTCACTAATTGGTCTTTTGACCAATCAGATCAGCTCTGAAAAAGATCTGATGTAAAAAGATCTGATGCGATTGGTCAAAAGAACAATTAGTGGAAAATATACAAGAATTGGGCTACCTGTGTGAACAAATCAAATTGCAGTCAGTATGCATTAGATCGGTCAATTTGCCAGTCTGGAAACAATGTAACACTTTCATGTGGAACTGTTAGATAGTACATGCTTGATATTACTGCACTGTCGGAACTAGAAGCACAAGCATTTCGCTACACTCGCAATAACATCTGCTAACCATGTGTATATGACCAATACATTTGATTTGATTTTGATTTGATCTAATCTACATCAGGTTAGAGTATATTTGGAAACAACATGTTTTTCGCGTCTCTGCTATTTACAGTACTGCAGCGTCCTCCTGTGGCCACCGGGTGAAAGGACAGAAGCGTAATGTACTGCGGAGTAGAGCCAGTGGCGGTGACCGAGGTCGCTCTGTGTCATTAATGTTTAACCCCAAGGGACCGGAGTCACCGGACATATGAAAAGTCATGTGAGAAACTTCACTTTACACTTTACTGAACTGAAGAAAGACAACATTAACATCCGACAACGGGGGAGATGGACATGAAACATCTAACTTGTTAGTTTAATTTAAGACGGTTTGTTGTATAATGAGATATACTCAGAGCAAACTACACAGTAAGTCATAATGATACTGTGATGATGATCAGTGTACTGAAATATTATTTTTCCCACAAAGCCATTACTTATTCACCCTGTGTGTTTTAATGAAGGAGTATGCCAGGAGAAAGTATGTCAAATACTTGATTGATTGGTTAATTGATTTATTGATTGGTTGATTGCTTTATTATTTCTCTGTGGAATATAAAAACATGTTACTCGAAATGGGTCCACATAAACTGAGGTATCTGTGGCATTCTGGGAAACATTGTCCTTACTGTGTGTGTAAAGTGGTGGGGATGGGGAGAATTCTGGGGTGTCTGATGCCAGCGGCTCTGCTGATTGGCTCAGCCCTCTGTATGGGTGTGGTCAGTCTAACCCTAAACCACACCTCCAGGGTGCGAGTTCACAAAGGGAGGAGCTTCACACTAACCTGCATGAACACAACACATGCAGGTGAGATAACACACACACAAGACTACCTTTGTGGAATGTCCCCGTGCCCCTGTTATACTGGTGTGTGTGTAGGAGTGGTCCAGTACTGGCACACCCCGTTCGGTCGGGTCCAGAACAGCAGTCTTCATGCCAACCAGAAGGATGTGGTTGCTATGCAACGAGATGGTAGCCTGCAGATCCACATCGCCTCTCCTCACCACAGCGGCCTGTACTACTGCCTCCTACTGGCCGGAAGACAAACTACACTCACACCCTACCTGCTGTAAGTACTGTTGTAAGGCAGTCATGTTGTGTTAATACAGTAGCGCACTATATAATAGGGTGCCATTTGGGACTAACACATTCATTCACTCTTTACCTCCCTCAAGACTGCCAGCAGTCGACAGGACCATGCGGTCGAAGACAGGTGGGCGGTCAGGAGTGTTCTGGGTGGTTATGGAAAGGAGAGGGATGTTGCCGTGGTTTCTGACGATGTGTTTGCGGCGGCGGTGACGTTCCTGGTGGGGTTCAGCTCTGGAGCTCTGAGCAGGACTCTACTGGACAGGTACATGGCTTTATCTACCTATATTAAACATCTATTCACCTTTATTTTACATTCGATAAAGATGAAGTTCAGTATTTTACAACTTCATGTTAGATGGTTCCTTACCCTGAAAGTAGAATATGGGCCAGGAGAAACTAAATCATGGTTAGCTTAAACTTGTAGTGGTTGTTTAAAGAAAACCGAACCATGGATTAGTTTCTCTTGGCCCATAGACTGCTTTGAGTGACAGTAGTCTAGTTGTAAAACACTGAACTTCGCATTTAAACAGAATCAATATTAAATACAGATAAATTTTACCACCACTCCTTCTCTAAGGTGTGTGAATTGGGTGTGGTCGCTATGACAGGGACGTCGTAACAATGGTGAAACAGTCAGCGTGGCATTTCGGAAGGATGTGGAACAAGAGGATGAGGATTACTCTGCCTCGACGACAAGCGTTACCATGGAGAATGTGTAGTGTCGAGTCAATGTTGCTAATAACGCTGTAACAAAGGAGTCCGCTTATACTGAACTTTGATCATAAGTTTTATTCATATCACAAGATTTCAGCATAAGTGTACAGGTGTCCAGATCACCCAGAGAGCAGTGGTTCCCAAATTGCAATGTCTGCTCTGCTCTTCTTCGTTTAAACCCAGTATATATAATTTTCCCCAAAATATGGGTGGCTCCCTCTACTGTCCAATCCCCTGTCTACAACACACAGCCTTCTCTGTCCTATGTGGCGTCACACTAAAACAATTCCTTCTGACACTAAATAAACATCCTCTCAGGTTCCACTTGAAACCTTATCAAATCATAATCCTTAATACACTACATTCCCCCCTTCGAGACTAACTAAAAGTCTCGAAAACAAAAAGAATAGGATTATGACAAGTAACAATTTATCTTATTGAGTATCTTTAACAATAAACCAAAAACACTTTTCTCTGGAGTGTAAATACCTTTCTATGAAATATGAACAAATCTTTATGAAGTGTGAATACATTACTATGAAATATGAACAAATCTTTATGGAGTGTGAGAGACGAAAAACCTGTCTGGCAGCCTTCTTTCCAAATATCCATCCATCAATCAAGACAGTAAAATTCTCTCACGGCCCCTCTGCCCCAGGCAACCACCTAGGTACTCCAGATCAATTCATAAATCTTTATCAATGCATTTGAAACTATGATGCAATTAAATACACATGAAAGCCCCAGCAAACAAAATACTATCCAAAAAATGTCCACACTAAGGCTGGTCGACCCATCGGACCCCACAGTGGATCTCTATCCCTGCCTAGACTCCATGTCCCTAAGCATTCACGAAATAAACAAAAACATCTAAGATCCCCACATGTATTCAATAACATCAAATATCATTCTACAAAAATTAATACAGAAAGAATATGACACAAATTATGTATTACACATGCAAATATGTCTATATTTCATTGCAGACACTGGAATGTAGTCCACTACACTTCATCTCCTCCGTAGTCTCGACTTCCAATGCATCGTTGATGATGGAATCGGAACATTTCCACACCTTCCTTGTTCCATCTCCTCCAGGCCCTTCATATTCTCCTTTCATATTGTCCCTTCATATTGTCCTTGTTTGAGTATTTCAATCTCTACATATTCCCCCAAATGCTTCTGGAAGAAAAGAAAAGACCAAACAGTATCTTTTGCAAAACAACACTTTCAAATTAAAACATCAATATCAACTAAGAATATAAAAATGATATAAAATGATATATGAATCAATATAAAAAATGATATAAAATGATAGGATAATGTGATTCATTCATACATTTCCCCCCTTTGATTCATAACAAAATACTAAAATCACACTAATATTGAAAAACATTTGAAAAATGATCAAATAATCAAAAAGGATATTTATCCATCAATACTCCATCCAGTCCCACTTGTCCCTCTTCATTCAGATCAGGAACAGTCAACAACGGCATCTGAGTGTTGTCTCCAGGCATCACAACTCCAACCCATCTCAACATCATAGCTTTCGCAAAGGTCAGTAACAAATTACAAAAGAAAAACATCACACACAGTGCTATCAAAGCTGCTATTGAAATCTGAACCATCACTGCTCCCACTGGGCCTAACTAATCTTGCAACCAAGACTGTTGATTGTTGATTTGATTCACTCTGATTCTTCATAACCAAAGCTTCTCTTCTCCTTCTTATTCTCCCCCAGCTGTATTTGATTGAGTAGAGTTTCTTGGTCCTGCTCTTTCTTGTTGTTGACATATCAGTATTCTTCAAAAGGTTATATTCTAAGTTCTGTCCTCGAAATATCATCTTCCATCATCTTCTTCTGTATCTTCAGCTTCTTGAGTTGTTCCTCCAGTTGTGTTACTTCTTCTAAACTATTCGCTTTATCCAGGCATGATACGCATCGGTCTATATCTCTTTCTATTTCTTCTTTGCTAGTCATTGTTGGATAAAATCCTCTTGAATATGAAGCACCTTTAATCTCCAAGTCTTCATCTTTGTCTTCATCTTTCCGAACCTCATTCTTCTCTTAGTTTCCAGACATCTCGTTTTTTCTTACTTCTGGAGTTTGGATTCATTTTTATGGTCGTTTCTGCTTGTCCTCTCTCTATTATTCAACCACTTTCATCATGTTGATGACGTCAGGGTTAAGATTCCCTCTACTAGCTATGGTTGTTCAATGTCAGGCCAACGTTTGTTCCATTTGCCGGATAACCTCGCAATACTTTAACTAAAGGATTACTATTTTGTACTATATCAACAGGTGTAATTACCTTCATAGTCCTGATATCCTTTTTCCCCATTGTAACAACTCTTTTATATTCCTTTAATGTGAATTATTTTATTACTATTTTAGAATATATAGCTTATAGTGCCCTCCCTTTAATTTTTAATATAAACTAAAAAAAAAAAAACTTGTTTTTTTGTAAATCTAAATAATAAAAATTAATCAATAAAAATATGAATATTCAAAAATAATTATTTTTTTTAAATTAATTTTTTCCAATTAAACAATTACTCAATACATTTATGAATAATCAAAAATATTTTTTTATTTCTATTTCCTATTTTACTAATTTATCAATTAGTGGCTATCTTACCACCTTCAATCAGGAAAAGTATGTATAATACCTATAATCCAGCAACACTACAGTACTCATAAACCCCATTGCTTAATAAGCATCCAATTATCTTAATTTTACAGAATAATGTCAGTACTCGATTTCCAACAGAACTCTAATCAAACCAACTCATGCACAAAAACTCCAAAATGCAATTTTTAATTGATCAGTCTTTTGCCAAATCTTTGTTAAATTGTCATAACATCAAATATCCTGTAGGGGAAGGTTTTGTAAACAGAACAGCACTAGCCTGATTTTGACTCGATCCTCTGTCGCGTCACACCTGTCGCGTGATGTACACGTCAGCACCTCTCTTTCTCTCTCTCTCCTCGTTCCTCCTATCGTCTCTCATATGACAAAAGACAAAGAAACAGACAATAATTTAGCAGTTTATGCAGTCACTGAGTCACTTCAACCATTCAATATTCCTCCGTTCACATTCGCTCTAAGAATTAACTCAGGAATCGCATAAATAGCTCAATAACATTTTTATTTTATTTATTTACTTAATTATTTTTATTTTTAATCCGTCAACATCTCTCTCTCATTTATCAATTCAATAGGTCTCAAGAAAACAGTTTCATCTTCAAACAACAGCCGATGTAACAACCAGAATACACCCTTAGACTCTAAATGTCTAATTCTTTGTTCCTCCGTCTGTGTCTCCCCGCAGCACAGTGTAACAGAGGATTGACCTATTTACCCCTACGTCACTCTAGTGTCGTAAAATCACACGTGTCGTAATCTAGTGTCGTAAAATCACACGTGTCGTAATCTAGTGTCGTAAAATCACACGCATGCGCAGTACATTCACCAATACGATTTCACCGTGGAAGGGAGCCCTCTCAGCTCTCTCCCCAAGCCAAACAGAAAGTTAACAGTCCCGCTGTAACTCCGTTTTCTCCTCATAGTCAAACAACATTTAACAGAGCTCACAAAGCATAGAACTTAAATTCTACACACACAAACATAATTTAAGAGGCTTTATTCCATCGCGATGGCCCTCTAAGGTCACATGTTAGCATGTAGCATAATTAGCATTTAGCATTTGCATTTAGCATTAGCATGTATGTAACATGTAGCAATGTAACCTACATTGCGCCTTAAATTCCTTTTCCTTTGTCCCTAACTTTATGCTGCCGTGAGTTATGGATATTCTATGAGAGGTTACATCAAACATATACCTCGTCAGATATAAGATGAGCAGTAACTTGCAATAGAATGTATATAACACTCTCCAGTCCCAGACTCACCTAAAACACATCTAACGCGTTATCAGGATTTTCGGCCCATCCTAGAGATCGCCTCCCTGAGGTCTTGCCAGATCCGCAATGCCCTAATTTGTATACATATCTTGGCCTTATTCACTTCCATCGATTGTTCTTGAATTCCTATTCAAGCCACATATCTCTATAGACACTCCATAGATACTCTCCCCCCTTTTGCGCTGTCTACCAGTGCAAACAAATTTATAATGGTTAGGCCAGACCCCCAGTTCTCAGCAATAAAGCAACACAAAGCACACATCGGTCCCCAACGGTACATCTCTCCAGCGCACACTCAAATAGCCTTCGAACTAACAAATGCCCAAAGTGGTGAGAAACTCACCCTTATCTGGCCATGACTTCGGAACGAGAGTCAGCTTGGCGCATGAATGGAACACAGGAGAGACGCAGACCGTCCCTTTTCGTGACGCCATTTTGTAGTGTCGAGTCAATGTTGCTAATAACGCTGTAACAAAGGAGTCCGCTTATACTGAACTTTGATCATAAGTTTTATTCATATCACAAGATTTCAGCATAAGTGTACAGGTGTCCAGATCACCCGGAGAGCAGTGGTTCCCAAATTGCAATGTCTGCTCTGCTCTTCATCGTTTAAACCCAGTATATATAATCTTCCCCAAAATATGGGTGGCTCCCTCTACTGTCCAATCCCCTGTCTACAACACACAGCCTTCTCTGTCCTATGTGGCGTCACACTAAAACAATTCCCTCTGACACTAAATAAACATCCTCTCAGGTTCCACTTGAAACCTTATCAAATCATAATCCTTAATACACTACAAATGTCAGCCCATTTCCACCGGCCAAACCTCAGAAGCTTCAGGGGCAAAGGGCTCGACCATGTTACAGCACAGGAAACCTAAGCAAGCTAGGGGAAAAAGATGACATGAAAGGGAGAAAACGCTACCTGGAGGTGCATGACAGACAGGAGGAAGGAGAGGAAAGATGGAGGACAGGTGTAGGGAGAAGGCAGAGACAAGAAGTTGAAGAGAGAGGACTAGAGGCTAGGAGGTCAGACAGGGGGGAGAGAGGGGGAAGGAGTAGGCAGTGGGAGAGGAGAGGGCAGGGGGAGGGAGAGGAGGGGGAGAAGAGAGGGCCGGAGAATGGAGCGTGACGTGTACAGTAGGAGAGGAGGGGAGCATGGACTAAACGCGTGGAGTGACAAGTTGGGACTGTATTCATAAGGTCGAGAGAGGTTGAAAAATGATCCGGAGATCTAGAGTATAGTAGCATGATTCTAGACAGGTCTGTTGGGCGAGAGAGAGGGGAGAGGAGAGGCAGTGGGGCAAGAGGAATGCAGGGGGAGGAAGGAGGTACGGGAAGTAAGAGTAGGCGTTCCTCAATCACAAATTCTCACACACAAATTCCCAGACACATTTAAGATTTTGACTTGTCATCAAATCCAGTAGATTCCATGATTATTTTGTAAAAGCAATTGGAAATAAAACATTACAAGTAAATTTTAACTTTGGATGTGTTGTTAATTAAAAGTTTGTCCCAGTGTATTTAGTTCTAACCTTGTCCCCAGGTTATGATTGCGCATTGCACTAATAAGCCTGGGATAACAACAACTATCGTCTGGCCTATGTAGGAGTGCATTTTTTTGTTTTTTTTGTTTGTCATAATTATTTGACCTTAGCAAATCAAAGACTGCAAGACAGCGGTACACAAATTAGAGGTACACAATACAGGAGGAAGTGTTTGGAGGGAGGTGATTGATTAAATATAAAGCCGATGGCTATTGGCTCTGGACCTTTTCGTGTTCTATTGGGTTGAAGGCCCAGTGCAGTCAGAAACGGGATTTCCCTGTGTTTTATATACACTGAGTACAAAACATTGGGAACGCCTGCTCTTTCCATGTCATTAGACTGACCAGGCGAATGCAGGTGAAAGCTGTGATCCCTTATGGATGTCACTTGTGGCCCTATGTAGCTCAATTGGTAGAGCATGGTGCTTGTAACGCCAGGGTAGTGGGTTCAATCCCCGGGACCACCCATACGTAAAAATGACTAAGTCGCTTTGGATAAAAGCGTCTGCTAAATTGCATATTATATTATTATTATTATTATATGAAGGGGAAGGAGACAGGTTGAAAGATTGATTTTTAAGCCTTGAGACAATTGAGACATTGATTGTGAATGTGTGCCATTCAGAGCGTGAATGGGCAAGACAAAAGATGGTAGTAGGTGCCATGCGCACCAGTTTGAGTGTCAAGAACTGTAACACTGCTGGGTTTTTCACGCTCAACAGTTTCCCTTGTCAAGAATAGTCCACCACCCAAAGGACATCCAGCCAACTTGACACAACTGTGGGAAGTATTGAAGTCAACATGGGCCAGCATCCATCCCTGTGGAACGCTTTCGACACCTTGTAGAGTCCATGCCTGACAAATTTAGGCTGTTCTGAGGGCAAAAGGGGGTTCAACTCCATATTAGGAAGGTGTTCCTAATGCTTTGTACACTCAGTGTATATTTCCATACTGAGGTTGGAATAATACTGTGAAATTGTGAACATTTTTACGATGCCCTTTAAGTGTAAGAGCTGTTTGAAAAGACCGCCTGAAATTTCAGCCTGTTTTGGTGGGATGGAGTTTTGGCCTGTCTGGTGACATCACCAGGCAGTAAATTTGTTAATAGATCAATAACATATTGTTTTCCCCTCCCCACTCAGACCACTCCCAGACAGTCCTAGCAAAAGTCTTGCTTGAGAAATTGCTATTTGCTAAGTTATTTTTGTTTCTTTTTGAGCATTTTAATTTAAAACAATCACAGTAAGGTACTTAACTGTTACACTGAATTGATTTTAAATTGACATAAAAACAGCTGCATTGGACCTTTAACGAAGGCCATGTTTGACATGTTGATCCACCAGACCATATGAGCATCGAGCAAAAGTGTCTGGTAAACAGGATTCATTTGGTAGTACCAATCACAGCCCTGTATATTTGGTTGTAGCAGTCAGAGGTTAGAAGCATGTTTGGTTATACCAATCAGAGTTTAGAAGCAGGTTTGGTACAATTCCATTCTTTATTCTTGTTCTGAAAACATACTATAAACAAGGTAAGACTCAAAAATGAAGGGAAAAAATGTTCAAGGAAACAGAAAAAATCCCCAGTCGATCTTAACACTGGTGAAATATGAAAAATAGTTCTCCCTTTAGTTTATCTTTTTGTTTGTTTTATTTTCTTCTTGTTGAACTTGTTTAAATTAACACTGAAAAAGTCTCTTCAGAGAGAAAGAGAGGACTTCATTGTTTGGCCCACGAAGCACAGAGGCCGTCACTGGAAGTGTGTGTGCTCCGTGACACCGTATGCGTGTCTGTGTGCACAATCCATGGAAGGTGTGTGTGTGCCGTTTCTGTATATTTCAAACGGAGACAGAACATCCTCATGTGTGCTTCTCTCTTTCGCTTTCCTCCTGCTCCCTCTTTCTCCTCTTCTGTGGTTTGGTGAGTGTCCCCTCCGCTATAACGCTGCCAGCCGAGCTTTCTGCCACTCCACAAACTCATCCAATAACACCGGCCCTGCAGAGAGAGTAGTGTTAGTGTGAGAGGGACTGTGTATGTGTTTTTTAGTGTGTTTTAGTGTGTTTTAGTGTGTGTTTTAATATGTGTGTGTGTGTGTGTGTGTGTACTCACAGGCTCCATCCTCGTCATAGTTACTGAGGTCTGTGCTGACTGTACGACTGAACTCCAAGACGTATACCATTGGTCCTTATTCATCACCTTGTACTTGGACTGCTGCAGGGGGAGGAGAGAGAATAGAGGAGGAGAGTGTAGAGGAGAGGGGGAGGACAGAGAGAAGAGAAGGAGGAGGAGAGTGTAGAGGAGAGGGGGAGGACAGAGAGAGGAGGAGAGGGAGGACAGAGAGAGAAGAGAAAGGAGATATTAGGAGCGAGTCAGTACAGGAACCACACAGCTGTGTTCAGCATAGGGTGTGTGTTACCTCCAGAAACTGGTTGAAGACAGGGAACAGTGGCCATGTTCTCCCCAGTAGCAACGCTAGCATGGACTTAGCTGTGTCCATGTCCAGACTCCTCTGGTCCTTATCCTGGGGGAGGGGGGAGAGAGGGGGAAGAGGAGGAGACGGGAAGGAGGGGAGGAGAGAACGGGGAGAGGCAGAGGGAGGGGTAAGAGAGATGATAAAGAGGGAGAGATGATGTAAGTACATCTGCCATCCAGACCCTCTCTTCTCAGGAAGTCAAACAATTTCCTGACTATGAACCAGTGATAGAGAACTCACCCTGGCAAAGTCGAAGGCGTATCTGTAGATGTTTTTAAAGATGATCGTGTCGTTGAGCTGATTGCGCAGGTAGTCTAGTTTCCCCTGTAACCTCTCTATGCAGTCACACCTATAGGGGGGTGTAGTGTCACAAACACACACACATGGTTTCCCAGTCACACCTATAGAGTCAGAAGCATCAGAAACATAGACATGTGATGTGGTAAATCAAGGTTACTCACTGTAGTAAAGTCATTCCCTTAAGCCACTCCTCCTTAGTGAAAAATCCCATATTTGGCGCTTCAAGTTTCCAGGCTAAAACTAACATGATTATCTGAAAAAGAGAGAGAGAGACAGAGAAGAGAGAGAGGAGGAGTGTTCGGGTAAGGGGGGAAAGAGGGGAGTGTGAAGGGGGAAAGAGGGGGGGGGAAAGAGGGAAAGAGGGAGGGAGAGAGGGGAAGACGAGGAGCGGAGGGAGAGAGGGGAGAGGAGGAGGAGAGGGGAGGGGGGGGGGAGGAGGAGGCGGGGGGGAAGAGAGGAGGGGGCGGGCAGAGGAGGAGCGAGAGAGGAGAGAGAGGAGGGAGGAGGAGGAGGGAGGGGGCGGGGGAGGGAAGGAGAGAGAGGAGGAGGGGGAGAAGAGAGGGGGGAGGGGAGAGAGGAGGAGGGAGGGGGAGGGAGAGAGGGGAGGAGGGGGGGGGAAGAGGAGGAGGAGGGGGGGGGGAAGAGAGAGGAGGGGAGGGGGGGAGAGAGGAGGAGGGGGGGGGGAAGAGAGGAGGAGGAGGGGGGGGAAGAGAGAGAGGAGGAGGGGAGGAGAGGAGAGGGGGAAAGAGAGGAGGGGGGGAAGAGAGGAGGAGGAGGGGGGAAAGAGGAGGAGGGGGGGGGAGAGGGAGAGGGGAAGGGGGGAGAGAGGAGGAGGGGGAAGAGGGGGGGGGAGAGGGGAGGAAAGAGGGGGAGGGGGGAAGAGAGAGGAGGGGGGGAGAGAGGAGGAGGGGGGGGGGAGGAGGAGGAGGGGGGGGAGGAGGAAAGGAGGGGGGGGGGAAGGAGGGGAGGAGGGGGGGGGAAGAGAGGAGGAGGGGGGGGAGGAGAGGAAGAGGGGGGGAGAGAGGAGGAGGAGGGGGGAGGAGGAGAGGGGGAGAGGGGGAGGGAGGGGGGAGGGAGAGAGGAGGGAAGAGAGGAGGAGGGGGGGGGAAGAGAGGAGGAGGGAGGGGGGAAGAGAGGAGGAGGAGGGGGGAAGAGAGGAGGGGAAGGGGGGGGAGGGGGAGGAGAGGAAGGGGGGAAGGAGAGGGGAGGAGAGGGGGGGGAAGAGAGGAGGGGGGGAAGGAGGGGGGGAAGAGGGAGGGGAAAGGGGGGGGAAAGAGAGGAGGGGGAGGAGGAGGGGGGGAAAGAGGGGAAAAGGAGGAGGGGGGAAGAGAGAGGAGGAGGGGGGGGGGGAAGAGAGAGGAGGGAGGGGGGGGAGGGGGGAAGAGAGGAGGAGGAGGGAGGGGGAAAGGAGGAGGGGGGGAGGGGGGGAAGAGAGGAGGAGGAGGGAGGGGAAGAGAGGAGGAGGGAAAGAGAGGAGGAGGGGAAGAGAGAAGGGGGAAGAGAGGAGAGAAGGAGGGGAAGAGAGAAGGGGGGAAAGAGGAGAGGGGGTAAAGAGAGGGAACATACATCATAATTATCAACGATGGATGGATGGGTGGGTGGATGAAGAGAAAAGAGGAGAGGAAGACTAACGTTTTCTGGTTCCACTCCAATGTCTTCACAGAACTTCTCCATCCCCTCTGGACCCAACACCTCATCTGGACCTGGCACACACACACACAAAAATGTATAAATGACTCAATACTTGGTGAACCAATAATCAACTTCAGCTTTCCTTGCGACATTAAAGAGTTCTATCAGAGTGTGTATCAAAGTTAATAGGCCATCTTATTTTTTGTATCTATGATCATCATGATATGACATACAGTGCCTTCAGAAAGTATCACACCCCTCGACTTTTTCCACATTTTGTTGTGTAACAGCCTGAATTAGTCCCGTGTAGCTCAGTTGGTAGAGCATGGCGTTTGCAACGTCAGGGTTGTGGGTTCGATTCCCACGGGGGGCCAGTAATGAAAAAAAAAAAATGTATGCACTCACTAAGGCGTCCTTCCTAACTCAATTGCCGGAGAGGAAGGAAGCTGCTCAGGGATTTCACCATGGTGACTTTAAAACAGTTACAGTTTAATGCCTGTGATAGGAGAAAACTGAGGATGGATCAACATCATCGTAGTTACTCCACAATACTAACCTAAATGGCAGAGTAAAAAGAAGGAAACCTGTACAGAATAAAAAAGATTCCAAAACATGCATCCTGTTTGCAATAAGGTACTAAAGTAAAATGGCAAAGAATTAGGCAAATAAATAAACTATGTCCTGAATACAAACCATTATGTTTGGGGCAAATCCAACACAACACATCACTGAGTACCACTCTTCATATTTTCAAGCATGGTGGTGGCTGCATCATGTTATGAGTATGCTTGTCATCAGCAAGCAATAGGGAGTTTTTTAGGATAAAAATAAACTGAATAGAGCTAAGCACAGGCAAAATCCTAGAGGAAAATCTGGTTCAGTCTGCTTTCCAACAGACACTGAGAGACAAATTCACCTTTCAGCAGGACAATAACCTAAAACACAATACCAAATATACACTGGAGTTGCTTACCAAGATGACATTGAATGTTCTTGAGTGGCCGAGTTCGAGTTTTGACTTAAATTGGCTTGAAAATCTATGGCAAAACTTGAAAATGGCTGTCTAGCAATGATCAACAATAACTTAACAGAGCTTGAAGATTTTTTTTTTTTTTATAGAATAATGTGCAAATATTGTACATTCCAGGTATGCAAAGCTCTTAGAGACTTACCCTGAAAGATTCACAGCCAATTTCCCTCTACTGTGCGAATTGTCATCGAATCAACACAATATTATCCCCTTTCAATACAACATACCGAAACAAAACAAACTACGCAATACATTTTTTTGTAGGCAGAGCACATTGGAGTAGGATTCTATTGCATTGACAGGCATGACTCAGGCCCATACTTTACAGCATGAGTGGTCGCGAGTAGATGTGCTTGTTTTGAGATCAAAGCAAGAGCTGCATGTAGCCAGGTGTGTACATTTGTTCATATTGTTTGCTAGTAAGTAAGTTATTAGCCCAGTTATAGTTAGTTTCTAGTCAGCAATGGGGGAGTGGTTGCTTCCTACAAGAGCACAAAACAGGTGCATTTCTAGCCATCTTTGAAAAGTAAGTCAGGTAAAGAGCTTTTTTTCTGTCTTTAAGGGGCAGTGTTGTATTTTGAGAGAGGCTTGAATAAGCTAAGTAGCCAATAGGCAGAGGGTAGCATAATTTGTCTGATTCTCTGTAATAATGGTAAGGGAATAATAATGAATTTTATTTTGTAAAGTGGATTCTTGCATCAAACACCACAACATTTTCAGTCACCTCCTTGTCTGAAGGACAAGTGGATAAACAGGTTAATCTCAATCCCTAAATGTTTTTTTCAAAAGTCTCATGGAATGTAGGTCTACATTGAACACCACACATTGGCTGCTACTGTAGGCTGAATGATAGAACAGCTATTCCATGCTAAAATGTTATGGGATACATTTTCTCCATTGTTTTTTATGGTATGCCACGCTGATAGGCCTACATTATGATCAAATAGCCACAGTAGCCTACTTGGCCACCATTAAAACTGTAACTTAAAGCGGGTACAGCCTCAGTGTTCACAGTAAACGCGTGCCACAAGTTGCACAGAATTTTCACAACATTCAAGTTTGCGCACAGCAGACCAGAAATTTGCTCAGTGCCGAACATTTTTTTGAGGGAACATTGCTCAGAGCTGTAATCACTGCCAAAGGTGATTCTAACATGTATTGACTCAGGGGTGTGAATACTTATGTAAGTCAGATATTTCTGTATTTCATTTTCAGTAAATTTGATAATATTTCTAAAAACATGTTTTCACTTTGTCATTATGGGGTATTGTGTGTCGATGGGTGAGAAATAAGTCAAGGGGTATGAATACTTTCTGAAGGCACTGTACCTGTGTACTCGTAGAACCAGGCCAGACATTTCTTATTGGAGAACTGGTCCTCTGGGCTGATCAACCGGCCTGGAGCCTGGGGTCTGCAGAAACTACAACACAGGATAGAACAGTCAGAAACTACAACATACAGGATAGAACACAGTCAGAAACTACAACACAGGATAGAACACAGTCAGAAACTACAACACAGGATAGAACAGTCAGAAACTACAACATACAGGATAGAACAGTCAGAAACTACAACATACAGGATAGAACACAGTCAGAAACTACAACACAGGATAGAACACAGAAACTACAACACAGGATAGAACATAGTCACTAAACAGACTCGGACACATGCATGAGAGGAGTTCTCAGGATATTCAGTGTCACACACACTCCTCCCCCTCTCCTTTCCTGTGGACTGACTGAGGTCTGTGTTGCATAAGGGGACAAATATGTGCTGAGTGTTGAGTTCCTTTAGTCAAGCAGCCAGGCTCACTGCACAGAGAAAAGCCAGCAAGCAGCAGCTGCAACACACACGGTGGAATGGGTGAGGAGACGAAGGGTCTACAGTAGAAGGGTTGGGTGAGGCAGAGTTCCACTACAGCTCTAAACACAGCAGTATCTGGGGGGAGGGAAAAGACCAAACATCCAATAGTGGAGGATGGTCGGAGAAGTGAGGTGAGGAGCAGGAGAACAGGGGTGGTGGGTGAGGGGTGGTGAGGAGAAGGAGGGCGGGGATGGTGGGTGAGGAGCAGGGGTGAAGGGTAGTGGGTGAGGAGTGGTTCCTCACCAGGTGATTTTACACTTCCTGAGTCCCGGGTCATCTGACCCTGAAGACTTCCTCTTCTTCTTCACAGGCATCGCGGCGTCTCCACACGGGTTAACTAGCTGGGCTGGGTCCACACACACACACACACTGAATCTGTCAGCTCACCCAGCCGAGAGCCATACCATAAACAGTATACTATTTACAGATAGTATATAGGAGAAGTACCTATGTATTTCTGGTCTCCTTGTCCATTCAAATCTATAAGATTCTATAATAAAAACACAGTTTACAGTGAGAGACTTGAGGTGATGAACTACATAGTACAAGACAGTATGGTCACATCACATAGCTAATCAACTCTCAGAATGCCCCTGCTCTGGCAGTGGCTCAACTAGCTTCACTCATTTACAAATCTGTCCAGCGTCTGTGATACCGTCTGTAGGTCTGCCTCCTCAGCCAGTCCGAACACTGTGTACTATCCTACAGCAACAGACAGAGAGAGAGCAGGAGGGAGAGGGGAGATGACATAGTAGCTAATATACTGGCAAGCTATCTTCGTCTTGTGTAAGTGGTTTTTGTGGTTGTGCGCCAGACAAGGCATAAACCACAGATCAGATAACTCCCATGTTTAATGTTAGCCAATTGGCTGTATATTGCAGAAGTTAGCTAGCCTAAACAAACAGATCTCATCCAATGCATGCATCGTTACTTGGCTAGCTGCTATCTGGTCAATAAGTTATGTGGACCTTAGCCCATTCAATAGACAGTAGCTGCAATGGTGTAGTGCTGCCTGAAGAAGTGGGTATACTCTAATTTCCTGACATGCTTTCAGGTTCTGCACTCCCAGGGTGCCACAATGCTGGGTGTGTGACAAAGCTCTAAGGGAGAGCTGACCAGCCAAAATTGGATGCTCTAAATCCACAACAATGCTTAAACCACATCAGGAGACCATTTTTTAGGTCTGGGGGGGGGGAAAAATTATGCAACTGAAAAAAAAGTGGGCACACTGCATATAGTCCCACTACACCACTGGGTAGATGGGTATACCCCCCTTGGGTTCTCGAGACCTATGTGGACCTTTCTTTTGGAAGCTGATAAACAAACGTGAATTAGCTGGCTACTGTAGAATCAGCGCTAGTGGCCAGATTTCATCCAAATTACTTTGATCATCTAGTTAGCCAACGTTACATTTCTACCGGATGCTTTAATGTACAGACAGCAGACACATCAATGCTCGGTACTCTACTAGCCAACGTTAGTTACCTAGCTAGCTACCCAGTTCACGTACACAGAACTAAAACAAATAACGATATGCATCGACACACATGCAGGAGTTTCTCCCAATTATTGTTGTAGGTGCAAGCTAACGTTAAACACTGGTCAGAATAACTGCGTCACCGTAATGCAGAATGGAGAGAAGCATTCATAAACCCATGGTACCTGGTAACTAGCTAGATAGCTTGTCTAAATATTAACTATAGTACATTGCCAAAGTACCGAAGAACGGTTGTAATCAAATCCAATTAAACAAATATTGACAAGATTTCGTTTGATAGGTCTAGCGAGTACTAACGTTAGCTAGCGGCTAGGCAACTTAACTGCGATTGCAAAGCCAAAGCAAAGGCTAACATGCATTGATTATCCAAATCAAATTTCATTTATCACACGAGCTGAATACAACTGATGTAGACTTTACAGCGAAATGCTTGCTTACGAACCATTCCCAACGATGCAGTTTAAAATGTCAAATTACCGGAACGACGTTACTTGGCAATCAATTACCTAGCTAGCTAAGTGAAACAAGCAATATTATTATCTTGATCTGGCTGAATCTATACATGTGATTAATAATCTAAACCACAAAAGTAACTAACTTTATCTGCATAACGATTACAAAAATACCTCCATGCATAACGATTTAAACAATACCCCCATGCATAACGATTACAACAATACCCCCCTGCATAACGATTACAACAATATCCCCATGCATAAAGATTACAACAACATCCCCATGCATAAAGATTCCAACAATACCCACATGCATAAAGATTACAATAATACGCCCATGCATAAAGATTACAATAATACCCCCATGCATAAAGATTACAATAATACCCCCATGCATAAAGATTACAACAATACCCCCATGCATAAAGATTACAACAATACCCTCCATGCATATATTACAATAATACCCCCATGCATAAAGATTACAACAATATCTCCATGCATAAAGATTACAACAATACCCCCATGCATAAAGATTACAACAATATCCCCATGCATAAAGACTACAACAATACCCCCACGCATAAAGATTACAACAATACCCCCACGCATAAAGATTACAACAATACCCCCGTGCATAAAGATTACAACAATACCCCCACGACTAGTGGGGCTTTGCTTCTTTGTTGTTATCAAGATTAAGACATAGCTAGCTAGTTAGTTAGCTAAAAATGTAAGCTAATTAGTTCGCTAGCAAGCCAACTAACGCGTGTAGCTAACATCCAGCTACTTTAGTTAGCCAGTTCGCAGGTTAGTTCTGTCATGATGTTCAAAAGCCAACAGAGTCGAATACCAGCAAAACAAGCTGAATTTAACTACCATGTCTAGCTACCTAGAATACATGGGGTACAGAGATCAATCGAATTCGACCAAAACAATGGAAACGATTAGCTAGAATGCTAGCTAAATTAGTTTCTCAGAAGTCAGAAAACGTATTTAGCCGTTGTTGGCTAGCAAGCTAAATATTTGCCACAGGGTTACGTCAGTTCATCCACCAGTTACAACACCGTTTTTGATATAAAAAATTATGTGAATATTTTATGCAAACCTTGGATTCCAAGAGTTGTGTTTCTTTTTATGCGAGTAGATCATGTACTTTTACGGTTGCAATCTAGTGAGCTGATCACTTTCCAAGTGGTAAAAGCAAACTGCTTTCTTCCGGGGCAACAGAGAGCTATGGAACGTACCACATGATTTCAAGGGGTGCGCGATTGAGTCGTCCTAGCTATGGAAATAAATCAAATTACAGGTCGAATTATTCGAATATATATTTTACCATGCTTGATTTAAAATAATATCAAAAGCAAGAAATTGGAAAGAAATATAAAATAACTAAGGATTAGGTATAAATAAAATGCCCCCCTCCTCCCTACTTCAGAAATGACGAACACGACACTTGTATGGAACGCCGGTTGGGTCTTTGCATCTAAAAAAATATACATGTCAAATAAAACTATTTGACGCGTCAAATAAGCTTTTAATTTTACACGTCAAATAAAACAATTCCGTTATATAATGTTGTGTGTGCTGAATTTGCATGTCTGCAAACAATCACACCCGCCACCAACGAAATGGAAAGCCAAAAGGTTCAAATTGTCTTACCCGGAAGACGTCTTAACACTTGTAATTATCATTTTTCACTTGCTTATTTCAAGTGTCAAATGTCATTTTTACACGTGTTCGTTACACCTGTTTAGTGTGCATTTACAGGTGTAATGAATGCTTGTTATGGTCATTTTTACACGTGTTCATTACACCTGTTTAGTGTGCATTTACAGGTTTAACGAACGCTTGTTATGGTCATTTTTACATGTGTTTACTACACCTAATTTGACCTAGGACAACCCTGTGAAAACGTTGCTAATATCTACAACATATCAGCTTTCAAACAGCACAGATATTACTTTTGAATATCCTTTGAAATATTCATAGAAATGAACAACTTCAGACATAAACCAGGAACGTTAACGTTAGTACTATGGCACTGTTTGAACAGGAATCGCAGTCCCATGGTCTCTATTTTCACAAAACTGTCATCCTGCAGAATGGAAACCATGCAGAGGAGCCTTGAGTGGGCTAGGGGGAGGTTGATAAATGTTGCTTCAGCAGATGATCTAATTGAGTATCTCAGTTCATTCAGGAGATTCGTACCTCTGGCTGGCATGCACAACAAGGTAAGCAGTATTGTAGTGGGTGTGGTTGGGCTTACTGTTGAGCAATCAATACCAGGTCATGTTCATAGGCCGTTGATTTTCTTTCACTCTTCGATCTCCTGCTGCCCATTATATTTGTTCTTGGTCAACATTTATATTTATGTCTTGGCTTTAAAATCCAATATAATAAAAACATTACTTGGCCACAATTTGTGACAGTTACTATCATTTAAAAGTGTTTTTGGAATGAGGGGGGCGGGCGGTGTCACAATACATTAAATAGCCTAAACACAGTGTTGTATTATTGTTACAGCCAGTTCCAGTTACCGGGCTTCTCAGACTTAAAGAGGAACTAGAGGTGCACCTTGTTATGCCATCACTCAAGAGCAACTGAGGTTTCTGATGTCCTGTGCTTTCAGTGTGCCTCAGATGGCAGATATTCTACATGTGTCCCGATCGACAGTCAAACGTCAGTTGTGCTTGGGAATAATGCTATAAACTACAAAGACTTTAGATGCATGGTTTCCAGTTTCTTACCAATCAAACAATTTAGAATGACTACAATCAAGACAGGACTTAAAAATTACTATGATGATATACATTACCTCATCCCTGGCCATTGTTAATCTTTTTTTCCCCAGACACTTCAATCAGTCACATGCACCATTATATTCTGACATGTCAGACTTGGCTCTGGATCAAAAGATTAAGGACTTGGTGGCTGGGAACAACAAACTTGGACCGGAGGCTGTTCGAGCACAATTAAGGGCATTGGGAATCCAGGTGCAGAGACTCAGAGTGCTTTGTGTTAACCCGAGGGCGGCTGCCCTCAGAGCCATGTCGCAGAGGCTGCATAGAAGGTCATACCGTGTTGCTGGACCAAACTCATTATGGCACCTTGATGGAAACCACAAACTGATAAGGTAGATGTATCTTTGTGATAGACACAATTATCTATATCACTGGTGAGAAGTTGAACATTGTAACATCTCAAATTGTTCATCAACAACTTGTTAATTAACAGTTCAGTTTAGCAAGCAAAGGCCCTTGATACCATATGTCACTCATGTGGATAATAATTGTTTTATTGTGTTTCTGCTACTTCTGTGATTGATAAAATATTTTCCTGTTGAAAAACAAATGATAGTCCCACTAAGCCCAAACCAGATGGGATGGCGTATCGCTGCAGAATGCTGTGGTAGCCATGCTGGTTAAGTGTGCCCTGAATTCTAATTAAATCACAGACAGTGTCACCAGCAAAGCACCCCCACACAATAACACCTCCTCCTCCATGCTTTACGGTGAGAAATACACATGTGGAGATCATCCGTTCACCCACACCGTGTCTCACAAAGCCACTGCTGTTGGAACCAAAAATCTTAAGGCCAAATTTCTACCGGTCTAATGTCCATTGCTCGTGTTTCTTGACCCAAGCAGGTCTCTTCTTATTATTGGTGTCCTTTAGTAGTGGTTTCTTTGCAGCAATTCGACCATGAAGGCCTGATTCACACAGTCCCCTCTGAACAGTTGATATTGAGATGTGTCTGTGACTTGAACTCTGTGAAGCATTTATTTGGGCTGCAATTTCTGAGGCTGGTAACTCTAATGAATTTATCCTCTGTAGCAGAGGTAACTCTGGGTCTTCCATTCCTGTTGCGGTCCTCATGAGAGCCAGTTTCATCATAGTGCTTGATGTTTTTTGCGACTACACTTGAAGAAACTTTAAAAGTTCTTGAAATGTTCTGTATTGACTGACCTTCATGTCTTAAAGTAATGGTGGACTGTCATTTCTCTTTGCTTATTTGAGCTATTCTTGCCATTATATGGACTTGTTTTTTTACCAAATAGGGCTATCTTCTGTATACCTATCTTCTGTAGACGCAAAGTTCAGCTAAAAATAAAAACATTACTTGGATTGCTGTAGTCTACGCAGGTTTAACGATAATGGCTTCACAGTCGTAGGTATTATTATTTATTTAATTATTTATTTAAATTTATTATTATTTATTTTTTCTACAGGACGTTTTTGTGATGTTGGTACTATTGGATTGTTTAAGCATTAAATCCAAAAAGTCACCCGGATAAATTTTATTTAGTAGCTCTAGACGATTAGGGTTTGATAAAATCAAAGTTGATAAATACAAAAACTGTCATAGTTAATCTAATTCAAAAGTTTATAACCTTACCTGTCAACAAGGTTATCTTCTCCATGCTCCTGTGGTGTCTCCTCAAGCAAGCGATCAAATTGTGTATTTATTCGATCTCTCATTTCGCTTATACGTCTTCGGATTCGATCCGCCATCATTAGTTGTCAGTTGAAATGTGGATAATTGCACGAAACTATGGACCACTCTTGGGAAAATTGCACTTCCGGTATTAATTAAGGTTGTCAGAAATACTGAGTATTATTTATTAAAACGATACTTAGAGATATATAAAAACATGAAAAGCGATATTAAAGACGAACATAAGTGGTTTTCATTAAGTCTTTCATGGGTTAGGACAACACACATTGGCGTGTTTGGATGTAACTTAGTAAAAGCAACTGGTCTTAAGGTAAAAACAAAATAAATGTTTCGTTTTCACTGTGTAAGGCAACCTCTGACAACACAAATATGTTATATTACACAATACAGCTTCAAATTTGCACAACACTTAATGGTAGTAACTAATCAAAATTGCAATAGGTATTCATTTTTTGGTCCACTAGATGTCAGTCTGAGTTGACTGTAGAATACACGGATACTCAGTGAAATAATAAAAAGCTTCAGTTATGTAGATAATTTCGGAACAGACAGCATTAGACAGCTATTCATGAAAATGTGCTTTTCAATTACCGCCATACCATGTTAGCCTGATGAATGGGTGTACTTTATACTAGATAGGACTTCACTGCTCACTGAACTGTTACTAATTTCCTGCGCTGAGCAAAGACTGAATTAAAACATTTATAAAAAGTTATGGAATAAGAAAGAAACAATGTTGACATTTTCAAGATGTATTTTGTATGCATTGGCAAGAGGGAAAATAAATATTATATGCACAACAGTTATTGAACATTTGAGGACCCAAGGAAAGATATGACTTGTTGAAGAATGTCCATTCCTAGGCCTGCTCTGGAGCCTCCGAGGGGATTAATTTGCTCGACAAGTAGTTGCATGTGAGCATTGTCCAAAACAAACTGGTTTTGTGGGAAAGTCACTCTCTCTCTGGTCAGGCTACAACAGACTCTTCTGCTGTATAACGGTCTCCTGTCCCGGAAGCACCGCCGTCTCCTGTCCCGGAAGCACTGCCGTCTCCTGTCCCGGAAGGACCGCCGCCTTCTATCCCAGAAGGACTGCCGTCTCCTGTCCCAGAAGCACCTCCGCCTCCTGTCCCGGAAGCACCGCCGTCTCCTGTCCCGGAAGCACTGCCGCCTCCTGTCCCGGAAGCACCGCCGTCTCCTGTCCCGGAAGCACCGCCACCTTCTATCCCAGAAGGACCGCCGTCTCCTGTCCCGGAAGCACCTCCGCCTCCTGTCCGGGAAGCACCGCCGTCTCCTGTCCCGGAAGCACAGCCGTCTCCTATCCCGGAAGCACCGCCGTCTCCTGTCCCGGAAGCACCGCCGTCTCCTGTCCCGGAAGCACCTCCGCCTCCTGTCCGGGAAGCACCTCCGCCTCCTGTCCGGGAAGCACCGCCGTCTCCTATCCCGGAAGCACCGCCGTCTCCTGTCCCGGAAGCACCTCCGTCTCCTGTCCTGGAAGCACCGCCGTCTCCTGTCCCGGAAGCACCGCCGCCTCCTGCCCGGGAAGCACCGCCGTCTCCTGTCCCGGAAGCACCGCCGCCTCCTGTCCGGGAAGCACTGCCGTCTCCTGTCCCGGAAGCTCCTGTTGGTGTTGGTACTGTGCCTTCAACTTCTGAGGGTGTGGCAGCAAACAGGTCATGTATTGCAGTGTTTGCTGTGCAAGGCAACCCCTAACAAACATTTGCAGAGGGGACTGATGCATCTCAGCCCTCAAACCATGATGGTTCCACTGGTTGCAGAATTCTGTTAAGTCTCTATTGATTCTAGGCAGGTACACATAATGCAGAGCCCAGAGTTGCATTTCATTGTCCACATACACAATGCCCTCGCTCTCACACATTGGTCATACCACGCCACAGGTCACCCCATAGTCTCTCAATCCGCTGATTGTGCGTGCTCCTTCCTCTCAGAGCAATGCCTCTCCCAGAGCCTCTGAAAATGTTAATCTCGTTACCTGTATAAAAGACACCTGGGAGACAGAAATCTTTCTGATTGAAAGGGGGTCAAATACTTATTTCCCTCATTAAAATGCAAATCAATTTATATTGCAAAAAAAAAAATCGGGATTTTTTTGTTGTTATTCTGTCTCTCACTGTTCAAATAAACCTACCATTAAAATTATAGACTGATCATTTCTTTGTCAGTGGGCAAACGTACAAAATCAGCAGGGGATCAAATACTTTTTTCCCTCACTGTATAACAAAGCAGCAGACCAAATATTAAATTAACATCCAAAATGTGGAACAATGTTAATTAACAATCTACCGCGGATCACAACTATAAGTACTTCCGTTAGCCCTCTAAAGGCTACAACAAGGGTTTGTTCTAGACTGTTTCCTGCAGCGGAAGATGTGTGATTACAATATCTACTTCAATTGGAAAAATAACCACGTTTATCTTGATGAGTCAAGAGGACAGACTCTCCTGTTGTTCACATTTAGGCACAAATACTTTGCTCCAACTGTTTTTACCTCCGTATGTCCTCAATATGAGCATGTTAATTAATTTCATGATGCAGACATTCTATAAATCACAAAAGTAGAAGAAACACAATAAAACAATTATTATCCACACAAGTGACATATGGTATCAAGGGCCATTGCTTGCTAAACTGAACTGTTAGTTGTTGATGAACAAGTTGTTGATGAACAAAGTCCATCTTTTCATCCAGAGCCAAGTCTGACGTGTCTGAATCTAACGGTGCAAGTGACAGATTGAAGTGTCTGGAAAAAAAGAGTAACAATGGCCAGGGATGAGGTAATGTATATCATCATAGTAATTTTTAAGTCCTGTCTTGATTGTAGTCATTCTAAATTGTTTGATTGGTAAGAAACTGGAAACCATGCATCTAAAGTCTTTGTAGTTTATAGCATTATTCCCAAGCACAACTGACGTTTGACTGTCGATCGGGACACATGTAGAATATCTGCCATCTGAGGCACACTGAAAGCACAGGACATCAGAAACCTCAGTTGCTCTTGAGTGATGGCATAACAAGGTGCACCTCTAGCTCCTCTCCAAGTCCGAGAAGCCCGGTAACCGGAACTGTCTGTAACAATAATACAACACTGTGTTTAGGCTATTTAATGTATTGTGACACCGCCCGCACCCCTCATTCCAAAAACACTTTTAAATGATAGTAACTGTCACAAATTGTGGCCAAGTAATGTTTTTATAATATTGGATTTTAAAGCCAAGACATAAATAGAAATGTTGACCAAGAACGAATACAATGGGCAACAGGAGATCGAAGAGTAAAAGAAAATCAACGGCCTATGAACATTACATGGTTTGATTGCTCAACAGTAAGCCCAACCACACCCACTACAATGTTGC